GAGCAACTATGTAAAATACGGGTATATGTTTTATTATGAAGGCTCAAATAGTAAGCTATCAACAAGTTAAGAATTTTAATACAAATTTAGGGAGAGATTTACAATACTATAACTTACAAAGAATTCATTATTAATATTTAAATGTTATACTTTTTAGTATTAAAGCAATTTAGTAGGGCTAGCATAAATAATTTCTGTCAAATCAAAAGCAATAATATGTGTGTAAGTCTAAACTATCATCAATGACTACTGAGTATTAAGATAAACTTATACTATAGACGTAAAATTATAGTTTTATAAAGATATTGTTTCTATAAATTACATACTAGGAAATTAAAATGTTAATATAAATTAATTTGAATAAAAAAAGACTATATTTTTATTTTTATCCATCAAAATACCTTGGATGTTATTTATATCAATTCTAAAGTTTGTAACATTCAGAGTTAAATAATTAAAAAGATAAATAGTTGGACTACTATCAATTACTATCAAGCTAGTCTATTCTTAATAATAATAAACTGCATTTTTAGCAAATTATGTGACACACTCATAAACGAATAATTATTATTTTCCTGGAATATTAATAATGTTTACTTATTTTAATGATCCTGTTAGTCCGATCAATATTTTATGATTACCATCATAGAATAAGCTCGTATTATTATATCTATACTCAAACAAATAGTGATTAATTTTAAAGTCCTGTTAACTAAAATAATTATCATTTTAGTTAAAAAAAACTACTACTAATTAGTCTTGTTTATTTATCAAAGGTATAATTTATTAAGCATTCTATATCATTCCTAATCCAAATCTCTTTTTATAAAAATAAAGATTATTAAAAATATATTTTATTATATAATATTTCTTAATAAAAAAAAATTTAAATGTCAAATCATTAAAATATTTAATTATAGGATAATGAGAATGCTCCTTCAATAGACAGTAAAAAATTTGTTATCATATTTTACACACAATTATGCTAAGTATATTAAAAAACTAAATTTTTTCTAAAAAATATTATATGTTTTATTTTAAATTTTATGTTAAGTAATTTTTATTATTTTTCTTTGAATTTTATAAATTTAAATTTTTCATAAATTAAATCCTATTTATTTTAAATTAGTTGAAAAAAAAGAAGGAAATTTATAAATTTACATTCTATTAAAAGGATTCTGATATTTATGCTGAAACCAAATCAAAAATTTCAACATACTTATAGTAAAATACTATCAAACTATCTTCACACTGAACAAAAAAGCTAGGTTAAGATGTTAAGTTGCTATATTATACCAATTTATATTTCTTTGTCAATACCTATTTTAATTAATATTTTTAAAAAATAACTAAAATTTTATAAGTTGAATTACATTTATTGAATAAATCTTATTTTAAGAAGTGAGAGCGACTAAAGTTTACTAATTTGAACAGTATTAGTACTTAAGAATATTAGATTCTAATTTTAAGATTATTGATACCTATGGTTCATTTTATGTGCTTTATAGATAAAAGATATTTTCCTTTGCCCATATGAAGGATACTAAATTCCAATCAACAATAGCTATTGAGAGATCAAATATAAAATTTAAATTTATTACAACTAATTCATTATTAGTTTTTATAACGTCGTAAATGATTAAATTTTATGTGGAATTATCATAGACTGCAATTTTATTATTTTGTAAATTAATGTCTTAAATTACATAATTTTATGTAAAATTATATATGCTAAATGGATTGTTGAATAAATTATTAATCCAAAAAACTCCATCTTAAGATAAAAAACTATGAATTTTAGTATTATCATCAATATCTATATTCCCTAATAGAGAGCAATCTTCGAGTTAACTCATAATAATAACCATATTATTTGTATCTATTATATTATTAGACTTTTTGATGTATTACAAATTTTCATCTAAAAAATAAAACTAAATAGCATTTTTTCCATACAAAGCGACATCAGTTTTAGCATGCATTATTGTAAATTGCTTTAATTCCATGTCGAATCTATAAAAATAGCTTTGATCATAATAAAAAACATATCTGTCATTAAAAACTTAAACTGTATTATCATTAAAGCTTTATGGATAATTTATACCGAAATTATAGAGCTCATTTCGAGATAAATCAAAGGTATAGACTTAAATAAGGGACTAGTAAAATATGAAGATTTCTCCTGTTTTTTAGTAATTAAAGTAAGGATAGTCAAATACAGAGAATTGCATAGTTACAGATTTGTAGATAAATTTTCTTTAGCTGATAGAAAAAGGCTAGCAGTCATCATCAAAAATGTAAAAATAAATAATATCATTAAAAGCAATTAATGGAGTGTAAAAATTAGTAACATAATAAAAATTTGGTTATGCATCTGTACCAAAATTATAAATTTCTGATATATTATTAGTTAAAAGATCTATTAAGTAAAGAATATTATCATTTAATTAATTTAAAGTCAAGTAAGCTATCTAATCATCATTTAAAATTATGAAATTCAAAAGAGAAAAATAATATACTGATGGATTTTGAATTATTTGTTAATGTGTATCTAAACTAAAAATTTAAGGAATGCTTTAGATTATCAGTAAATTTCTTTTCTCCAAATACTAAAAAACACCTATTTTTTTTGAAGAATTGTATTGATAAGAAATAACTTACTTTTTTGAATTAACGTCAATTACATATCTTTTATCACTGAATCAATTTATTTGCTTAAAAGAAAATACTTATTATTTATTATTTATAATTTGTCAAAATGCACTAAACTATCAACTAATTCAAATGAATAGAATCTCGTATTTATCATAGAAGTTTTTTATAAATTTAAATGAAAATAATTAATTTTTTAAACTCCTAAGGCTTATGAAGTTAATCTTTATTTTTCATCATAAATATAAAATGAATTTATATCTGTATTTTTATTTGGGCTAAAAATATTTTAGTAATAACAAGAGTTTACTGTAGAAAATTAGCTAGTATGATAATAAGGCTTTTAATATTCATTAGGATTTAAATACTTAATTAAGTAAGTTTAATCAGTAGTACTGAATGATATCCTAAATTATTAGTAATTATAGGTTTATACTTCCAAAATCTATGATAAAAATATTTCAATAATATTATTCTATTTGAAAAAAACATTTGTTATCATTGATTAGCTTGTAATAAATCCGCTTTTTAATTCATAGATAAGTGTATTGTTTTAACTCTAAAAACCATTTTAAAGCTTTATTAAATAATCAGTCAAATTGATAAATTGTAGTTTGTCAGTAATAAAGAAAACAAAAGTAGAGTTTTATACTTGGTTTTCATAAAATTAAAACTAATTAATTTAGTTAGGAATAGTTATATTTAGTACTTATTTCACTTAATCTGATACCTAGTTTAAAACAAGTATTTATAATATCTAATTATTTTTATCAATTTAGATAACAGAATTCAATAAATTACTGTAAAATATATCATTTGTAAAAATAAGTTTTTCTAATAATGTGATTTAGAATTTAGTATCATTTTAATATAATTTCTTGTAAACTAATGTCTGTCTTTCCGAATAATCAAAAAAAATACTAATTAAATATTAATATTTCTAAGTTGCTTAAATAATAAACCCTTAAGTTTCTAAATAGGTTTCTAAAAATTTTAGAGATCTATCTTCTTACAAAATAGCTACCTAAATTAATATTTAAAAAAGATTTATAAAAATTAATCAAAAATTCATTATTTACCTGATAAAAATTAACTTAAGTCTATAAGTAATAGTTTGTCGTATTTAGAATATTTATTTAAAAGATACCTTGAATAGGAATTAAATCACATCCCAATGTAGAAAATTTTTATTTTATCAAATCAAACCAAGCTATTGAACAGTTTTTAATTTAATTAAGAAAAATTATTTTATTTTAATAATCAATATATTAAAGAAAATAATCCTAATCTAAACCAGTTTATTCAAAAACAATTTGCTTTGTGATAAAATTCATTACTTTTATAGAATTGTTAGCTAAGCAGCCTCCGTATTCTTCCAAAATAAAACTCTTTTGTTTTATTTCCTATCCAGCAGCCATATATTTAAGCTAAAAATCTGGCATATCTTAAAATACTTCGATGTAGATTATCTAAAAATTTTAATCCGCTAGAGCAAAATAGCATAAATTTGCTCTAATTAGGTAGTAATCTTGATAAAATGGGCTTAATTCGAGAACTTTTTAATCGAGTAGTGGAGGACTGTCGTTAATTTGTATACATTAGCTTAATTATTCGCATATCTATGTCTTTTAATTTGGATAATAAGAGCTTGGGCAGCTATTTACGCACTATTATTATGTAAAAGGTTCTTCAATAAAATCATATTCAGATTAACAAATTTTTGGCTTTAGTAAACACTCATTCTTTTCCATATCTAAGTATAAATTAGGACTGCACTGCAAGCAGTTTTACTGAGAATCACATTTAATACATCCTACAGTCTAACATTTAATACAATATTAGTGATTCGCTTATATTTCTCCAACTTAGCAATTTTAAACACATGTAGAAGAATTTAAATCACTTTTATAGAAATTCTGAGGACAACTTATACACGAGTTTTAATTGGTGCTAAAACAATTTTAGCAGCTGTTTGAGCATGGCAAACACTATTATGAAACTAGATTAAATATTTATCCGCTTGGACATTCAGCTCTAATCTTAGATATAAGAATAAAAATAATTGCAAAAAAATAGCTTATTTTCATTCAAAATTGTATGATAGTTTTATTATCTTTTTGTTATTTTTGAAGAAGTTTTCTAATTGATTTTTGGATTAATTTAAAGAAATTTACATTTAATTATTTAGGTACAGTTAATCATGTTATTAAGCAAAAAATTATATTCAGTAGAATTTAAAGGTGCTTTGAATTGATAACTGAGTTTTTATATCTATTCAACTTCTTATTTATTTTTTTTTACAAAGTTATAATATATTGGTCTTTATTATAATTTATTTAAATAATGAAAACTTAATGTTAGTGGTTAACTTTGATTATAAGTTTTTTTTGAAAAGTCTATAATAATTAGATTAATAAAACAAACAGATATTTTCCTTTTAAAAATTTTGCTTTCTTTATGTTTTTTAATGTTTCTTAACAAATTTATATATACAAAAAAGAAATAAATTTTATTCTTATGGATATAATTTATTTTTAAAATGTATTATTGTACGTTCCAAATTATTGGAAACTGCTAAGATTCAGGAATTTTTGACTCATTAAAAATATTAAAATAAATTATAAATAAAAATAATTAAATAAATGTGAAATTTAAGAAATTAGAATAATTAATAAAGAAAAACTCAATGCAAACAAACTTAAAATTATAAAATTGTATATAAAAACAAATTTTATAAGTTAATATAACAATAGTATGGTTGTATGTATTGAATTTAGTTTCATCATTAGAGCCTAAAAATAATACATTAACAATGAAATATTTTTTCTTTTAAATTTATTTTTTTATTTTTGAAAAAAATTATTGTCACGAAATACATAGAATTAAAAAGTAGTGTTTTATCTCATTATTTTAAATATAATAATTTTTAATTAAGAGAATAAATTAATTTTATCATTATTTTTTGGTAAAATGATTAAAATTTTTATTTAACTTATATTCACTTGTTAATTATATTCCAAATTCATCGTTAGAAGTGTAACTTTATATATTTTCAGTAAGAGCTAATTCTTTGGGTGAATTCTAGAATTTATCTTAAATATCATATTTATGTATACCTTTTAAATATAAAATGGAGATTATTTAATATTTAAGTAATAAGTAATTTACTTATTGGACTTTCATTCGTTTTTCTTGTATAATATGACCATTTCTCTCTCATACTCTTGAAAGAATTTATCTTTTTATGTTGTTGTTTAATGATATTTTCATTCCCAGTTAATAAAGTAAATCTACTGGTTTACTACAATAGTTCTAATTAAGGAGAAACAATTTAAGTTCTTTATAGAGAAAAATGCTATTGTAAAGATTATGAACTGAAAAAGTTGAATTGCTTAAAGTACTTAACTAAGTGTTTAACTTTATTTTTGACTAACTTTATTTTCAAAAGAGAACTTACTTTTACTTAGCCTTATTATACTTGAATGTTTTCAAATAATGAAGGATATTTTGATATAAAATATAGGAGGCAATTTTAAATTCTACTCCTTTTTTAAATGTCATTTTGTACTCTAATTAGACATATCCCAATCACCAGTTAAGTTATAAATTGAAGATTGGAAAATATTAATAATGTAGTTAAAATACCTTTTAAAATAAAATTCATATTTGTAACACTGGCAATAATCTAAGTTAAATTTAGTGATAAAGCACATAAAACTGCGGATCTTTATAATAAATTGTTGAAATTCTAAATTGTGAAAGGCTTAGTTTTAAATATTATATAAATCTACAATAAGATAACAGCATTTAGCATGCTCAACTATTTAATTTTAAAGTTAAATAAATGAGTGTATTTATTCATTTTATAAATAGAAATAGGGAATAAAGTTAATTTAAATTGATTCGTATTTATTTATTAAAACAATTAATAATTTACTTTTAAGAAAGAATTTTGCTGAAGTAATGTAGCTATCAAAATTAGAATTGATTTATAAATTAATTTTGCAAATTCCCAATAATAATACTTTTCTTTATATCCTGCAAATATAAAAGAATACTTTATTTCAATAAAGATTGACCATTTTTTTATTTTTCCATTTCTAATTTTTAAGAATAAAAATAGTGGAATAATAATTGCCCAAAAAACTAGTAATGGTATGCAGTAGAATATAACATACTGTTTATGATCTTAAGGGTCATAGCATAATATATTTACATCTAAATCAAGATAGTTTTTATCACCAATTTGTATGCAATTCAAAGACCTGCTAAAAATCATTATGACCATAGGAAAAAAATAAAGATAAATGAAGATACATGCAGTATTTAAGTATTTAAAAATGTTTGTATTTTTTTTTAAATACCTTAAAATAAAGCCTAATATTAAATAAAGCGAGAGTATAGAAAGCGGTAAACATAGTGACCACAAGGACTAATAAAACCATAAAGGTTTTAAATTTGGATATCTTGAAAAAAAGCAATCTATAGACTTGCTTGTTAAACTCAAAGAATTTCCTGACATCTATATTGGAAGCTTAAAATAGTTAGGAATATTAATATTAAAAAAACTCAACAAAGAAAGCATCTGAAGGTGATCAGTTAAAATTTTGGAAATTATCTAAGGCTTATCTTATTATCTTACTATGTTTTAATTAAATATATATTAATAAATTTTTAAAATTAAAAAATAGTAAATGAAAATTCAATCTAAATTAAAAAAAAAATTATTTCATAAATTATTGTTTAATTAGCTAATAAAATACATGTTGACCCTAAATAGACTAAATCCATTTTAGTGATAAAGTAACCTGCTAATTTAGTTTATTATTTATTAATTATATTTCTTAAAAGGGCAAAAATATAGCAAAAAATGATTATGAATAAAACTAAATTTTAAGTTATTATGAAAAAGCTATTTTCCTCGCAACTGTAGCATTCTCCCTAGCTAAATATTTATTGATATCTTTTACCCCAAATTTCTCCAAAAGTATCGCACGAGTAGCAAAGAGGACCTTTGTATCCAGTTACACAATATTCCTTTAAAATAAATATATTAAAAATTATTATTTAAAAATTCCTTATAATTTAAAAATAATGGTTCAATTTTTCAGAGTTTTTGAGTTTGTGAATATTTATTAATTAAAATTCTTTTAAATTTTCGAAATCACCATATTTAAATATATTCTTTTTCTCCCACTTTTTTTGTTAAAGCTCTGCCTAAAATAGACTCTAATCCTTATCAACCACCTTAAAAAAATAAATACTTACTTTAGAGAATTGTGATTCAGCTTAACATGAATTAGGACGAAAATTACAATATATTATTTAATCTGTGAATTCGTTTTCTCTCCAATATCCATTTTTTAAAAGAATTGTTGACTTGTAGCATTTAATAGCTGAATCAGGACACTGTAAGCAAGAACTATCTTACAAACTTAGAGAGTATTTTCCTTCAGGGCAATCCTCACAAACTATTGAGTTGCTTTACTGCTTAGTAATTTAGCCCAATTAACAACTATTAAAATTAATAGTGATGTTTTTATAAAGCTATTATTGCTTTAAATATAAATTCCCTTTTGAATCAGAAATTTCTGGAAATAAATTGGAAACAATTAGCAAGATCATTTAATTATTTGGTTTATACATAATTTATGCATTCAATTTAAATCCATCGTTTGTAAATTGCTTTGATTAGAGTTCTCCAAGACACTATATTTACTATGTAGATTAGTCCCATTACAAAGAAACACTAATTTACTACAATATTGATTAAACTTCCTTACTGTATTATAAAGTGTTAGTATTATTAGCATCACTAGGTATAAAGATTGGATTATCCTCCTCATCAAGTAATTAAATTTTGTTAAAAATTATTTAGTCTCCACTTAAAAAAGAATTAACATAAATTTAATTATTTTAATTTTCTATTATTTATGTTTTCCTTGATGCTTCTATATCATTTAAATTAATCTTAATACTTCTCAATGTAGATCCTAAATTATTTCCATATAACTTTGCGAAATTTTAAGAGATGATGTTATTATTATTGATTTTCTTTGTTAAATCTAATACAAAATCAGGAATTATTTATTAATAATAGATTCCGCCACCAATCAATGCCTTATTTGAAGAAACTATAGAATTTTCCATTACTAAATTGGAATTTATTAAATTAATAGCTCCACCTGTAGATAATTAAGCCTAATTATCTATAAAAGCGCTCATTTATATTGTTAGACTTGCAATTTCAATATTATTCTTTATACTTAAAGCTCCTCCATTTTATAATTAGCATTAATTTTGTTTAAATACTGTATTTTTTATTTAAATAAATTAATTATCAGTAGCATAAATAGATCCTCCAGTACCAACTGCATTTGTGTTATTTATAAAATGACTGTCATTTATTGTAATATTATTACATTAATTCATTATTATTATTGAAGAATACTTATTATCATATAATAAAATATTTTATACTTAAATTTTATCTAATATTAACACATCGATGTTTATAAACTCCATTACAGGATTTTATAATGTAAAATCTATAAATGAAGAAGAATGGATTAATGTTTTACCAATAAAATCTTACTATTTGATTTTTAAAATGGTTATTTAATTTTTAGATGAAATTATATTTTGAATATCACAGTCTGTATAGCTAAGTATTAATATTATAGAAGGCTAACTTAAATATACTATTGAATTTTCTATAGTAAAATTGTTTACATATAACTATAATGCATTTATTGTGAAACAATTTAAAGAGGTATTTAATTTCTAAACAATTATATCAGAGATATGAGTTTATTCAGACTGAGTAACAAGTGAAATATCAGTAGAATTTTGTAAGTTCAAATCTTACAATATATAGTATTTCGATAAATATTATAAATTGTCCTACTTAATTGGTTATAATTATATCAATCGTAATTAATAACAATTATCAACCTCAATGTGTTAAATCTTAGAAATTGTGGCTCCTTATATGCTTAAAACTTAAGAAAATAATACTGACTGTATTATTAAATTTGTCACATTAAAAGAATTTGATAGAGATATTTGAAATGCATTTATGTAGCTAGAGTTTTGTATTTTAATATCAGTTATTACTACTTATTAATTGTTATTCATTTAAAATATAGTATTTCCATTCATCTTAGAGATGTTTATATTTTAAATTATAACATTACTATTATTAGTTAAAGTAAATATTATCTATTGAGATATTATATCAATTATATCTACTTACTCAATTACAACAAATTTACAGTTTTGAATTATTATTTAATTCTGACCATCTCTCTTATTGTCGAATTTGATATTCTAAAAAAGAACTTTATCAAAATCAGATAAATTGAGTGAGCTCTGAATGTTTAAAGTCATATTAAACATTTAAAAGTTTTTCATTTATTTTTTCTAGTTAAGTACTATTGTATTTTTTATAGATAAATTCATATTTTTGAGATAAAAATTTTCTATATAAGGTGGGTAACCTTAAATATCTGAGTATAACCAACAAATATTCTCTTATTGAGATGAAGATTAAATAATCAAGCTAATTTAGTTTTTCAAATCAATATTTTAGAGATTATTTAAATTGTCATTTATGCCTTAAATGCACTATTGATCTAAGTAATTGATTTATATTAGTGATAGTTGTTGATTAAAACTTGAATTAAAACTTTAAAATAATTAAATAGTTGTGTAAACATTTTCGATTGGTCTATTTTACTGTTGTATGTTTATATAGCAATTTTAATTTTATTGTAAAGGAATTATTTAATGCTATATATTATCATAAGAGGAAAGTAAAAGTTCTATATAAGTTTAGTAGTTTTAGTCTCTAATGACTTTCATATTTAATAGCTATTAGTTAGTTTTATTGACTTCATAAACAAGCTGGAAATCAGATAGATACTCTAGTTTAATGAGAGATAGTTTATTTTTTTATATAATAATAAAATAGTTGTTATATTTTGTGCTAATAAAATTTTCAACTTCTTTTATTCCTTTGCCAAGAATTGGAAATTATTGCTAAAAACTTAACCCATTATAAACTATGATATCATTTGGACATATGGAATAAACAAAATCTGAGTCATATGAAATTTTAGCTTACTTTAAACAAGCATTCTAGAGGCTTGTAATTAAATTTAACTTATAAGAGAATACAAAAGTTAAACTTTAATTGTTAACTACATATATCAACTGCCTAAAGGGATCAATTACTACATTTGTAACTCTAGAGTATTTAGCTAATTAATATGAATACAAAGTTTCTTTAGTTTAAAGATTAATTATGTTTACCATAATATTATTGCCATCTTAAACAATTAAACAGATAAGCTATTAGCTATCTTATTAAGGATCATTACTGTTAATCCTTTCTTCATAATTAAAAGGAATATTCCACCAATTATTTTAATAAGATTAAAATTACATTATTTGCAATTTTAAAACAAATTTAATTGCAGCAATACTTGAAAATTTGATTAAATCTATTTTTTGATAGTTTATATCATAAATTTAAAGGAAATTGGATGAAGCAAGTACTATAAATTAACTGCATATTAGCGACATAGAAATATCTACCTCAGTCAAATTAATCAAATTTATTTCAGTTACATTTTTATCATTTAAATTGATTTTGCTAAGCTAATAGTTCTACTAATATAATAAAAATATTTAATTATCCACAATATCATAAAAATAATTGTCAGGTAGACTAATTAATTTTATTTTTTATAACAAATTAAGCTTTTTTTATTATAAATCAGCTTAAACTATGTTAATATATTAGAATTAAATAAATAAAAATTAGCAATCTTAGGTCAAGAGCAACTATGTAAAATACGGGTATATGTTTTATTATGAAGGCTCAAATAGTAAGCTATCAACAAGTTAAGAATTTTAATACAAATTTAGGGAGAGATTTACAATACTATAACTTACAAAGAATTCACTATTAATATTTAAATATTATACTTTTTAGTATTAAAGCAATTTAGTAGGGCTAGCATAGACAATTTCGGTTAGATCAAAAGTAATAATATGTGTGTAAGTCTAAACAATCATCAATGACTACCGAGTATTAAGATAAATTTATACTATAGAAGTAACATTATAGTTTTATAAAGATATTGTTTCTATAAATTACATGCTAGGAAATTAAAATGTTAATATAAATTAATTTGAATAAAAAAAGACTATATTTTTGTTTTTATCCATCAAAACACCTTGGATGTTATTTATATCAATTCTAAAGTTTGTAACATTCAGGGTTAAATAATTAAAAAGATAAATAATTGGACTGCTATCGACTACTATCAAGCTAGTTTATTCTTAATAAAAATAAACTGAATTTTTAGCAAATTATGTGACACACTCATAAACGAATAACTATTATTTTCCTGGGATATTAATAAAATTTACTTATTTTAATGATCCTGTTAGTCCAATCAATATTTTATGATTGCCATCATAGAATAAGCTTGTATTATTATATCTATACTCAAACAAGTATTGATTATTATTAAAGTCCTGTTAACTAAAATAATTAAGATTTTAGTTAAAAAAAACTACTATTAATTAGTCTTGTTTACTTATCAAAGGTATAATTTATTAATCATTCTATATCATTCCTAATTCATATGTCTTTAAATAGTAATAAAGATTAATAAAAATATATTTTATTATATTATATTTCTTACAAAAAAAAAATTATATGTCAAATCATTAAAATATTTTAAATAAAGGATAATGGGAATTCTCCTTCACTAGACAGTAAACATTTTTTATCATATTTTAAACATAAATATGCATAGTAATTTTTATTATTTTTCTCTAAAATTTATAATTAGTTGAAAAAAAGGAAATTTATTAATTTACATTCTATTAAAAGGAGTCTGATTTTTATGCTGAAACTAAATCAAAAATTTCAATATATTTATAGTAAAATACTATTAAACTATCTTCACACTGAACAAAAAAGCTTGGTTAAGATGTTTTGACTCTATATTCTACCAATTTGTATGTCTATTTCAATACCTATTTTAATTAATAATTTTAAAAAAAAACTAAAATATTATAAATTGAATTACATTTATTGAATAAATCTTATTTTAAGAAGTGAGAGCGACTAAAGTTTACTAATTTGAACAGTATTAGTACTTAATAATATTAGATTCTAATTTTAAGATTATTGATACCTATGGCTCATTTTAAGTATTTTATAGATAAAAGATATTTTCCTTTGCCCATATGAAGGATACTAAATTCCAATCAACAATAGCTATTGAGAGATCAAATATAAAATTTAACTTTATTACAACTAATTCATTATTAGCTTTAATAACATCGTAAATGATTAAATTTTATGTGGAATTATCATAGACTGCAATTTTATTATTTTGTAAATTAATATCTTGAATTACATAATTTTATGTAAAATTATATATGCTAAATGGATTGTTGAATAAATTATTAATCCAAAATACTCCATCATAAGATAAAAAACCATGAATTTTAGTATTATTATCATTATCAAAACTCCCTAATAGAGAGCAATCTTCTAATTAACTCATAATAATAACCATATTATTTGTATCTATTATATTATTAGATTTTTTGATGTATTACAAATTTTCATCTAAAAAATAAAACTAAATAGCATTTTTTCCATACAAAGCGACATCAGTTTTAGCATGCATTATTGTAAATTCCTTTAATTCCATGTCGAATCTATAAAAATAGCTTTGATCATAATAAAAAACATATCTGTCATTAAAAACTTAAATTGTATTATCATTAAAGCTTTTTGGATAATTTATTCCGAAATTATATTGTTGGTTATGAGATAAATCAAAGCTATAGACATAAATAAGAGACTAGTAAAATATGAAGATTTCTCCTGTTTTTTTGTAATTAAAGTAAGGATAGTCAAATATAGAGAATTGCATAGTTACAGATTTGTAGATAAATTTTCTTTAGCTGATAGAAAAAGGCTAGCAGTCTTCATAAAAAATTAAAAAATAAATAATATCATTAAAAGCAATTAATGGAGTGTAAAAATTAGTAACATAATAAAAATATGGTTAAGCATCTGTACCAAAATTATAAATTTCTGATATATTATAAGTTATAAGGTCTATTAAGTAAAGAATATTCTCATCGAATTAATTTAAAGTCAAGTAAGCTATCTAATTATCATTTAAAATAATGAAATTCAAAAGAGAAAAATAATATGCTGATGGATTCTGAATTATTTATTAATGTGTATCTAAACTAAAAATTTAAGGAATGCTTTAGATTATTAGTAAATTTCTTTTCTCCAAATATTAAAAAACACCTATTTTTTTTGAAGAATTGTATTGATAAGAAATAACTTACTTTTATGAATTAACGTCAACTACATACTCTATTATCACTGAATCAATTTTTTTACTTAAAAGAAAATACTTATTATTTATTATTTATAATTTGTCAAAATACACTAGACTATCAACTAATTCAAATGAATAGAATATCGTATTTATCATAGAAATTTTTTATATATTTAAAAGAGAAAAATTAATTTTTTAAACTCCTAAAGCTTATGAAGTTAATATTTATTTTTCGTCATAAATATAAAATGAATTTATATCTGTATTTTTATTTGAGCTAAAAATATTTTAGTAATAGCAAGAGCTTACTGTAGAAAATTAACTAGTATGATAATAAGGCTTTTAATATTCACTAGGATTTAAATATTTAATTTAGTAAGTTTAATCAGTAGTATTGAATTATATTCTAACTTATTAGTAATTATAAGTTTAATCATCCAAAATCTATGATAAAAACATTTCTATAATATTATTCTATTTGAAAAAAACATTTGTTATCATTGATTAGCTGGTAATAAATCGACTATTTAATCCTTAGATTAGTGTATTACTTTAGCTCTAAAAACCATTTTAAAGCTTCATTAAATAATCAGTCAAATTGATAAATTGTAGTTTATCAGTAATAAAGAAAAAAAAAGTAGAGTTTTATACTTGGTTTTCATAAAATTAAAACTAATTAATTTAGTTAGGAATAGTTATATTTAGTACTTATTTCACTTAATCTGATACCTAGTTTAAAACGAGTATTTATAATATCTAATTATTTTTATCAAGTTAAATAACTGAATTCAATAAACTACTGTAAAATATATCATTTGTAAAAAAATTTTTTTCTATTAACGTGATTTAGAAATTAGTATCATTTTAGTATAATTACTTATAAACCAATGTTTGTCCTTCATTGTAATCAAAAAAAATACTAATTAAATATTAATATTTTTAAGTTGCTTACATAATAAAGCCTTCAGTTTCTAAATAGGTATTTTAAAATTTTAGTTATCTATCTTCTTCTAAAATAGCTACCTAAATTAATAATTAAAAAAATTTTATAAAAATCAATCATAAATTTCTTTATTTACCTGATAAAAATCAATTGTTATCTATATGTAATAGTTTGTTCTGTTTAGAATATTGATTTAAAAAATACCTTGGATAGTAATTAAATCACATCCCAATGTAGAAAATTTTTATTGTATCAAATCATACCAAGCTATTGAACAGATATAATTTTATTTAAGAAAAATTATTTTATTTTAATAATCAATATATAAAACAAAATAATCCTAATCTAAACCAGTCTATTCAAAAACAATTTGCTTTGTGATAAAATTCATTACTTTTATAGAATTGTTAGCTAAGCAGCCTCCGTATTCTTCCAGAATAAAACTCTTTTTTTAGATTTCCTATCCATTAGGCATATATTTAAGCTAAAAGTCTGGCATATCTTAAAATATTTCGATGTAAATTATTTAAAAATTTGAATCCACTAGAGCAAATTAGCATGAACTTGCTCTAATTAGGTAGTAATCTTGTTAAAGTGGGCTTAATTCGAGAACTTTTTCATCGAGTAGAGGAGGACTGTCGTTAATTTGTATACATTAGCTTATTTTTTCGCATATCTATGTCTTTTAATTTGGATAGTAAGAACTTGGGCAGCTTTTTACGCACTATTATTCTGTATAAGGTTCTTAAATAAAATCTTATTCAGATTAGCAAATTTTTGGCTTTAGTAAACACTCATTATTTTCCCTATCTAAGTATAAATTAGGATTGCACTGTAAGCAGTTTTACTGAGAATCACATTTAATACATCCTACAGTCTAGCATTTAATACAATATTAGTGATTCGCTTATATTTCTCCAACTTCACAATTTTAAACGCATGTAGAAGTATTTAAATCACTTTTATAGAAATTCTGAGGACAACTTATACATGAGTTTTAACTAGTGCCAAAACAATCTTAGCAGCTGCTAGAGCATGGCAAACACTATTACGAAACTAGATTAAATATTTAGCCACTTTTACATTCAGCTCTAATCTTAGATATAAGAGTAAAAATAATTGCAAAAAAATAGCTTATTTTCATTCAAAATTGTATGATAGTTTTATTATCTTTTTGTTATTTTTGAAGGAGTTTTTAATTTGTTTTTTTATTAATTTTTTACATTTAATTACTAAGATACAGTTAATCGTATTTTTAAGCAAAAATTGTATTCAGTAGAATATAAAAGTGTTTTGTATTGATATATGAGTTTTTATATCTATTCAACTTCTAATTTATTTTTTTTACTAGCTATAATATATTGGTTTTTATTATAATTTATTTAAATAAAGACAACTTAATATTAGTGGTTAACTTTGATAATAAGTTTTTTTTTTTAAAAATTTATAGCAATTAGATTAATAAAGCAAACTGATATTTTCCTTTTAAAAATTTTGCTTTCTTTATGTTTTTTAATAAATTAATTTCTTAACAAATTTACATATATATATATTATAAATAAATTTAATTCTAATGAACATAATTATTTTTTTAAATATACTTTTATAGTACATTCTAAATTTATTTTTTATTTCAATATAATTTTTAAAATAAGTTAAATCTTATTTAGATTAACAAATTTTAGGCTTTAGTAAACACTCATTATTTTTCCGATCTAAGCATAAATTAAGACTAAACTTGAAGCAGTATTATTGAGAATCATATTTAATACATCTTACAGTCTAGCATTAATACTTTATATTTCTCCAACTTCGCAATTTTAAACGCATGTAGAAGAATTTAAATAACTTTTATAGAAATTCTTAGGACAACTTATAAATGAGTTATAACTAGTGCTAAAACATTCTTAGCAGATGCTTGAGCATGGTAAACACTATTACGAAACTAGATTAAATATTTAGCCACTTTTACATTCAGCTCTAATCTTAGATAAAAGAGTAAAAATAATTGCAAAAAAATTGTTATTTTTGAAGAAGTTTTTTAATTGATTTTTAGGTTAATAAAAAGAAGTTTACACTTAATTATTTAGATACAGTTAGTTAATCATGTTATTCAGTAGAATCTAAAAGTACTTTGCTATTGAAGCATAAATTAAGACTAAACTTGAAGCAGTATTATTGAGAATCATATTTAATACATCTTACAGTCTAGCATTAATACTTTATATTTCTCCAACTTCGCAATTTTAAACGCATGTAGAAGAATTTAAATAACTTTTATAGAAATTCTTAGGACAACTTATAAATGAGTTATAACTAGTTCTAAAACATTCTTAGCAGATGCTTGAGCATGGTAAACACTATTACGAAACTAGATTAAATATTTAGCCACTTTTACATTCAGCTCTAATCTTAGATAAAAGAGTAAAAATAATTGCAAAAAAATTGTTATTTTTGAAGAAGTTTTTCAATTGATTTTTAGGTTAATAAAAAGAAGTTTACACTTAATTATTTAGATACAGTTAATCATGTTATTCAGTAGAATCTAAAAGTATTTTGCTATTGAAGCATAAATTAAGACTAAACTTGAAGCAGTATTATTGAAAATCATATTTAATACATCTTACAGTCTAGCATTTATTACTTTATATTTCTCCAACTTTGCAATTTTAAACGCATGTAGAAGAATTTAAATAATTTTATAGAAATTCTTAGGACAACTTATACACTAGTTTTAACTAGTGCTATAAAAATCTTAGCATCTGCTTAAGCATTGCAAAAACCATTACAAAACAAAACAAAATTAAATATTTAGCCACTTTTATATTCAGCTCTAATCTTAAATATAAGAATAAATTATTTGCAAAAAAATTGTTCTTTTTGAAGAAGTTTTTTAATTGATTTTTAGATTAATTTAAAGAAGTTTACATTTAATTATTTAGATACAGTTAATAATGATATTAAGTAAAAATTGAATTCAGTAGAATTTAAAAGTGCTTTGTATTGATAACTGAGTTTTTACATCTTTTCAACTTCTAATTTATTTTTTTTTACTATCTATAATTTATTGGTCATTTTTATAATTCATTTAAATAATGAAAGCTTAATGTTAGTGGTTAACTTTGATAATAAGTTTTTTTTAAAAAGAATATTGCTATTCTAGAATAATTATCTCTCTAGTAGGAAATAAATATTGAGTAGAATAGTAAATATTATTTTATAAATTTAAAGAAAATATAAAATAATAAAAAAAGGTATCGAAATATTTCGAAACTAAAAAAACAAAAAAAAAATTTTTTAATTAAGCATTTAATTTTTGAAAAAAAGATAGGGATTGAAGTTTTAATGATCAGTAACTCTGTATATTACGCCTATTTATAGTTTATAAAATTCTATTTATTTTTTCTTAAAGAAATACATGATTATGCAAATAATCATTCATTTGTTGTCTATAAATTAAAAGTAAAATATTTAATTAAGTGATTATTAGACATAAAAAATTAAGTAAAAAGAAATTAACAGCTTAATTTGAAAAATTGATAAAATTTATTAAAAGGTTAATTAATTATGTTTGTGTATTAGAGTTGTTTAATATAAATAAAATGATTTTTTAAAGTTAAATTATAAAAATTATTCTAAAATTAGTTGAATAAATTCAAAATATTTTATTAAAATTTAGATTTGAAAATATTTTTATCAAAATAAGAAAATCATTAATGAAAGTGAATATGAATTTTTATTAAAGTATTTAATAAAGCAGTAAATATAGTATTTTAAAATATAAAACTTAATAAAAGGATAAAACAACAACACATAAACTAACAATTAATTTAATAATTTATTGATTAACAAATATTGAATACTTAGCAGAAAAGTTTAAAGTTAATATTATAAATTTAGAACAATCTAATTGTTATTAGTCAATATAATAAATGAAATTTCATAAATAAATTATTATTCAATTTGGATTGATCAAAAAGAATATACCAACTAACAAACTTTATAAATAACCTCTAGATATTATATTTCAAGTTTATTGTTATTTGATGTATTTAAAGGAGAAAAACAGATTTAATGATTCAATTTCATTTTTAATTTTAATTTTTTATATGAGATATAACATGGTAAGTACTTGAGTTTATATATAAGAAAATTAAAGATAATAATAGTATTTGACGAATATTATAATTCAAATTAACTAAATTAGGATTATGGAATTGCATTATAAGAAGCTAATTTTTAATTCTTCTAAATATTAGATAGATTTTTGTGTTTGTGATTATGTATTTATTAATGGCTAGTTATTATATTAAATTATTGAAATGTTAACACTTATAGTTAGTCTTTTTTTAAATTCTTCAATATTGGTTAATATTATTTTATAATGCCATGTTATTCATATTATTAAGAGGCATTTATTAATGTTAATTATGCATTCCTCCAGAGTTATTGTTAGAGTTTTACTTTTTTTCATCTTCGATTGTTTGGAATTCAAACTTCCACCAGAATTTTATTATATCCATCAAAGAATTTGTTTTAGGGATTTTTTATTTATTTAAACTCCATAAATTTTTACAATCAGTTATTTCATAAGGAGAGTCTTTTCTTGGGCATACCATAAGGACAAGCTCTTTAAAATCTTTTCTCTTTTTATCTTTTATTTCCAGCTTAAAAGAAGGTTCATCCTATGATCTTATTGCTTTAATTGTAAGATTTTAATTATTTTACTTGAATTTTTAAACTTCACTTGTAATTTATCTTTGCATTTCTTAGTCATAAGAGTTAGACTTAGAAAAAACTTCTTTAATTAAACATAAATCTTCATCTTGATTTAATCCTGATTAATTTGGAGTCCATTTTACAACTTATGCACCACCTCCTTATTAACCTTAATCTTACTTCTTTAACTCTTAAGAATTATTATGGCGATTTCTAATTTCTCCATTAGCGTCTTACATGTTTTCTGGATTTGCATTATTATCGTACATATTAATTGCATTTTGATGCTATTCAATAGGAATTTACCTGCCACCTCCTAAATTCAACTAAGTCTTTTTTAGTTATTAACTATTGCTATTCCCTAAATATTATTACTACTACTAATCTAAGTTAGACATAGAATCATTAGGGCGCTATGTTTAATCTTCTAATTTAGGTTATTCTCCTATTTACTAATTGAAGTAAGAACTATTATTCATATCATTATTTTCTATATTGTTTGTTGAGTTTTATTATTGGTATCCATTTTTCACTATATTTTATTGTTGCGCTTGAGGGTTAAAATAGTTAGGATTCATCATTTATTAATTCTACTTTGGCCCTTGAGGATTACCTCTTTACTAACCCATCCATTGTTAAGGCTAAAATTAAGGGTTTTATTATTGATTCCTTTTAATAGATATTAATTTTATTATTTTTTATTAAACAATATTATTTTTAAATAAAATAAAAAAATGCATATATTAGAAATAAAATTTGCTAACTTAATTAAATAGTAGTTTTTTAAATTAAAATTAAATTAATATAAAAAAAATCTTTCATGCTAGGAAGCTTGGGGAAATAATACAAATTTTTTTTCAGAATTTATAGTAAATAAAAAAAAATTTTAAACATAAATTTGAAAACCAAATTTTGCTTGCTCAAAATATTGATTGATGCTTTTTTATTCTAAATATGTAAAAAGAATTATAAAGAAAATTTACTGTTAAATAGATTGCATTTAGTCCTCCATTATTTTTGTTTATGAGATTTAACGATTAACAGGAGCCTAATTTTATTAAGGAGGCACATTGTTGTAAGGTCCTTATTGCATCATTTAGTGTTATTAAGGTATATTTGGATCTATTGCTTGGTATGGGTATTGTTGTTAGTGAGATTAGTAAGTATTGGAATATTACCCCTTTGACATAAAAGGAGGCTATTATGGCTACTAAATCATTTATGGGTTGTTAGGGTCAGCTGGGTAATTTTAATTTTTCTAGTACATGTGGTGAGGATAACCTTAAGGAGGAATATGATGGCTTGGACCTTGGCTTGGAGGGTATTCTTGAGTTGGTGTTTGGGTCACTGAGGCATTTAGTGTTTACTGTTTATTTGAAGGGAAAAATTGATTATGCTATTCATTTATCGTTGAGGAGCTCTCGTTCATGTTCGAATTCCGCGGCGAATTATTCTCTGATTTAGTTATTTATAAAAGATCGTAACCTTTATTGTCTTCGTCGATTTAATATGGATTATTTAAAAATGAAGGGATATCTTCCAATAAAATAGATTATTTACCACCGTTTTTGGCTCCAACGTTATAGGACTTCCCTTGTTGTGCATTTTGTATTAAGTTAGGTGAATAACCTTATCCCACAATTGGTTGTTGTTGCTGCTACTACTGCTATTACTATGATTAAACTTACTACGGCTATAAATTGTTCTGCTAATTTGGCTATTGGTTGGTGTTCTGTTGCTATAAACCTAACTATTGTAGTTGTTATTGTTGTTAATTTCCTTATAACTATGGTTGTTGCTATTATGGTCCTTATGGTTGGCCAGCTGAAAATTTGTTATTTTGAGCTGCTTATTTTCCGTTATTAACATATCCTTACCCTCCTGGTCCAGGTACTATTGTTCCTGGAGGTCCTTATACTTGTGCGACTCCTGCTGGCCCAACTGGTACAGTGTTTCCTTGAGGCATTGAGGGAATTTATACACTATTGAATTGGATTTAATTGTATTACTATTATTATAACTGAGGGTCTATCTAGTTTGGGCCTTATATAGGTTGGCTCATTCTCTTTTGATTGGTTTATACACCTGGTGGTTATTATTATTACTGGTTAGCTTAATTATACCCACCATTCCCTACTATTTATTACTATTAATGCTACTAGAGAGCTAACTTAGCTTAATTAGCTTTTGATCCTGGCTGAGTGGTTGGTATAGTTTAGGGAGGAATCTATTATTCCATTTATTATGGAATAGGCTATCCTGGTTGGTAATTCATCGGAGTGGGTGTAGGAGCTGCTATCCCACCTGAATTAAATTATGCAGGGTTACTTCCGTCTTGCTTTATCATACCCTTATTTATCATTTAAGGATTTGGATTAATCTGTCCTTTTTGATTTCCTGGATTCTATGGATCTATTTTATTTGAGTTGTAGGATTGTTAAGCTATATTTGGAGGTTGTGTTTAACCTGGTAATTAGTTAAAACTTTGCTAATAACTTGATTTTAAGTCGTTAGATGATTAAATATTGTTCGGATTTCCACCTTTCTAAACTGGAATACCTTGCTAAAAGTTCTGAGGGTTGTTGTACTAAGGATTTCCTTGGTGATAGCTGTTTTTAAGTCCATCTTCTTGTGGTCTTAAATTCATTCTTTCCAAGCTACTATTCAAGTTAGGTCCTTTATAGGGAGGTTATTACATATTTTAGTTTCCTTATAATTAGCCAGCTTAATTTGGATAAATAGGTCCATTTTGTGGTTAAACTGGGTTTATGTTTTAAGGAGGAAACTTTCCTTGCTGATTTGCAAACTAGGATGATGAAGATAAGCCTTAATTATTACCTTAAATAGGCTATGCAGGATTTTATTAATAAGGAATATTTTATGGATTGTAAGGAGATCCACCTGCCTATTAAGGGGGTTGCATTTACTTATTGTTACTACTTCTATGCTATGAGCCATGATTGCTATTACCCCCTTTTGCTAAACTATGATTAGATTCATTCAAAGACTAGTATGCTTGTAAACCATTAATTCCTTATTATTGAGCATTAAATTAATTTGGAACTCCTTAATGTTGATTATTTGGAGCCTATTAATAATTCATCGTTGCGTGCACTGATCCATTCAAGGGAACAGCTTAATTGTAATCTGGTTGTGGTTGGGGAGTATCTATTTCTTAATTAGGTAATTTAAATAAAGAAGGTTATTGTTATTATTATATTTATTGTGAATTTTATTGTTATGGCTATGCTCTGTTTCCGACGAGGGAATTGTGCAAAGAAGTATTCTATTGCTATTGAGAAGAAGAGAGTCCCCCAATAGGTTGTGGTTATTATGCAAGAGGACGTGGCTAGTTAGGAGGAATTTAGGGTTGCATAGGTGTATTTTACTATAATTATTGATGCTTCAATTGAGAAATTTATTAAGGATTCATTTAATTCATAGAATTATTAATTGGAGGAATACCTTTATATTGTTGCTATTATTAAAAATACGCTTATTAATCTAAATTTGAATTAGATCCAGCAATTTAATTTGAATTCTTTTACTATATATAACCAGGTTGAGCACTATGTTATTATTAAGTATAGTCATTATTGATTGGCTAGGGTATTTGTTACATATCTTGTAAGGGAGCTCCGGTCATATTTGGAGACCTTTAATTAATTTAGTTATTTTGAGGGCCATAAACGCCACTGCTCTAAAGAGAATTAATTTAATTATAATTATCATGCTAACTTTAAGGCATATTAGGAGGATTCTAAGGTGCATTTACTGGAACTCCTTAGGGTAGATACCCAGCTGGAGGAGGATTATTTTGATAATTCTAATTAAATTACTGCTGTTAGGGAGGTTAACCCTACTATGGCATGTAGCGCTAATTATTTTATAAAGGTTGGGATTAAAGGGGCTAATTAATCTATACCTGCATTTGCTGCTAATTTTACTACTGATTTTGGGGTTATGAATAAGGATCAGCAGGATAAGAATCGTATATATCGCCCAAATCATCAGTTTTATTATAATCTACACCCAAGAACTAATCTGGAGGTAAAAATTGTTAGTCTATATTACTGTAATAATCGCCTTACCTGCTAGATCCATTAAGCAAATTATTTGTTTGGCCAGCGCCACCAAATTCATTATTTCCTAATCCCGTATCGTTGTTAAAATTATCATAAGGATCTAAGTAAGTGTTATCCGTACGATAACCTAAATTATTTTTGCTGGGATCTACTCCGTCAGCGTCATTTCCAAAAATTCCATCATTATAATTTGAGTCAGCTCTTGAAAAACCTGGTTCTTATATAGAATCTACGTTCTAATAAGTATTTCCGCTATTTGCATAGGAGTAAGGGTTTGTGCCATTTCCTTGATATGAAGAGAACTGTTGCTAATTAAGAGAAGGATCTGATGGATCTATTAAATTTTAATTAAAATATTGCTAATCCTATTAATATGGCATTTGCTGCTACTACTGCTACTATCTATTCATAGATGCAGAAGGATTCTGCTGATAATATCCATATTACTGTTGCTACTACTACTACTACTGCTACCACTGTTCGCCTGCTTGACCAATGCCTTAAATTTATTACGTTTGCTTATTAGGCTAATTTAGAATTCTTTATATTCTTAGTACTGCAAAGCTGTAATCTACTAGAAAACGATAAAGTTCCTCTTAAAGTTAAGGCTAGTTTTTACTATTTACCAAATCGTTTAAAAATGCTTCATTTATCAGGTCTTGAGATTTCTTTTTGTTAATGGATGTCTTTCCTATTTTATCTTCGGGTAGCTTATCTAGTACCTCTGAGTGACGTTCAAAGATGACAGTGCGAAAGCAGTTTTATAAGGTGTTATTTGCATAAATTAAGTCTTATTTCATATTTTGAAAACTTTATTCATTTGCTTTATCAGTGTCTATTAATTTCTTAACTAAAATATGTAATAATTTATCATTTTAACAGTATAACTTCTCGCCCCATATCTACTTCAATTCCTAGGTAATTTGCTGAAGCTAAAAATCTTTTGACATTCAAACTAACTACAGGACTTTTTTTGCTTGTTTTTGATTTTTTTCTACCCTTTTATTGATATTTGATACTAAAATGAGTGAGATAGATTATTTTTAATTTTTAAGATTAATAGTAATTAGTGTAAATGTACTCTACTTAAAAAGTGAGCTAAAGAAATGTTTGCTTTTTTATTCTAATGAAGTGAAAAGTCTTTTGGAGGAGCTCTAATAAAATATTTTACCTAAACAAAGATTTCTATTGTTAAACTGTATTTTCGTTTCCGTTTTTTGCTTCAAATACCTTTGTTCTTTAAAGCTTGCTTGCTTGCTTACTTTATTTTGTTTATTTCTTTATTTTATTTACTTCGTACAAAGAAAAAATGTTGTATTCTTCTTTGTGATTAATTATCTTTCTTCTCTTTTCTAAGCAGTGAGGTTTATGCTTTTACTTTTAATTAATAAACTAGTAGTACCTTTATGTTTTTTTTTAATGCTTATTATTAGAATCAATGAACTACTTAGAGATAGCAAAAGAAAAAATGATGAAAATTTAATATTACTTATGTAATTATAATAAATAGCTAATTAAACACTCTTTTATGAATAGAGTTTTTTTTTCCTTTTTTTTTCTTCCCTGTGGATTACCTTAATAATTGTTTATCTCACTTTGATTTTTATTGTTTTTTTTTTTGGATATTAAATTTCAATTAACAAATGAATCAAATCATAAAAAAAGCAATAAAATGCATAAACTTATTAAATAAAAAAAATACACAAAATATACACTTAAAAATTAACTTATATCATTTGCTATTCAAGAATCAAGCAAATTTACGTCAAACAAAAAAGAATCTGATATAAAATTTGTATGAAATTAAATAACAAATAATCAATCAGTCAAAAATTTTTGCACTATAATGAATAAATTTGACGATAAGCAATTTAATCATAACTATAGTTTATTCGTTTGTTTTCTTTTCAATAAATCAATACTAAAGCAATTAATTCGCTGAGAAATTCTCAGCTCCAACCAAAATTTTCTTTTATATTTTCTATCAAATCAAATTAAATGCTGAATGCTTTTATATATTGAGCTTCCCCATTCTTGCTATTTACTTATTTCTTACCTTATTTCTAATATTAACATTAATTATTTGAGATAATTCATTCAATTTCCATCTAATCGTAAATAGTATCTTGGTTACTGCATTGTCATCCAAAAATAAAACAAGAATTATAAATATTTTCTCATATTAACTGACAATTTATCAGTTTTTTGATGCATTTCACAACTAAAAATATTATTTCTTATAAATTCATTAGTATATTCCAAAACTTTTCCTCTTAATAATCTGATATTTAAATTTTCCACTGTCATTGCAAAATTTGAAAAATACAATAAATTTATAAATATGTAGTTTATTCAAGTAACTCTAAAACTTTCATTTTCTGCTGAAATACAAAGTGAATACAAAAATGGTTAATCTTAAAAGCAGTTCATGAACTTCTTTGATATTTTATATTTTGTTTTTTTTTTCACTTTTGTATAATTATCTTACAGTCTTTTTCTTTGCAAAAATGTATTTTTATTATAGAATAAATTTAATTCAATTCCATTCTTATTAATAAATAATTAAAAAAGCCCTTGTTCTTTGTTTAGATTCAGTATAAAGCACTTTGTTGAACTCAGCCTTTACCTTCTAGTAATTATATTTAATTGTATATAAGGAAAATCTAGTTTTGAATTCTTCCTTCCTAATACTATTTAAAAAAGAGTATTTACCAAAACCACTCATTTTGCTAGGATAAAACTCGCCAGTAATTCCAAAAAAATTTGAATAAATTACTATATAAAAAGTAAAATAAATGCTAATATAATATTAAATTATTTAAATTCTAAATTTTAATCACATATAAAATAAGTATTTTTTGATTCCATTATTTTTAACATATGACGAAAATAAATTATCCTTTTGGTTAATTAAATTAAAAAAAAAATCTCCAAAAAACCAAATTAACAGTCTTCTTTTGTTTTTTATCTTTAGTGCTTGCGTTAAGTGACTAATTCTTAGTATATACTTTTTTTTAAGTTGGCATAACAATATATTTGATAATAGATAAGCTTGAAAAATAATAATAGCAAATAATTAAATTGAACGTAAATAAAAAGTAATTAAATGACTATAGTATGAATTATTTTACAAATTATTGCTTATGATTTATATTTCTTATAAATGCATGCAAAAATTCATATGGATAAGATTTGTTTACTCCAAAAGAAATCAATTTTTAAATACATAAACATTAATTAAAGTCAAATTTGATCTTTATCTAACTCTAAAATAACTAGAAAAAACAACCAATATATTTTTTAAAAATTATGAATAAATTCTGCAAATTTCAATAAATAATTTATTAAAATCGAATATTCATAACATTTCATTTCTAAAAATATAAATTATTTTGTCCCAAACCTGTTATTTTGCTAAAACTTTCTAAAATATTGTTTAATTATTTATTTATTTTCTTCTTTAATAAATTATTAAGAATAACATCTATCTAATGATGAAAAAAATTTCATTTATTTTTAAAAATTTAATTTTCAAGATAAATAAATAAATAAATAATCAGACACAAACATTTCCCACTTGAAATATCAATAATCTAGTATTTCTTAAATATTTTTTATATTTAAATATATATTTGATATCTTAATTTATGTTTCAAATAAAATAAATTATTAATAAAATATTTATATGCTCAATCATTCATTTACTTATTGGGTAATCATCAAATTTAATAAAAAATATAATTTAGTATTTGAAAATGATCAAGCTTACTTGTTTTATAATAAAAAATATAAACCAAATTTATTTATCTAATAAATATTTAATCTATATTCATCTTTTCAAATCAAATCTAACATATTAAAAATGTTTCTATTTAATTTTAGATTAATAATTTTTGATTTTTTTTATGCAGCTATTCATATTAATTTATGTGATTATTTTTAAATATCGAATAAACTATAATTGCTTATTTTATATATATAATTGTTAAAATTATTTTTTTAATTGAATTTAAGCATAATACTGAAATAAAATATTTTAGAAAAAAATCACTTGGTTGATCATGCTTTTTTAAAAAAAATTTTAATAATTTAATATTTTATAACTATGAACTGTAATCTTAAATAAAGATAACAAAAGTATAGGATTCAATTTGATGAAAATAATATTTAAATTCATTTTTATATTAATGATTTTAATTTATTTTTGTGTATATTTATAACTAGTTAAAGTATTTGTAAATAAATATATCAATAAAAAATAGAAGATATTTCGTAAATATTCATATTTATTTGGAACTGTGTATTGAACTATTTTTTTATCCTTGTTTTATATAATTAAATGAGAGTTAAGCAGATTAATTTTTTAATAAGTCTACCAATTTTAAGAATTTAATAATATTATTTTTTATCCATTAGATAAAGTAAAAGAATATTATGACTTTAGATTTAGAATGAAGTCATTTATTTTTGGATGAGGTGTATTTTTTTATCTTAATTTATTTCAATCTGATAAAAGTTTAATAAATGTATATTTAGTATTTAAGTAAATAGCTTAATGAATTTAATAGGATTAAAATTCTTGTAAAATAATGACTATTAATTTATTTAAAAAAGTAATTTAATTATTTTGAATAAAAAATCATTTAATTTTATAATATTTTAAAAACAAAATCTTTAAATGAATTTGAATTAAAATTGACTACATTATTAAAAAATAAATTAATTTTTATTATTTATCAACAAAAAATAGGTTTAGATAATCAATGAATGATAAACAGTAATTCCTCAATAATTAAGATACCAAATTATTATCGCAATTTTCTGAAATATAATATTTAATCAAATATATAAAAAAATCTATGTATAACAAGTATTTAACAATTAAGAAAATCAATAAAATATAATCTAAAACTATGAATTAAATTAAGTAAGTTTATACAATAAATAAAATTCTATATATTTTTTAAGTTTTAATACAAAATCATTTTTATTGATAAATTAAATTAGTTGAAAATTTGATTAAACATTTATTATTTCTTTATAATTAAAGAATAATGTTTATAAGTAAAGTAGCTATGGTTAAAGTTTATTCATTATAAAGAAAGAACTTGCTTATTTAACTACACTTATTACATTTATTGATATTGAAAGATTTATAAAGGATTGTAATTGACTGGCTAGCATTATTGTTAATTATTTTATAATTAGTAGTATAGAGGATTTATTTACATGAAAATTTGCTATTGTTATTATTATGATGATGATGATTACTATTGTTAATACTACTACTGCTATTGGTTTTAAGAAGTTTGTTAGTTTTACTAGAATAATATTTAATATTAATTTTATTATTCAGGATTTATTGTTTAGGTATTTAAAGGAGCACTTTATTAAATTTTGGAATAAGAGTTAAATTAATTATCTAAGATACAAGTGTTTTAACTGCTAAATGATAAAGAGGATTTTTTGGTATCCTTAAGTACAGGTGTTTGGCTCTCAGAAGACATCTTTTCTCTATTAAATGATATAGAATTATTGCTATACAAATAAGATCCTTTGTTTTGGTTTGATTGTGATTAAGTTTGTTCTTCTTGGATAATCAAATTTTAATTAACTATATCGTTTTCATCCAAACATTTTTATGAGCTCAAAGAAAGTGAAGTGCTTTAGTCTTTGTTTTATAGATCTTTACAAATTTTATTATAATTTAAATATTCTTAATCACTTTATTTTTTAGATTAAACTTTTTTTAAGCTACTGCTGTTATCATTTTTATAAATTGGAATTGTAATTTTGACTCTCTTTTATAGAATATCTCTGCATGTCAAATCAATAACAACAGTGCTATATGCGGTTGAAGTTTCTTTTGGACTTGAATCATCTTAGAAGTTATTTTACTATGATAATTCTCCTAAATTCCTCTTCTTATTAATAATTATTCCTTAACATGTGCAGCATTTTTAATTGCTAGATGAATTTACTTCATTTTATTCTAATTATTATTATTATTATGGTTTTTAATTTTTAAGATTTTATTTTTATTATTTTTAGTTGTCTTTTTCTTATTTTTATGAGCATTCGTTATCAGATTCATTTTTTACAGACTAGCTAGATCTGGAAACCTTTATTTTTTCTAAAGTACCTTAACTTATTTTGTAAGCTGCTTTCATATCATCCTATTTATCAATAAATAAATTATTTAGTCATTTAAATTTTTTAATTAAAATTATTTACAATATTAATTAGCTTAATATAATTAGAGGGTATTTAACTTGGTTGTTTTGCTGAATAGTTTAAAAGAGAAGAGGAAAGAGGAGATAAAAATTAAGATATTTTCTAGCTAAGATTATCAAATTCAAGACTATTTTAATGCTCGCTAGGATCGTTTAAGTAAAGGAGTATGAAAGGGACCTAATTATTTGTTTAATCGTCACTCTAATTTTCAGTTTGCTCCAATAGTTGGTAAACAATTTTTTGGTAGAAAATTAAGAACTATTTATTCTAAAAATATAAAATTAATTTCATTTATAAATTTTAAAATTAAATATTACTATTAATTGTCTGTTTTGATCAAAATACTCGTCAGGAATATAGTCTTTGTTGAAGTACATATTGAGTGCTCTAGGGAATTTTAATGAAAGGAACAAAGGGTTCACACTCTATATATAATTGATAATTAAAAGTTAAAATTTATAAAAAGTAGAAATAATTATTTATCACCTTATGTCTAATGTAAGGATTTAAAAAGTAATTATATAGGGAAGCAACATCATCACTGAGAATTGATTTCTCATTACTTTACTTAGAATAAAATTCGTACTTCTTTTCAATTATTTCAGATGGGAAGGGATCATAATTTTCATAGATACTTTACTATTTATTTACAAGAATTTATTAAAATTATATTATAATAATGAATATAATATATTTACTCTAGCAAGCCAGAATTTTTAACGAGCTTCAACATAAATTGGTGGAGAAATAATAATATCTTCTAAATCCTGTAAATCTGTTATTTCATCTACTTTTTATCCAGCAGAAACAAGGATAACCATTCTGAAATATTAGCTCTTTAATTAAAAAAAACATTCAATTAAAATTGAAATATAGACAAATTAATTAGCAAAACCAAAAATAAATTTAAAGTAAAGTTAAGAAAAAAACAATATTGATAAAAGTAGTTTTTAAAAAGAACTAAAAAATGCATAAAAGATAAGGTAAATATTCTTTAATAGTTTCAATCAATCAATGAAATTAGAGAATATATTATAAATATTCTATTCAAAAAATGAATGCAAAATATTTAATAAAATGATTTTTTATTTTCTCATTCAAATTAAAAATCTGAAAAGATCTCTCATTCATGATATAAAAAAATAATGTGAAAAATATTTTTTGAAAGTTGCTTGAAAAAAAATTTAAAAAAAAAACATTTATGTTTGATTAGAAAAATATTTAGCATTTTGCATTGTTAAAGAATTTAGTATTGATTTAAATTAGCTGAGTTAGAATTAGAAAAAAATTCAAAAAAGTCAATTTATTGATTAATTTTCTTAGTTTTTATAAAGCATCTTTAAAAACTGATGAATTAATTAATAGATTTTGCATAATAACATAATTAAATTAATTAATTACTCTAGAGACAAATGTAGTTTCTGAATATTTGATGCCTTATATCAGGCACATGTCTTTGTTGAATTTTTCATTGTTTTTACCACTTAGCAGCACTTCTTCGAATTAGTTATTTTCAAGTTTTTTAAGGCACAAAGCTTTTGCGTAAAGCTGAGGAGGAGTACATTTTTAATTGCTAGATGAATTGAGAATTGAATTGTTTGAATTGTTAAAGCTAGCACTGAGACGGATAGTAGGGACTACCAAATTTTTGAACCATACCCATAAATTGCGTGAGTTATTGAAGGTGAATGGTCTTAATTCAGTAACTTTAATTTCAAAATTTTTAGGTGCCTTGTGGTTGAGTCTGTTGTGGTACCAGGTGAAAGAACTGGGATTGTTTTCTTCTAAGAGTAGATTTGATTTTTCAAACTCTTATATTTGAGTTATTAGTTTATTAAAAATATTCATAATGAGAAGGTATGTATATTGATTAGTCTCTTTTGTGATTAATTTGTAAGATTGAAGAAATGGGAGGGATTTATATGCTGATTATATGCTCAAATGAGTTTGCCAAACAATTTTGAGAAGTGAAATGAGGCTCTCTCTAGTAGTTTTTTAATGAGAAAAAATATATTTTTTAATAAAATAAGATGAGGATTAATAATTTATTTGTTTTATGATTTTTTGTATTATATCTATTTCATTAAATTCAAGAAAAAGTAATGGCAGCAAATGCCTAAACAAAATTCAAATAAAAAAATACACTGTAGTGATTTAGTTACTATAATTGGTGTAATTAAGTTTATAATATTGATTTGCAAACAAAAAATTCACTGGGGATGATTTCTAATTCAAAAAAATCAAAATAAATAAATTAATGTAATAATCATATTATCTATATCTTTTCAAGTAATTTCACACTTTCCTTTGGCTCCTTTGCTTTTTTGCACGAATTTTTTAGTTACTTTGATCGGAGTAAGCCTCAATCACCAAAAATCATCGTATTCCTTAATAATGAAAACAATTCAATTTTTTATTGTTCTACATTATGCTAACAACCTACCTTAACAGGAATACTATTAAAAGTCTACTAATGCAAAATAATTAGGATGAATCTAGATGATAGTAGTTATTATTCTTAGATTTTATGGCTTTGGGTTGAGGGATTTTATGGATACCTATAAGATTCATTTATCCCTTAAATAAATATGATATTTTGCAACAAAAACATTTATTTTTCATTTATATTTCTTGAGAAAAGTTAATGAATATTTTGGAAATAAATTACTCTAGTTTAACATCATTCCATACTTGATTTTATATAATTCCTTTAGCATTTGTAATTTTAAAATATTAATTCCCTATTATGTCATATTTATTATCAATATATAGCTAAGCTGATCAAAGCCTTATATTTTATTATAGTCTAATTGTGCCAAAAGTAATTATAAAAACCCTTATAATAGTATAATATCTTAAAAAAGTAAAACACCTATTAATTCTTAAAATTCTAAAAAAACATAAATCTTTGTTGGTTATTTATCCAAGGCGGTGCCATTTTAATCTATATTTGAGTTTTACCACTCAATATTTTTTTCAATTAGCAATAGCGAATAAATTGAAGTTTAAAGTCTTTCTTTGTGATTTAAATAAGAAATCAAGCTCTTCTAACATAATTTTAATTTCGTTTATGATGACTAAATCAATATTATATTAAAAAATAAATACACACACACATACATCAAAGCTAATAAAAAAAATTTAAATATTTTTTTAATAATTATCTGTTTGGGATTTGAATAAATTGAAATTGACAAAAAGAAGATTAAAGATTTTTCTTTAACTAAAAATATATCTGTTAGTTAGTGATTTTTAAGGAAGCGAGTTCCTACATATAAAAAAGCTAAAGATAAAAGAAAAAAATTAAAATTTCTTCAATGAAGAAGATTTATGAAGCCTTCAAAAAATTAAAAACTTTAAAAAATTAGGGTAATAATTAAAGTGAAATAGCGCAATAAGATACTAGAAATTAAATAAAATATATATCTTAAAAATTTTATTAAGAGATTTTAATTTTTTATATGAATAAGTGAATTCAATATATTCATTATTTTTATGGTTTTTTGCTTTTTCCTTTTATCTTTTATATACAAAAAAAATATATTGATACTGAATGAATAAATAATAAATAATTCACTTATTTTGCTCATTACATAATAAATTTTTTATTATTTGCTTCCATTGCTATCTAAAATTAAATCTAAAAAAGATAAACTAAAAGTAATAAGCAAAACCTCTTAAAACGAATTCATACCCCAATAATAATTAAATTTTCTATTACTAAAATTGCTACAGATTCTAATCATCTAACTTTTAAAAAATTAATAGCAGAATAAATTTTTTATATTAAAGTAAGCCTTAAATACCAACAAAAATCTGAATTTGAATATTTGCACTTAGTTTTAGACTTCAAGCTATTTTAAAAAGTGAGTAATTTATGTTACTAAAAAATGTTTAGATGGTATTTGATTGGTCAAATATAACAATTTATTTTCTTATTTCAAAGCTTGAAAAAACAAAATCATCATGATTTAGATTATATAGATAATATAAAAAAAATATTTAGATTGACCAAAATTGTCATATAAATATAATTTTATAGTTTCTTTAATAATTTGATTGGAATTTTTTTTTAGATATTATTTCAGCTGGAGTAAATCTAATAATTAAATTGAATGAATTTTCTATTTGACTTAATTATCATAATTGATTACACCAATATTATAAATTAAACTGAAATTGACTTATATTTTATATCATTTAAAATCACTGTAAATTAATTTAAATTGTATAAATTCTCTTTTTTTATTTACAAAATTAGTATTTAAACAAAATTTATTTATTTATATTTAAAGCTTTTAATAATCTTTTTGTTTATTAAAATTAGATTTTATTATCAGTTCAAAATATTTTTTTATTTTAAAATTTAATATTTTTATCAAATAAATTCAAATTTTATTATATATTTAAAAATAAAATGAATTAATGAATACAATTTATTAGGAAGTCAATAATTATTTTTGATATCAAATAAATTAATTTATAAATTTAATCACGCTTCTATTTATTATAAATATTACTTTTTATATTACTAATTAATTAAAATTATAAATCATAAAAGTAAATTTAAATAAAATTAATTTATATTAAATATTTTAATAGATTTTTAGAAAAATTATAATATAAACTTTAATGTTAATTAAATAATTTCAATTAGTTTAATTTACTATTTAAAATACCTTAAACTTAGTTATTTATTAAGCTATGAGAGGACTATTTATTTTTTGTATTAGTCAAAATTTAATTTATTTTATTATTTTAATTATTTAATTTATTTAAGTTAAAATTTAATATTAAAATTAAAAATTTTATATAAATATTTTTTACATTTATGAATAAGACACTTTTCAAATTTGATAAAACTTATTTTAATTATATTATTTATATTTTAAGTGATTATAAAGCGAGGATAGCGAGGGGGAGGGAAGGGTTTTGAGAAATTATTCAAAACTCATCTATGATAATATTGTAATATTATTTTCTTAAAAATAGATAAAATCGATTATTATATAATTAGGATCACTCATTATTTAAAGATGTTTAAAAAAGCAAAATGTATTATTTTTATATAAATAATTAGTTATTTGCTATTAATAAAACATTTTGTATATAATATTAGACAGTTTAAATATTTAAATAAATATTCAAATAATCATCTCTTTTAACCATTCTTTCCCTTTCCCTTTACCTTATAATTTTTATAAAATTTCATTTAAATTTATTTTTATTTTAATAGTCATTTAAATATTTTTTAAGGATGAAAATCCAATAAATGCTTTTATTAATTATTATGAAAAAGTATCCATTAAATTAGATTAATATAATATCTTACTCTAGTATATTATTAATTCTATAATTTTGAATTATTGGCTAACTATTGGAATAACCATCACTAAGCATATTTATTTGTGGATAAATATTTTTCTTCCAAAAATCTTATTTTTAAATGATTATTTTTAATATCTAAATAAAATTATTTAGCACTGCAAATAAACATAAGTTAGGCTTAAATAATTTAAAGTATGTTCATTAATTTATTTTTACTATTGTTAAAAAATTTGTGTTATAATTTTTTTAGCTTTCATAGTCATTAAATTTAAATGTATTTTGTTTTTAATTATGTTCCCTATTTTTAATGCAAATAAAAATTTTATAATATAATTTTTAAATATTGCGTTAAGATAATTATATATAAATACATCTAATAATTAATTAGTGTTAAGGAAAATGATAAATAATCCTCAAAATATATTTTTAACTAAGAAGAGAAATAAATTATTTTATTTAAATGGTGTTTTAAAATAAACTTACATGATGAATAATTACATAAAGATGATAGTATAAATGAATTGATATACAATTGAAATTCTATTTAAGTTAGATATATTTATTTTATTGTAATTGATTGATAGTTTTCAAAAATATAAATTTATTAATATTTATTTGAATAGGGTTAATAATTCATTAATATGTTTTGTTTATTGAGTGTTTTTTAATTTCATTAATAATTAATTTTAAATTTATTTTTTACAATTTAATCAAAACTTTATTTATTTATTTGATTAATTAGTTAATAGTATTTTAGAAAGGTCAGTAGGATTTAGTTGTTAGGCCTTGATTTAATTTGATTACACTTTTAGATTGGTTATAAATTCAAGTAAAAAGATATTTTCAAAATTAATAAAGTATATTTAAAGAGTTATCATAGCTATTTATTTTAGTAATTAAAGCTATTATTAATAAATTGTTAAAATTGTAGTTATGGTTGTTATAATTAGTGTTAAAGCTTTTAAAAATCTTGGTAGATATTTAAACTTAACTGATTATCAATTTAAAAGAGTTGCTTTAAATAATTAATGATATCAATAATTTATACATCTTAATTTAAAAAATGGTTGTTCTTAATATTTAGTCATACAAGCATCATTGTCAAAGACCTGAATTTAGTTTTGATTACACTTTTAGATTTATTATAAATTCAAGTGTTATTTTCAAAATTATTAAAGTATATTTAAAAAGTTATCATAGCTGTTGATTTAGTAATTAGAGCTATTATTTTGATTAAATTGTTAAAATTATTGCTATGGTTGTTGTAATTATTATTAAAGTGGTTGAAAGTTTTGGTTGATATTGCAATTTAATTGGTTGTCAATTATGAGAAGCTTTAAATAATTAATAATATCAATATTTTTAAAAATTGATTAAGTTTATCTAAGATTTGCATCTTAATTTAAAAATGATTGTTCTTAATATCTAGACATATAAGAACTATTATCTAAGGTTCCTTGGATGTTATACAATAATTAATTATTTAAGTCATATTGATTAAATGTATTATGGTTTATTTAATTTATTTCTGGTTATTGAGTGAAAATGTTTCTTTCTGGTTATTAGAATTGACAATTCTATATTTAGTTAGAAACACTATCTTAAAATTCGCTTCTATTTTCAGAAATAGAAAAGCATGGTAATGGTTAGGTTTATTTTAAAGGAGATCTGGCTTTCTTTTCAAATTTTATGTTTTATTCGGTTTCTATGTTTGCTAGAATATTCGAGTCAAATGAAATAGATGACTTATTGTTATTTATAGAGTCATTTTTAGTACTGGTTTTCATTATCTTTTAAGGAGAAGCTGATTGAGATAAAATATTGTAGTCGGCATTCGATTTAGCATTTTTAACACTCAGATCTTAGTCATTATGAGAGTACACATTATTTACTAATGCTTTGATTGAGGTTACTTATATACTTGAAGATTACCTATTAAATTCAAACACTTATTTGATGCTTTTCTTTTGAATTTCTTCGAATTTGGTGATGTTTGATTCATGACGAAGAACAAAGAAGGACTCAACCTTTTGTAATTTATTTCTAATGTTTAGTAATACTTTAGTTAACTCATAGTAAGCTCTCTTATAGTTGTCAATGAATCCCTAATTTTATAGTAAAAGATATGTATTTATAATGAGTTAATTGTGTATTATTATAATGACAATAATTATAATTTTGTGCGCAACATCATAAATTGAATGATATTATTGTGACATCTAAATTATCAATTTAAAAATTAAATTGTAACATAATTTGATATACGTCATATTAATTAAAATTAATCATTCTTGGTATGTTGAATAGAAGATTGAATTATTTTATTTAATAATAATTAAACAATCACCAAAAATTATAAAATTATTACCTCCTTCTATAGACATACGTATGAATTGTCTTTCTTTAAGCGATTCAGTTCCTGTTCGGAGAAGCAAAGCTTGACTTACTTATTTTTAAGAGGTTTAAGGTATGACTCAACCTTTATATAAAAGAATAAATTTTAGTATTTAGAAATCTAAAGATAAAATTTATCATGTGTAATGATAAATTAGTAACAGAAATTGATTTAAAAGTGTAATCTAAGATTGTTACAAAAAGTCAAAAAGTGAACAAAATAAACAAATAAATAAATTGATTGATTGATAAATATATTTTTACTTTTCTAATTTGCTCTTTTTCTAAGCCATCAGTGTTGAAATGTAATATCACTACTTGTTCCTCTTATTGCATAAATGCTTCAATAAGTGTTTCTTGGAAGCTAATTATTTGATCTTTGCCCTATATTAAATAAATATTTATAATCAGATGATGCATTAACGATAAAAGAAAAAGATATTTAATAAACAAGAAGTTAAATTTAGCTCAGTATTAAATAATATTTTTTGAGATACTTTACTTTCATATGTTGAAAATCAATAAGAAATAAAAATATTCGTTTTTTTTTCCATTTTTAGATTAATAATATAATTTTTACTAAGATTTAGTTTTGTTATAATTCTTAAAAAAAATGGGTGGTAAGATATTTATAGTTTTGTTTTGGATGTGATGTTGATCATTTATTATTGAAAACAAAATTTTGTTTTTAATTTATTTTTTGTTGGATGTAAACGTTGAAACTAAATCTGCATCATCATTGCGCTCATCAATCAAAGAAATTAATTGAAAAATACAATTTTCGATTAAAAGATAGATAGATAGGTATGTGGATAAAAAAGTAATTAAAGATATTATCTATCAATAAAATTTGTATAATTTAATTTCCAAAAGGAAAAAAAATAATTAGCAAGTGTGAATGGTTTGGAAGTTTGGGGATGATCTACATTAAGACATTAAGAAGTAAGTGAAATATCTATTGAAACTTGTTTAATTTTAATTTATTAGATAAATAATTTATCAAATTTTTTATATGGATAACAAAATTTAATTTTGTTACATCGTATGAGCTACCATTATTAATAAATTTTTATTTACAGATTATTATAAAAGAAAAAATTAAAACATTTAAATTTAAGAGTAACACTCAACTCGTCATTAAAGAGTTATGGGATAAAATTAAAATTAAATTGTATATTTATATGATTGCTAAACTTTGTTCTAGAAATATGTAATTGGTTGTTATAGATTATGTATGCTATAAAGTTCTACAAATATTTCACTATTAATTCCATCAAAAGAAAGGGTAATCGCATTTAATTTAAAAGAGAAGATAAGTTTATATTTAGATAAGATTCTAATTTTGTTTATTTGCGATATCAATTTGATGGCAAATCAAAAATTAATACTTAAAAGTAGAATAAAAGTGTTTATAATATTTTAAGAAATGTGAGTTTTATGTTTTGAGCTTATAAATTTTTAGCTTAAAAGTGTTCATTTATCCGTATAAAAAAAATTGTTAATATTTTTGTGAGGAAAAGTTTGTTAAATAAAATATTGTATTTAAAAGGAATTGCTTACAAGTTTTTCTGCTTTCTATCTCTTGAGACTGCATTTGTAATAAATATTAAGAGCACTAGGAAATCTGCCAAAAAGATAAAGCGGGTGAAAAATCTTTATTATTTAAGTAAATAGTGTTTTAATAAAAATTGAATAAATTAAACAAAATAAAATTAGATTCATGCTTAAGATCATTTATTAAATATCTTAGAACTAAAAATGTTGAAACAAAATAAATTTTGTAATATTGTAAAAGATTATTGCTGATTATGATGATATCAATGATACTATTTCTTAATGGGGTAATTAATTTAAAATTAATTAGTTAAAAGTATTACTTTGTGTCTTTCAGAAGCCTTAGACAGGAAGTCTTTAAGATCTACAATCCCTTAATGACCATCATTTGCAACGGTGTCTAGATATTTTGGTAAGAAGGGCTCCATTAAAACAGAGAATGACGCCTATTCATTTAAAAGGTTATTTATTTAATGAGTGAACAAATAAAAGAATTAAGGAAAGAAAAAATGAATGAATGAAGATAAAAGAAAGAAAGGAGCAAAATAGAAAATAATTAATTAATTTTTTGTTGAGATAGATTTGAAAAGATATGATAAATATTAAAATATTATCAGTAACAAGTTTAAATATAAATCTATTACGCGAGATTGTCTAGATTTCTTACGAGCACTGACTGTAATTGGGTGGGAGAAGTAAATATCATAAATTTGTCTAGTATTTTAGGCAGTTAACTTATAGATATATATGTATATCCTGAATTTAATAATATTTTCTGGGTTCTAGTTGTTGAATATTAAAACATGATTATTTAATTTGCATATTTAAATATTTAGTACGATATAATTAATAATTGCATCATCCTCTTAAATTAAAAAAATCTAATGAACTATTCACTTTGCTGTTATTTTAGCAAGTCCCCCAAATTTAAATATTTATTTGATCAACATTTAAACTGTTGGTTGAGTTTGTTTTTGTTTACTCTTTTAATCGAAAAACTCTTATATTCACAAACATTTTTTCAGATTTTACCATTTATTTTTAAGCTTTTACACTTATTTTAAGCTTTTACATTATCTAAATGCTCTCATTATTTGCTTAATAATTTATTAATTTTTGCTTTTTGCAGACTTACAGCAAAGAATTAATAATTGATTGATTGCTTTTATAGATTTATTTTTTGAATAGTATTATTTTGCAGAAGTAAAATAAGCAATTTAATTATTTCAGGCTTTTTAAAGAATCTCCAAATACTTTTTTTCCTCTAATTGTGAAAGTAAGTGAGAGAATGTGTTTAATGTAAATTTAAATTGATCAATTAAAAGATTTAAATAAATGTTAAGCAGTTTTTGGTTGTCTGTGTAATTTGATTATGGAGTTATAAAGAAAAAGCTTTATAAGAAAAGATACTATGGTTAAAGATGCTTTGTGAATTATTAATATGAAAAAATGCTCAAAATTAGATAAAATGTGCATAATGATGAGCTATTGTTTGCGACAGTTTTAGAATAGGTAATTTAAAAAAGGTGGGTACCTTGTTATATTTTTTAATATTTCAGAATTTTAGTATAGAATTAAATGAAAAGGAGGGGCTAAAAATGAAGGAATTGTTAGAAATTGAAATGACTTGCTTAACTTTGTTAAAAAATGAAATAGAACCAACCTTCTTATGAAAAATTAATTTGAATAAAACTTTAAAGGGGTAAATTAATTGGAAAAAAAGCGAAATATTTTTGAATTTTAGTATAGGCAAAATTGAGTTCAAAAGATCAATTTTTAATTAAGATTGAAAGTTTCTAAAATAAAAAAGGTAAGCAAAATTGCACTCAAAAAAATGAGCTTTTCTTTTTTGAATTTTGTTCAATAGCTTAACATTTGTTTTCACACAATTTTATTTAAATTTGTTGGATATTTGTCGAAAAGTGAAAAATTTTATTTTATTTCTGATCTAAAATTAAGCTCTCCTTATTATTTGTAGATGTATGCCACCAACAAATATCAAAAATAAGTAAGTAAGAACGGTATTTTCATCAACAAAAAAAGGGAGAAAAATATTAATTAAAAAGGGAATAGAAAGGATTAAAATAAATTAATAATTAAAACAGTATAATTTTGAATGAGTCGTCATATGAGTGTCAATACGTTTTTAAATGATGAAAAATTTTACAAATTAAGAGAAAGACGACAATGTTTATTGCTAATAATTCTAATGTGCGGTTGTTAAAATAGAATAAAAAAGATATTTTAGTATTAAAAGTGTCAATTCAAATAACTATATAGAATATATTTAATCTATTAAAATTTGTAATTTTAAATGGGGGGACGCTATGTGTGCAAAGTTAGCAATGAAAAAATTAGCAAAATTAAGCTCATGTTGTTTATTATTTTAGGAAATTTAATGTTTCAATTTTGTGTTACGCTCAATCAATTATTAGGAACTAAATTAAATTTTTAGTCTGTGATATACTATATCAAATAATATTTAGACTTGATTTGTTAAAAAGATTGTTGTTTAATAATTACAGATAAAAATTTAACAAATTTGCTTTCAAAAATAATCTTGATTTTTTTATTATATTCAAAACTTATACTTTACTAAAAAATTAAGTTTTTTTTGTGTGGACAAAAAATTAAAGCTGAAGCAATTCAAATTATGTAGTAATAAAGAAGATGCCAGACGGATTAAATTTGCAATTAAAATTTCCTGAAAAATGAATAATTTTATTACTTGGTTGTTCTAGCCGCTAGGAGATTTCGCGATTTCTGACTCTAAATACCCAGTAGAAGAAAATTTTAGTGATGAAAATTTAACAATTTTATCCAAGTTTTATAGGGTATTAATAGTTTTACCACATGTAGAAATGTTGTTATTGTGAGTTATACTATTAACACTATTAGTGTTCAAATTATTATTCCCTATTTTTTTAGCACCTGAATTATTTTCAAGTTGTATTTCTATAAACTGGCCATTTTCCTTCTTTGCCCAACATTTCATTTCAATTTCAAAGGCGCCATTTAGTTGCTTAGGATTTGGGGAATTGTTGCTTTCTAGCAGTTTAACTTGCATTTAGGGAATTACTATGTTTTTGTGCCATTTTTGGGTTCCTCCTTTAACGAAAAAATTATCTTTATTTTAGATAATTTCAAATTAGTAAGGGTTTATTTGCTCATTCTAAAATGCAGCAGAGTAGCCACTTGCTGCTCCTACCAAATTACGTAAGCAGCCTTGCTCTTCAAGGGATTTTCTTACAGTTGGATAGTCCATATGTTCAGTTTTATTACTGAATGGAATAGAAAATTAATAATTTTCTATCAGTTTTGCAATTTCATTTTAGCAATTATCCATTTTAATAGGTGGTTTATATAGATAATTTTTTTTCAATTTAATTTATTTTTTTCAATTTATTATTGTTTTTAATCAAAATTTGTTTCTCTGTTTTTGATTAGTTAATATTTTTACTAATTCATTTTTATTTAATTTGGATGAATTGTTTAATAAATATAGATTATGTTAGTAATAAATCAATTTTTACTTTGAGGAACTCTTAGACATTCCTAACTTTTTTCTTGCCTACCCGTTATCCGCAAATTAAAAAGTTGATTTTGTTTAAACTGATAAATTTTATTGTGTTTTTATTTCTGATAAATTTTTAATTCTTAAATTAGATTAGATATTTATTACAATATTTATATATTTATTATCCTTAATTATAATTTAAAAACAATCATTTTAGTAATTAGCTACCCTCTAAGTATCAAGCACTTTCTCTTTATTGATTTATTTCTTTGTCATTCTCTCTCTCTATCAGTATATTCATTCCTATTGCATACAGAATAAAATCCAATCAAAGAAAGTATCAACTTTTAAATTAAACATTTAAAAAAACACTTTTAATGCGTACACAGACGATAGCAATTAATAGCTACGAATTATTTCACTCTCAAATCAACTACAAATTTATCCAATTTTTCTCTTTTCCAGCTAAAACCAGTATTTTTATTTAACTTCAAAATAGCAAAAAAAGCATTTTTATTTAAGAAATCTATCAAGAACATTTTAAAAGTCAAGGATTATTATTAACAATCAATGAGAGTAATACTAAAATTTAATAATTCCTACATGTAAATATATTCACACAATAGATATAATCTATTTTCGTAAGTTAATGCGTGAAGCTGTTGATTAAATTAATTCTGTGTTTTTAGAAGCAAAGTAACCTCAGCAGATCTTTGCATTAATGTGTAACTACGCCCTATTCTTGATTTAAAATTATTAGACAAATTAACGTGCCTTCCTAAAATGAAGTATAGCTTTCTGAGAAAGTTCTATTTGCTCGAAATATAATATTACATGGAAACAAAAGATGACGAATGGCCACTAAATCAGTCTTAGATGATAAGTATGTTAAGTTAGGCCCCTCAGCTTAATAGGGAAGTTACAGCTATTGCTTGATTTATTGAATCAGAAATGTATCTACTGAATAAAGGAAATTACATGATCACAAGCAATTTTATGATTTATTTTACTTAACTATTTCTGGGAAAAAGTTAGAAAATAAATCTTCTAATTTTGAAAAAAGCTAGTAGAAAGAAAGGAAAAACTCTACATGAAATATTATTATTCTTACAGACTAAGATATCAATCAACCATATAGAGAGAAAAATACTTAAATTTTAAATTACTTACTATCCCACTCAACAAATTAATTTATTTGTTTTCTATCTTCACAAATATCCCCTTCCCACAAAATAAAGTTGAAAAAAAGCAATTTATTTAATTATTTTGTTAATAAGCTAAAGAATATATTTAGAAATCTATAAAAAAATTGATTAATATATTTACTGCGCTATAAAAATTGAATTAACAAATGAAGACAGAAAGATCAAACCAAAATAATAAAAAGTTTACTTCTTTAAGTGTATTTTGCTTGCAAATAAAACATCGAAAATTAATTCTTTTATATATATTAATTGACCATAGCAAGAACAAAATAAAGGAAAGAAATAATTTTTTCCTTTTATTTGTAAAGCTTTTTGAATGGATAGATATATTACTTTAGTTGCTTTATTTATTTATTTATCTATCTATCTATGTTAATAATTAAAACAAAATCCAATTCCCCCTCGATTATTCAATTTATATCTTATTTTTATTTCAATAAATCTATTTACCTATTTTTTAATGCTATTAAAAGTAGGAAAGTCGAAAAGAGATTTAAAAGAAGTAAAAATTTGTGGTCTGAGAATTGAATTTATCAAATAATATAATGAACTTCCTTATTAGAGATTGATAATGTTTAACTAAATTAAGGGCGATATTCGGAAAAATTAAATTGATTATAGTTTTAAAAAGGGGGGTCTTGTTTGTACTAAGTAAAATACTTATTAAATATAAGGTCTTCAAATAAAATTACTTTTTAAAGATTTAATGTAATGTAGAATATAATATTTATTTGCTAATAGCAACCTTTAATAGATTCACTTGAAATTCAATGTAATCACTTTTCAAACTATGTCTCCAAATATTTTGAGTATCATCACATTAAAATCAATTCAATTACTAAAATAATAAAATTGATTTCGATTGACAATTCAAATCTGAAAATTTTGTTCACTCTTTCGGAATAACGAAATCATTATTTTATAATTTATAATAATGTTTAAAACTTGTTGCTTCAAGCAATGATTTAATTAAAATTTTGTGTGAGAAATAAATAGATTATGGAGTGCAAACATTAAATAGGTTTTTTGTTTTTTTGGTTGATTGAATGATTAATTGATTGATCAATCTAGCATATAACATCAGTACATGGAACAGATAAACAATTATTTGTTCTATTGAATTATTTATTACGCTTTAATTTAGCGAATGTCAGAGAAATTTGAAATATTATTTAATAATCTCTATTAGACTATCAAGATAAATTCAAATAAGTGATGCATATTCGTAAGTGCGCCTTTACATCGTCATTCACTTAGATATATGGAATTATTAGTAAAAATTTAAGAAGCATCTTATAAAATTAAAGTTGAAAGCCATTATTTAATGCTCCTTTACTTCTTAGCTTTAAAAACATAACCTAGATTTAAGGTAAATATAATTTCCTCCATTAATAATTTAGATGTACATATTTACTTTTTATTGTAAAATAATAGGATTTAACTTCAAAAACAAAATACTCTTTATGCCAGTAATCTCTAAGAATATGTGCATTTAAGTAAAAGCAAGAAGTTAATTTTTAAAAAGATCTTAAAATATTTCTTATATTAAAGATTTGTTGGTTCTAGTTATAAATACAAGTTTTTTATAATAACACTTTGCTTAATCTGATAGAAAAGTATAAATCGAACTATATGATGATTGCTTTTAACCTTTTATTATGTATCAAAATAATTTTTGGAAAAAACTAACTGCATTTATTGATTTCCTGATTAGAATTAATACTTGAGTGAGAGGGAGATAAATAGTTATTCCATCCAACCAATTAATCTGAGAATTCGAACAATTTTTAAATATCTTTTGTTATAATTATTAAAAATCTCGAATGTAACTATTACTAATCTTTCACTTTTATAATTATTTTTTATATTTTTTTAATCTACTAATATTTTTTATCCAATTTTCCTAAGATACTCCTCTAAAAAAAGAATGAGATTTCAATTACATCTATTTACTACCAACTTTTGTCATAATCAATATTATTTTCCTAGAATTATCTGTAAGTTGTTGTTTCAAACTGTGATATAATAATACTTGAATCTCTTATGTTTTTTAGGTAAATTCACTATATTAACCAATACTTTTTAAATTCAAATAACTTAATTTACTAAAAAAAACGAATATCTATAGAATTAAACCAGTAGGCATCATAAACACAAAATTAATTTATGCGTACTTATATTTTATTTATCGCTCTTCTATTGTATATATATCGATAAAAAAAATCCTATTCAAGGAATAACCACAAATAATTTACCTAAATTTTATTAAATTATATTTTCAAAATATTGATGCATTTAAATAAAGAAAAAACTAGTAATTAATGCTTTTCATCAACCAATCAATTATAATGTTTGTTTTAATTTCACAAAAACACTTAATAAATAAATATATGCATACACATTCATTATTTGGAAAAGAGTAACAAGATAAAATCAGCAAAATAAATTATAGAAAATAAATAATTGAGATTGAAAATCAATAGAGTTGAATTTAAAAAGTTATGAATTTTACAAAAAAAATTTCATAAAGTAAACATTTTATTATAACTAATTTATTAAATTCTTGAGTATTAGTTTTTTTTTTTTTATGAGATATAAGAGATTATGTATATTTGTTTAGTATCTTAATTTGTTTTTTATCAATTTAGTTTTATATTTAGATAACTCTTACTTTTATAAGAAATGCTACCATTTTTGAAAAAACAGATTTTCGTTTGGTTTGATTTTTAAAAAAAGTTTATATATGTAATGAATTATTATTTACTTATTTAATAAATAGCATCGGTTGTTGTTATAAATTGTTAGAAGGATTTTGATTTTGGCTATTTGGTTCACATTTTAAATATATAGAGAAATATAAATATTATATAATTCTAAAAAAAGTAATTATTTATTAAAATCCTTAAAAATTACATTTTCATTTATGAAAGTTTAATCTATTTCAATATTTTGTAAGCAATTAAAAACATAATGTCTAATAATCTTTCGCTTTGACACTTTTTACTTTTTTGATTTATATTCTAAATAGCTTTAATTTAAAATCTCTGAAATAGCAAAATATTCATTTGTTTCTTTCAAATATTGATTTATCTAAATATTTTGTTTTTATTTGAAAATAAATTAAAATAAAGCTTTCAGATTAGACAAAAATTCGAGCAAATTTCTTAAGTATTTTAAAAAGAATACCTAAAACCATTTTTTACAATAGAAAATTATCATAGAAACGAATTCGTAAGCCTTTTTTAAAGGTATTTTATTTAGAATAATCTTTAAAGTTCTATTAAAATGGACAAACCAAAGACATACTTTTTTTTATAAAATTGTTTGTTTTTCTCAAATATTAATATAATAATACATTTTATTAAATTTAACATTTATAAATTTTTAAAGAGGTAAATAAAAAGTTGCGTTAGAATTTTCTCTAAACTCATAGAAATAAATTAAAGAAAAAAGGAAAAATATTTATTTCTAGGACAATCAAAATGCTAAAAATTGATTATAATGCTAAATTTAAATAAGAGAGAAATGAAAAAATATTATTTAAAAATAGCTCTATAAACAAATACATATATAGAAATGTTTATCGCAGAAAACAACAATCAATCAAAGAAATCAATAGGTTAATTAATTTATAATAATAATAATAATAATAATAGATAAACAATACGAGACTTGAGTAAAAGTAAATTAAAAGAACTTTAATATAAAACTAATAATTTATTAGATGACGCCAGCCTGTTGAGGTTGACTACATCTATTAGATATATTAGGGTGATGTATTAGTAATTTAAAAACAAGTAATTATTAAAAGTATTGCATAATTTATTCTTTTTAGCTTTAATTTTTAACTAATGATTAGCTGATCAAAATCTCTTTCAATCTATTTTATATAGTTTTGAATGAATTCTTTTTGCTTTCAATTTATCTATATATTATTAATTTGTTAATAAATGAATCAATCAATCATATTTTTTGTTTTGGCTGCCCTCTGTTGGTGTGGTGGTTTCCTCAGCCTTATTTGTTTATTTTTCTTTTCTTGGGAAAATAATACTTTCGTATTCTTTTACATCTCTAAAACCGCTTTCTGAATTCTTCTTGTTAGGCATAGCGGCAAGCATGATGTCTTTCACTTTGCGAGCATATATTTTCCAATCATCTTCTTTATCGTGTGAAAGATTAAGATGATCAGGATAAAAGGTGTTGAATTCAGTTACAGATAAGTTATTCTTTAGTTGGCAGAAAACTAAAAGTACATTTATTCCCTAACCTAAGACATCTAGAGCTACATTTACATGACGAATAGGATACTAAAGACAGAAAATTTTTACAGGAAGTAGATTTTCAAATGCACCTTTTTTGAATGAGATCAAATGGGTACCATTCGAAGTTGTGCCTTCAGGGAAGATAACGATTGGAGGGAAGTTTTTGCCTTCTTTTATACCTTCTCCACGTGCGCGAATAGCATCTCTGACTTCATGCTTGTTTTCATTGCTTTCACGATCTACAAAAATACATTAGAAGGCTTTTGCAGCAGCACCAAAGAAAGGAATATTTTAGACGTCCTTCTTAGAGAGGTAGGAAGGGAAGTGAGAGCAACTGCAGAAATACATAATGTCAATCCAAGTAACATGATTTGAAACAATAATAGGAGCACGATTGCTCTTTCCACTACGTAAGTTATGAGAGAGAGGATACTCTTTATCATAATCATGAATTTAAGCGTTCTTCTTATCGATCCAGTAAATGCCACAGCAGAAAAGAATAATACGGGCAATTACTCTAGAGACATAGACAATGCTATTGCGTTTCCATGTAGGATATTCTTCCTTGTGAGCATTTGGCTTGAAACCTACCAAGACAAATAAAAACAAGGTTAAGAAGATCATAACGACAACAACTATGGCAACTCTAATTGGAAGGAGAAATATACCACAAAAGTACATTTCTTTAACATTCCATAGCTTTCTCTCAAAACGTTCGAAAGGTTTGAAACGTTCCTCTAAATTAGGATCAAGTTCTTCAGTAAATTTAAGAGTCTTGAACACTACTTTGTTGATTACATTTACAATATAGAATGACCAAGCTCCAAATATGGCAACTCCAATAATAAATCCTATCATATTTCACTATTAAATTTTTTCCTTGAAAATTTGTGTACCTTGATTGAACAAATATCCTTTTTTTATATAGAAATAATTTGTTTTTTTTTTAATTATTGCTGATTTTCTAAGAAAGTACCTCTATTAGCTAGCTATCCTGTTTATATGTTTTTTATTTAATATTTATTTTATTAGAATAGTAAAATAAGTCGAAAATTAATTTTTCTATTTATTATTTCTTTTGAAACCAACCAAACGAATTCACATTCAATTTCATCAAAAATGCAAATTTAAATTATTCATGTTTCCACGATATTTATCAAAGCGATATTAAGATTTAAAAGAATAAACTAGTCTATATCATTGTTGAGGGAATTCTCAATTTTTATTTAATTTTTTTTCATTTTACTTTTGTATTTAATCTTTTCAAGTCTGCCAAGCTATGAAAAGTGTGTAATAAAAATGCAAGCTAATTATAATACTTATTTATCTCTTTTTTATAAATCAGAAAAAATCAACTTAATCAAAAATAAAAAATGGAATTTTCTAGATCTATTTTTAATAAAAATCATTATTGAACTATTAGAAACCTAAAAATTCTTACAATATTTTTTAAATTTTGAAATAATATTTTAAATTAAAATAATTTTTAATATCCAAAAATTTCAGAAATATTTCTGTTTTTGAAGATATATAAAATTTATTTTTATGTGTTCCTTTGTTTTTAATTAAATTTGTAAAAATTATTTCAAAACTTTATTATTCAAATAAATAAATTACAAAATCTTTGCTTCAGATGAAGAAAATATTCATTTGCAATATTATATAATTTTGCATATTTTGTCATGGAAAAAAAATTCTAGTATTTAAATCAACATTTCAATAATATATTTAAAAACTTATGAGAAAAGAAAAATAAATCCTAAGCTGAGCAGAAATATTAGATTTCTGATAATTAAAAAGAAATTTATTCGCTCTGGTCTTAAAATTTAAACATGTTGGTTGTAAAAATAAAAACCTTTTGAACATTTTGATAATAGAAACATCATAAAAATTTAGTTTGACTAGCTTTTTGATTTCCAAAAAAAAAAATTTAATCTTATGGTCAATAATTTACGCTTGCATGATCCTGTTCATATGTTAATATTTTAACTGGTGAATTGATATTAGATAAATAAAAATGTATGATACATTATTATTTAAAATATGATGAGTAAATTCGAATAGAAAAAAATAAATTTTACTAATTAAAAATTCGTATTTTTGTCAATAGAAAAATTTATTTAAATAAAAAGAGTATCTTATAGGTAAAGACTTTTTCGTTTGATTATAGCCACTCATGCTTTTGTTTTTAATGAATTTTACAGTCTTTTTCTTTATTTGTAAAACAAATTAAAAGTAATCCTTAATTTGGAATGAAAATACAATTTCTAATAAAAAATACAAAAAATGTACTCTTTTTCATTCATACAAACTTGATTGTAAAGATAGTTATTTATGGTAAGCAATTAATGTATTTTTTAATATACTATTTTAATTATCATCTTAGTAAATTCTTTAATGGGGTCTCTCTGAACTAATTTAGATAACAAAATTTAAATCTCTAGGAATTTGAAATTAAATAGCGTTTTTATCTTATTTTTTTAAAATTCACATTTAACTGTATTCTGTCTGAATGATCAATCAGATGTAATTGCAATATTAAACCAAATAAAAATTATAAATTATACATTTCCTTATATTTTAGTAAAAGGAAATTTATAATTAACTTAAGTGGTCGAGATTATTTATCTTTTTGAATTAGATCAACTGTAAAAAAATTATTTAAAAAGTATAAGCTAATTTTTATGATAAGACTATTATCAATATATTAATAAATTTATCTAACAATTTTTTTACATCAAATAAAACCAAATATATCTAATTTTATATTATATTAAGTATATCTTTTGATTACACTTCCAATACATCTGTAACTAAGTGCGTTTGTCAGAAAAATATTACTAATCTTTACATTTTAAATAAGTACAATATTATTTTTTTTCTATTTAGAACTTCTGCTTTTCCAATTATTTTAAGCTAAAAGCTTAACTTAGTATTATCTACTATATTTTATTTTAAAAAGACTTACATTAGTTTTACTGTTAAACTATATTTTTAAGGTTTTTATTGTTAAAAAGAGAAGAAACACCTTTATTTATTTCAAGGCTCTTTAAAAAGATGATTTATTTTTCATATTATGCTAATATTTATATTTTTTGATAAGTATAATTCAAACAGTTGCTATATTTAAGCAAAAACAAAAGTTACAATTGAAACACTTGCATATCTTTTATAAAGCATCATTTGAGAAGATATTAATTAATACGAATTATTTTTAATTAATATTCAACGAGCTTAATCTTTTAATTTATTTATTAAAAAGTGTATGCTTATTTGTATAAATAACTTAAATTATCAACAAAAGAAATAATGAACTAATAAAAATATGATTGTTATGGAGGAAGGTTTGTTGACTAAAACTATTATGGAGAGAATTAAGTATCTAAATAACTCTTTTACACAAATTCACTATAAAAGATACTCATTGAAATACTCAAATACTTTTTTTTAGTAATATTTACATTCATTTTAATTTAATACTTTTTTTTGTTAGTACTAATTATTTTTGTTGTAAGCTAATATTATGAGTATTATCGTTCAACTGCTTTACTTCAAATTATTTTTTCTCCTTCTAATATTTACTGTAATTCTATTTAAAATTTTTGAAATTTGTTGGTTGTGCTTCTTAAAGGGGTAAGAAGAATTACTTTTTCATACAGTAATCAATATCGCTTAAATGTGTGGTAGCCCAATCAGTTTTCTTTAACTTTTTTAATATTTTTCGTTTGTGGTTTTTTACAAAATGTTATTCAACTTTAATAAAATTTATTTTTATTAGCCTAATTAACAAGCAATAAGGAAATAACTTATTACCATCTACTTAACAACCCTATAAGTAAATCATTTAAATTATTTTCAAGCAAAACAATTTTGTTCAAGAATAAATGCGAATAAATAATCCTATGATAATGAATCCTATATAAAAATAACTAAGATTACCGATATGTAAAAAAATGTATTAATATTTTAAATTTTTTGCAAGCATAAAGCTCGTGCCAGCTTGAAATACATATCAAAAACTTAGTTTTATTCAAAAACATTACTTAAAGATAAAAAATTAAATAGAAATATGATCTTTTTTTGATAATAAAGATAGATCTATGTATTAAATTGCATTAAAAATGTGTAATTTAATAATTTCAATTATATTATGATGGGAAAAATCTTTGAATTAATTACAGCTGTCTAAATAAAAAACATGAATTTATCATTTATTTGTGTGAAATTTGCTTTTTAATAATAGGAAAGTCTATATGTTTTTTTGACAATAAATTCTTTGAAAATAAAGAAATGTAACATTTTATATTCTACCGTAAGTCTAAGAATTTCAAATAAATAGAGTTATAAATAGTATAGTGTTATAAGATATAGTAAATTACTGCTTTTAATAATTCTTTGAATGTTCTTTATCTTCGAAGTAATACAATTTTTATTAACCACAAAAAGGAAAAAAAATTTATTTCTATATTGATTAATTTTAACATCGCTAACTTACGTTACCAAAAAAAAATAAATAAAACAAATTCATTTGAGATCTGCCATCAATCGAAAGGTTTAATATTTGCAAAAAAACTGTTTTTTTTCATAATATAATTTAATGTAAAACAAATTTCAATATGTTTCTTTCGATTTCAGAGTTTTAGATTATTCTTATTATAATGATTTTGTTGTATATTATTTTTAAAAATGCATTTAAGGTTTTAAACAATTTATCCAAAAAATTTTGTGTTTAGTTGACGATAATTGCAACTAATAAAGCATAATTTGCTTTGTTTTTGTTAAGAAGCATAATCATGTGGCCAAGTTATGTAACCTTAAAATAAAATTATAATATTTAATTATAAAAGAATCCAAAAATAGGTTTTATTAAAAATTTTTATTAAATCATTCATTAATTCTTTCATAATGAATTTTAAATCATGGTTTATTTATTTAAACATATAATTATCATGGTTTGTGGTATTCTTTTTATAAACCTTCCACATTAAATTAAATGTATTCGATATTTAAATACTATAATATGATTATTTCCTGATAAATTACATGAAATAAAGTAAAAATATATAAATCAGCCTTTTATGAGTTATTAATCTTATTTTTGGTTAATCCAGAAAATTAAATACACAAATAATTCAAAAAAACTGGAAAAATTTAATACTGTTACAGAGAAAAAAAAAGTACAATTAGCTCAATCAATGAATTACTTATTCATTCATTTATTAATTTTAATTTTTACTTAATTTTATTATGATGAGAATATGTACTTACTGCCTTTTATATTAGCTTTTAAGTTTGTTTTTGTGTTGATAATTTATTTGAAATTTATTGAAATTAATATTTAGCTTAATTTTTGTTAAGCCTTTTAGAAAGACTTCATCTAAAGTATCATCCAATCTTTCATTATTGGTTGATTTATACATCCGTCACACACGAGTTATTTCGTAAAGTATCACTGAAGAAATACTTTTTGGGCCATAATTTGGATCGTTTTTGCGATACAAATCAGTTGCTGCCAATTTGACAGATTTCTTATCAGAAATTATCATTTAATGCTACTCACACAATTATTATATTCTATCTTTAGCTTAAATTCCTAGATTTTCAGATAAATCACTGTAAACTAATAAAAAGCGCCCCTTGCGGCTCTTCTTGTTTTCCTTGTTCAAGCATTCCTCTTTTTTATTTATTTAATTATAATTATTAGATAGAAACAAAAAAGCTGTAAGTTATCATACAAATAAATAAAACAAAAAATTAAAAAAACCAAATCTGTTTAATTTAATTAGAATGAATGAATTGATTTTGTGGGGGTGTGTATAAAAAATAAAAATAAGCTTTTATCATATTCCCTATTAACTTACATTCAACAAAATTTATAAAAATAAATAAAAGTTAAATAACAAGAGAATTTTCCCTGTTCATAGAATTGTTCCATAATCTTTTAATTCTTTCTTTGACTAAGTCAATTTAATTATAATTAATACTGAAACTAGCTGCTTACCCTGTTTTGCATGCATGAATTCAACCATTATCTTAAAACTTAACTAAAATCAATATTATTTATTGTTTTATATTCTTTATTTCCAAAAAAAAAAAGGAAAAGTATATTCATTCATTTATTTATTCATCCATTAATTTTAATTTGAGATTTGTAACAAAGAATTGGCTCAAATAACATTTTTAAATTATCCAAACAAAAATTATGGAAAAATAAATGGTTGATTTAGTTTGCAAATTTAAATACTAAAGTAAAGGAGTTTACTTTGAAAATTTTAAAAATTTAAAATATAAAAATTATATAATTCTTTTAGCGTTTATCGAATTTATAAGAACTATTTTATTTTACAGCTTGATTTTTTGATAGAGCCAATTATTCTGGTATTCTTAAATCATTTAAATAATGCTTATGATTTTTATTTTTTAAGATAATTAGATATTTGGGTTACTTTATATTAAATTTTTGATTAATATTCTTAGTTTGATGATAATGATAATAATGATGGTTGATATCATTTTTTATTATTTTAACTAAATTACTTTCTAATAAAAATTGTAAAAAGATGATCAGAAATCATTTCAAGGTAAAAACTATATTTAAAATTTATTATTAGGTGATTTGAAAATATTACATGCAAATTAGAAGCTGCTTTTTAACATTTCTTCTTTTGAGTCATAATTAGCTGCTTCTAAACCACTATCATTTGTCAATGGAGATGCTGCTATCCAGGGAGGATTAGCAATTATTAGGTCATAACTTGTATCTAGTCTATTTATATGGAAATAAATTTTCAATATTTTAAAAATTCAGAAAAATTATTTTTCAAGACTTTTTTACTCATTTATGTTAAATATATAATAAATATTACATTAGAAGTAAAAAAAAAAAAAATTGAACAAATATTTTTCACTTTGTAAAACACAAACTAGTTTTTAAACTTAATTTTGATGTAAATTTTTTCATAGAAGAAAGTAAAAGCTGAGAGATAGATAGATTGATAAATGTGGGTGATGAGCTAAATGTTTTTTCTATTTTATAAGTTATTCAAGTGTAATAATGAACTCAATTTTTTATTAGAGATTTCACTCTTTTAATTTATAGGCTTCTTATAAAAATTGCCTCTTCATACTTACTTATGGGGGAGAGTTATTTATTGCAAACAGAATTTTAATTATCAAATAAAATATTTTTTATTGTAAAACTACAAAATTATAGTTTTATTCTAAAATTGTTACAAAATAATCCTAATTTTGCCTAAAATACTAATTAAAATTATTATTTTCTATTTAAAATAATGTTTGTTTGTAGTTGAAGCATATGAAGATAATAAAAATAAACAAACAAAATAGAAATGGGTTCGTACTAAAAAAAAGTTCTTGCAGTTACTGTATCTATTTATTCTTAAGAAAATACACTTTTATTATAATGTTATATTTTTTTATGTTATTAACTTTATTTAAAAAAATAGGTTGATAAAAGATTACGATAATTTTGCAAATTATATAATTTATTATAATAAATAAAAAATCATAGTTAGATGTTTGTTTTTTGTTAGATATCATTTTTACTAAATGGGTAAATATTTTCAGTATTTATTTATAGAAACATTTAATTATTGATATCAAATAAATCAAAAGTTTATAACCAATTTAAAATCTAACCTACCTACCAACCTACATACATCGTTTATTTTATGATCTTAATGAATATATGTAGATTTTAAAGACTCTAATGTTTAAAGAAATAAATTTGAAACTAAAATAATGTTTGGATAAAAATGATTATTTTAGCTGTTTTTTCAATTTAAATTAAGAAATAAAAATAACAGCACATTGAAATAGCTCAAATTTCTTTTTTAGAGTCTTTTTTATTTGTCAATTAAATTTAAAGGCTGCTTCTATTTTAGTATGAAGAATTTTTTAAAGGTTTTGATTTGCTTATTTCAACAGCTGCAATTTAAATATAAAAAAAACGATTGAAAAAACTTAAGAAATGCAAAATAGAATCAAAAATATCGAAAGAAGGACTCCACTAGGTATATGTTAGCTTGCTTGCTTGCTACTGGTTAGATCAAATATTTTTTTTCTTTCTAAAATACTGATTAAAAATTTAAAAAATATATTTTTTATTTCTATTTATATGCTGATATGCATATTGTCTGTATTGCGGTGGGGTGATTGCAAATTGCAAAAATGTAAACTATTAATTTATGGCGTTTATCTTAATAATTTAGTGTAATACTCACAACACTAGAGAATTTAACACTCATAATACTAAAATTCATAGTTATTTACTTATGGTCTATAATGAATGTTTAATATTGTAAGAAATTTGGTAATTAAAACTTGTTGCTTTTGGTTCTGGATTAATAATCAATAAATAAAAATTGAGTAAAATTATGTTTTTTAAATTCTTCTTTTATCCAAAATATTCAATTTTATATAAAAAATAAGTATATATTCCTGATTTAAATTGCTTTTTAAAACGTTTTCTTCAATTTTAGGATGTTTCTACATATAATCAAGTACCTAGGCAGTCTAAAATCCAATTTTTATTTCTATTCATTTTAGAAAAATTTCAAGTTTTCTTCTATATTTCAATATTAGATAAGGTTTTTGCCTGAACTTATTTTATTTGAGTTTATCTAAAAAATAATTTTACTATTCTAGATTTTCTTAAGTTTTTGTTTAAAATAAAACATTTTAGATAAAAATCCATCATGGAATATCCATTTTGTTTAAAAAAATTTTTTTATTTTTTAAAAATATTAACTGAATTTGGTTTCTTTTCAATAAAGGGGTATGTGTTGCATGATAAATAAAAGATTATTTGCTTTAATGAATTCTTTTTAATCAACAATAAATTCTAGAGATTAAAGAAAGTTGTTTGATTTATCAACCAATTTTTTGTTTAATATTGCTTAGATTTTAAAAAACAATTAAATAAGGTTACTTTATTTAACAAACAAAAGCAGCTCTTGAAAAATATAATTTTAAAAAATATGTTAAATCAAATAATTACTTTAATTTTTCCAGGTTAGCCACTAGGTTATTATTCTTTTACTTTTCAGTAATATCAAAAATTTCATTTCTAATTCTAGATGATAGACTTAAAATAGCTGAATTCATTCCAGTGCACCTAACAGCTGCTTCATATTTATCAAGAGAAGTTATTTTTACTTCTGGAGCAGCTTCTGCAATAATAAAACTTAAAATTCCTGAACCACATCCTAAATCACAAACCTTTTCCACTCCTCTGAGATAATTCTTATTGTCTTATAGATACTAAGCAAGCAGCTTCAAATAATGCTACTAGGTAGGAGGCCAAACTCCATAAACTGGATACACTTTTTTGCCATTTAACTGAGGAATAGGAATACCATTACTTTCATATTGCTCAGCTGAATGAATACCTTACCAATGCTAAAATGGGATTATGAAGTCATGCTTTTCTATGGCTCCTTCTTGCTATTTTCCTAAGTGCTAGCTTAAAAGTTATGAAGAAGGCACATTTGAACCCTTAATTCTTAACTATCCACTATGTGAAACAAGGATGCAAATACGAGACAAAAAATTCTTCTACTCAATAGCAATACGTCTAGACAAGTTGTATATCTCTTCAGGAGTAGTGCATTTACGGAAAGGATTCTTTGGGCGATTCTCAGTTCCATAGTAATACTCTTCAACCATTTTTTTGACTGCAGAAAAGGTTTGGTTTGCATTGTTGTAGTTTGTGTTTAGACTAAAGATTAATAAAGATTTGGTTTAATCTTCCTTCATTATTTTTCTTATAAAATTAGACGACATAGTATTATGAAGGTAATAGGCTTTAGTAATTTAAGATTGCAGTTTGAGACTAAGAGGAGTCTATACATACTTAACTCTTCCATATTTTGTCTAAAAAATGTATGGATGCTCCTTATCATTTTCATCTAATGTGTGAGTTATGTTTTCTACTATTTCATCATCCTCTACAAAAACATCGTTCGCCTTTTCAAATTCCTTATCATAAATGCTGCTATCAATAATATCATCATCTTGATTACTATTTATTATAATTTCGTTTGGTTGAGATTTTGCTTCTTTCTTTTTTGAATTCTTCTACATTGAGTTATTCTCAATCAATATTTCATGATTATTCTACTCATTCTACTATGAGAAACTGAACACATTTTTATTGAACAAGCTAAATAAATTTGCATTGGACTTTGAAAGCTATGTTGTATTTGATCTACCTTTTTATAAAATGCTATAACCCTATTTAAGTAGTCTTTATCCTAATCTATTCATGCTTAAATTTAAAATAAATTTATTTACTTATTTACACGTTTATAGTTTTAATTATTTTTAAAAAATTTAATCTTTGATTTAAAGGATTTCGCAAATTTTGGCTTAGTATATTCTATCCAATTGGTTATTATTTAAAGTTAGCAAAATCACTAAATTTAAACAAAAGATATTTTTTGATGCTCATTGAGTAAATGAAATATATTTTTAAGAACTTTCTTTATAAATTATGTTATTATCAGCAAATAAAGTATTTAAAACTTTAACAACAAAGAGAAATAATTGTTTTTAAATTTAGTTATGATTTCTATTTTAAATAGAAATAAGTTTTTATTCGATAAGAAACATTTAATATAGTAGTTATCTTTCCAAATGAATTTAAAATATTTACTAAATATTAATATAAACCAATTTATATGATAAATTTGCTTAAAATTAATAAAAATAATTTTAATAGTAATTGAGTGAGATACATTCTTATTTGATTGGAATTAATTTATTTTTTTAGAATAATTATATTATAAATATCATCATTAAAACTAATGCTATTGCTAATTCATTAATAATTGCTTAATGTTTAAGAATTTTATTGAATTTTTTTAAAAATTAATTTCTTTAATTAAATTTTTAATACCTTAAAAAAGAATTTAAAATTAATAAATAAATAAAATTATTAATAAAAAATAAAAGAAAGAAAATTGATAAGAAAATAAAATTTAATTTGATTATTAAACATGATTAAAATATCCTTTTTTATTATTTTAAAAATTTTAATTGATAAGAAATACTTTATTGTTATTTAGTCTTTAATTTAAAAAGCAATTTTGTAGTTTTGTTTTGTTTTCCTTTTCTTTCAATTTAGTTTTAATTAAAAATCTTTATCTTAAACTAAATTATTTTACATTACATTTTAAAAAAATAATATCTATTTATGAGTTTTTGCTGTTAGTTTCTTTTAGTTTAGTAAAAATATTTTTTTTTCTGTTGCAAGAATGAGTAACAAATACTTGAGAGTTTTGGATAAAAAATTATTTGACAAATTTTAAATTTAGTCTTTGAAAATATTTAATTAAGATTAAATTATTCATAAAAAATAATTAAAATTCAAAACTAATTAAATTAATGGTATGTAGATCATAGAGGAAGTATTACTACATTTAAAATAGTTTGCAAGCGAGAAAAACAAGATTTAGATATTTAAAATATTTTTAAAATGACTAAATAATTTTTTCTATTGCCGATTTGAATTTTGGATGGATTTAAATATGCGATTGATAAAATATGCAGGACAAATGATGGATATAAATAATTATGACACAAATGATATGAATAATTAATTATAGTATATATAATATTTGAAGAGGTTTTAACTTTTTATCAATTGGTTAATGATTTAAATAAAGCAGCATAAAGTATATAAGTACATGTGTTTAAGATTATATTACTATTGAGTTTTTTATATTATATACTTTCTTATTGAATATATATGTATATAAATATAAATATGTTGCTCTATATCAGTAAAATATCTCAAGATCTCTTAGTAGCCTTCTTGGTGTTCTTTCCCTTAATTTCGATCTTAGAATAGGCTATTTTTTTAAAATAAACTCATTAATAAATATATATTTTAATAAATCATTTAAAAATTATTTATAGGTTTCCTAATTATTTATAAAACTTTAAGCAGGAATAAAGAGAGGAATGGTTGGAGGTAGGAAAGACCTTTTAATTATTTATTAATTGCTTCTAATTGCTCAAAAGCGTGATTAGAGTTATAATAAATTAACTCACTCACTAAATTTGTAATTTCGTGCTAAATATTTTTAATGAATTATTACTAGCAGGGATAGCGTCTTTAATACCCTTGGCGATCTTGGGGTCAGCAGTCTTGAAGGTGTATAAGTACTTCTTGCCTCTAAGTTTGAACTTGGTGATTCTCTTATTGGTCTTAACGTAGACAACCTTCTTGGCACCAGCAGTGGCGGGGGTGTCCTTGTTGTTTTACCAAAGCTTCATGAACTTCTTGATGTCAGTGATTTCCTTAGGCTATTAATTAAATAATATTATTTTAATAAAGGATACAATAAATTGAAAATATGCATAAATGCCCTAGCAAACAGAATCAATCGTCTATACCATTTCTTTTTGATACAATTTAAACGCAAAAACTCATTCTTCTAAATTTCTATTTTATATTCTAATTAGAATTAATTCCCTGTTGTATATTTACTCCTTAATACAATCATTTATTTATTAATTCCCTCATGTTCATTCGTTCATTTATTTATTGATTATTAAATCATTTGCTAACTATTTCTCCTAAATTTTTTTTTTTGGGAGCAAAATACAAACGTATCCTAGATGCCTTGGCATTAAATTTATTGAAACTAATTGCTTTCGCTAATTGCTTTTGCTTTGATAAATATTTATAATTCACATGATTTAATTTCTGCTTTATCTCTTCTTAATGTATCTATTTTGTTAATAAATACCAGATTTATGCTCTACATTTAGCAGTAATCAAGTATTTAAGATGAATGCTCTATCCCATTTTCGCTATTCTTTAAATGTGGTTAAGTGCGATAAGATGAGAAATACTAACTTCATGTAAAAACAGAAAATTTAATTGCAATCTAGAGGAATTCATTTAGTAATGCAATTAACTGAAATAAAATAAATTGATATTTTGATAATTGTGAATGAATGAATTTGTGAGTGAGTGAGTGAAGAGGGACTGCAAATTGTTAGTGAGATAAGTTTATGAGTTATATATTCAGTGATTCTTTATGTTAAATTCTATTCTAAGAAATGGCAGACCTTGTAGTTTAACTGACTTTCGAAACTGTTTGGGGGTTCATTAAAATTTAAAAGAAAGAATTTTAATGTTAATTACCATTTCTAATATATCTATTTTGTACTGTGTATTTTTGATTTTTTTAGTTTATTTTAACTTTTTTTTTTTTTCTTAACTTTTTTGCCCCTTTTTCCTTGTTAATTATTTTTCTATCTAATATAGTCTTAATTAAAATTATATCCTTTTCCTTTGTTATCTGTGTCCTTCCTTTCTTTTGTTTATTAATCTTAAACAAAACAAATACTATTTTCCATTATAAATGCTCATAATTATCTTCAATCGCTTGAATACATTTATTCATTCATTCATTTTTACATATTTCCCTATTATTTTTAATAAGATTCTTCATTGTTTATCATTATCTTCATTCATTTTATCATAAAAGAGTCATTTCATAAATATCTTTCCATTCATTTTGATTTCCTTTTATTTTCATTTTGATTTCTCTTTCCTCACATGTCCAAACTTATTTTCTTTTTTATCTCCATTCTTTTATCTATCAATCTATTTATTTATTTAATTAATTAGAATAGTTCAATTTATTATTTATATATTTTTTTTACTTTAACAAATAGAATTTAATAAAATATAATTTTAAAAATTAAACTATTATTTAAATATTCTACAACATAAAAAAAAAATAAATAAATTTTATCTCTAGATTTTTAAATACTTCACCTTCCACAAAAATAAATATAAGTAATAAAATAAATAATTTTTATTTTCTTCTTTAATTGAAAAAAAAATTAAAAAATATCGAATGCTCCTTTTAAAATATTTAATAAATTCATTTTTTTAATATAAAATTAATATAATTCTAAAACATTTCTAATTTGTCTTTTTTTATTTGCTCGGAGAATAAATTTATTTTGAATTCAAATTCAATAATATTTCTTTGAATTAAAAAATGAAAAGAAATATTTATTTTAATTCACCTTTCAAGTAATTATTTTAATTATTATTATTATTTTTTACATAAATTTTATTCAAACTTAAAATAATTAATTATTTTTTTAACAAATGCTTTATCAGGCAATTTAAAGTATAAAAGAAACTATTTTTAATTAATATTTTACATATTTTTATTTCAACTTAGAATTATAATAAACTTTTTTAATAAAATAGTTTTGACAATTTAATAGTTAGTTTCTTTAATTGGATTCGTTGAATTGATTCAATTTACCTCAGTAATATAATTAAGATGAATGGTGCAGAATAAAGAAAAAAATTAATTTATACTCAAATTTAATAGAAAATTTAATCAAAAGAATAAATGTTAAATATCTAGATTTAGATTTTGATGCAAATTAATACATTTTTTAACTTTAATTTTAACAAATGCTTGTCACATCCTTACTTAATTTGTTTCTTATATGATGCAAGGTGACCCAATTATAATTGAAGAGATTTATTAATTATTATAGGCTTTCATAATTTTATAGAATAAATCTGTATTTATAAAAATAGCTCTCAACTGAGTAAGAGAAAGAAAGTTTAAACTTTTAATAAAATTGCAAAGAAATAATATAATTTTATTAAGTGAAATAAGAAGTATTACAAAGTAGCAGAAAAAATAAATAGATGATCGATAAGTCAGAGTATTTAAATATTTAGAAGAGCAAAAATCCCTTTGAACAAGAAGAGGAAAATGAAGTTTTATTTAACAAAACAGTTTCTAGGGCCAACATATTAAAACAAAATGTAGAAACTATTATTGTTTCTGAGAGGAAGAAGGAAGAATAAGAATAGGAACAAATAATAAATTAGATTATTGAAATAGAAGATTTCATTGAGCACAACCCATAAATGGTTAACTATAGAAAGGGAATCAAAAAGAAAATATTACTCTTCTCCATCTTTATTTTGATTTTAATTGCTGAAAGAATTCTATACACAAGTTTGCTTGATGAAGAGCAAACTTTAATTTAGGATATCTAAAAAGGATTAGACTTATCTTCAATAAGCTCTGAATAGAACTATGCAGAATTTTCAAATAGCTATTTCTGGAAAATAGTCAGCTTCGGAGTCGGTTTTCATAATAGCTTCTTGTTAAGTACTTAATTTATTGCTACTGTTTATGTTTCTGTGAGTGATTTCGTTGGAATCAAGTTAATTTTTACCACTTTGCTTGGATTATATTTCATAGGTGTCCTTCAAATGTTCTACAACGGACCTTTACCCTTTTGGACATCAGATTAGATTTCTTCTCCATATTGTGTGTAAACCAGTGCTCATCCCTCTCGTTTCGTCTTTACAGTGCTTTACATTTCATATTATTTCCTTTACTGCTTAAGATTTAGAGTGTAAAGAAATAAACGTAAATCAGAAAGTGAAAAGTAGAATTTATACAAGAAAATAAGAATAATCCAAATTGTCTTGGCTCTCTTGCTAGTTCCTTATTTATTTTTAGTCTACTTAAGCGGACTTTAATTTATTATTAATGTGGCTCTTGGCTTCATTATGTTTTACTTTTACTACACAGTCATACGCTAGTCTAATTTGTTCATCAGTGAAACGTTAGCTAAAGTATCCATAAATACTGAATAAGCAAAGAGGAATATTTTTAACTGGTTTATTATTTTCATAGTGATGATATTTGCTGCTTATGTTGTATTGCTTGGAACTGATACTTATGTAGACATAAAATGGATTGGAAACTATCTAAACTGCACGTAAAATTTATATTAAAATATGTATTTTGATAAAAGGTGAAATAAAGATTTAAACCTCAAAAACAAAAAATTAAAAATTAAAAGTAGAAAATAAATAAATAATAAAATATAAATGTGATTAAAATAAAAATAAATTAATTTAAATATTTTATTTAAAAAATTAAATTATTTATAAATAGGTAAAATAATTCTAACTTTTTCTTGAACAGCCAGTTGGTAGGTCCTTATCATACATTTTCTGTCATCACAGTGCTAGGTGGATTAGCAGGTGCTATATTTGGGTTAAATCACACATATAATCACTTAAAATAGAATTGTGTAAAAACATGGTACAAAGGAACGATTTTAAAGAGGTTTTTGAGAGGATTGATAGTTAATATTTTTATGATACCTTCTTGGGTTTTAAATTACTATTAAAACTCGTTACTTAAAAGCGACTTTGTGATAAATTTGGGATTCAGTGAATTCATCATCGATATATTGCATTACTTTTTCTTGTATCTTCTATTGTTCGGATTCATTCCTGTATATCTATACTAGCCTTTCAAGCTTGTACATATTAAAAAATAAAAGCAAAAAGATAGGTCCATCACATTTTTACAATAATCTATGTAAGAGTGAAGTTTATAAAATTAATTTATTAATTCTTTAAATTAAAATAAAATTTGTAATAAATCTAATTATTTTATATTTATTTATTTTAATCAATTTTATCAAATATTTATTAAAAAAATTATTATTTATTTTTTTTTTATTTTTTATGAATTCATAAATAATATTTTTAGATTTAAATGCACATTTTTCATGTTAAAATCCTCAAATAAAATATATTTTTATTAATCTGCAATTTTATAATGCAAAATTTAAATAAAAATAATGAATATTAATATTAAATAATAGCTTATTAATTTAGTTACAAAAAAAATGTGAATGTCATTTATTGGTTAAAATAAATAGTTTTAGATAAATATGTAGAAGTTTTAGTAATCAAATTTTAAATAAATTAGGAAATTAGGCTTATTGAAATGAGAAAAAATGAATATTATAAAAATTGTAAATTTTATAAAATATTTTGGATAAGTTTATCAAATTAAAAATATTGAATTTGATTTTAGATCAATCATATAACGAAGAATTATATTCAAATTTAATGTGTGGAAATCAAGAATTATTAATTTTTTTGCAAAGAAATCTAATTATTTTTATAATTTTTTAATTTAAACTATGTCAATCTACTCTGGTTTTGCCAACAGATAGCTTGAGTCTAACTATAATAGATTAATAGAAGGTACGTTGCGTATTTTATAAAGTCGAATTCTTAAATTTTATGAGGAATTTCCAGAGGATGACAAAAATTTCATCAAATTACTAAGCAAAAATGTAAGTTATTTAGCGATTATGGAAAGAAATAAATACTTGCCTCCAAAGCTCTCTGAATGCTTGAAAGATATATGCTCATTTTTAGAAATAGAAATTCCTTCAAATGAATAGCAAGCGATAAATGGAAATATTAATAATTTATAGCAAGAGGGACTCTAAAGAAATAATTCATTTACAAGAAAATCTCTTAATAAATCACCAACTTAGCAAAATAATTATTAAAGAACTTTTTCTCCAATTCACAATGATTATTCAACACTCAAAAGATCAAACTCTCCAGGATAATTAAGGGCTCATTCTCCTAAAGGTGGAAATAGTATTAATTACTCGAACTCTAAAAAATCTTTATCTCCTATTCCTCAAAATAACAACTAAATCAATTAAAAGAGAAATCAAAATGGTAATTATAGGACAATATCACCTAGAGGTACAAATTAAAACAGAACTTAAACATAAAATAGCTAATAAAAATTAAATAGAGATAATTCGAATGGAAAAATGTAACCATTTCCTTCAGTTGTATAATACAGCAATTAAAATTCACAACAATAATATACTAAAATGAATCCAAACTATCTATATAATTACAATGTAAAAAAGTAGCCATTATTGGTAAGCAAGCAGCAAAATAATAACAGAAGCCAATCTCCTAAAGGAGGATATGTCTAAGGATATTCAAATGTAAATACTTAATACAAATCATAAAATAACTCAAGAATTAATTCACCTCGATTTTCATCAAGTAACATTCAATCTCAAAATCAACAAAAAAACTTTTATAATCCGAGCTAAAAAAACAATACAATAAGTGAGGGTAATTCTTAATTTTATGACTACCATATCAATGAAAAGAGGAATTCAAGTGTACAAAGTAGGAATTTCAGAATGAAAACATTAAATAATAGTCCATCTAATAAGGATTACTACTAAAATGATAATTAGCTCACAAAACGACATAATAGTAGCCAGATATAAAAAGATTTATCAAACTAATTTGGTTTAAACAAGAAAAGTGGTATAAATATGCAAAAAAGAAACAGTCTTACTAATAAAATTGTAAAAAATTAAGAAAGGAATGGAAATGAAGTGATTTAAAATTATAACTATAATCCAAACGTTCAAATTAATAATAGCAATCAGTCGTATTTAACTAAATAAAAAATTAGATAAAGCCTTGAGTAAAATAATAATGACTACTCTTTAGTAGATGAGACAATTTCTTAAATGAAATAGTAGATAAACATTTATTGCAAATAAAATAAGCAAGAGTAAAACCCCTTTGAAATATCTCCACCTTAAAACAGCAATACACTCTAGAAAGGCAGCTATGACCCATCTTCAAAAATTTTGATGCAATAATTATTGCAATAAAGTAGGTAAATGAATGAAAAAGATAATATAGTTATAGAAACGAAATCTTACACTATTAGCAAGAATTAGACCTAATGATTATACTGAATTAACAATCTTTAAAACCTCAATAAATGTAAAATAATTATATTAAAATAAAAAAAAATACGAAGAAAAGACAATTTGTCTTTAGCTGAAACTGCCAAAGTAAAATTTGGTATAGAAAAAGTAATTTCAAATATTCAAAAATTTTAAATAGAATTGCTATTTCCACTATATTATAAAATTAGACTTACTTGCATGCTTAATTATATGAATATAAAATGTGGAATCTTCAAAGGGAAGTTCTATTTAAATTTTTTGTTTTTCCATAAATATATATAATTGCTAATTAAAATAAATTATATAAAATAAATTTTTGTTTGTTTATTTGTATATTCTTTTTGTAATAAAAATAAAAATCTTTGAAATCAATCAATTAAAAATGTATTTAAATATTTGATAATCTTTTTGCTCCACATTAAATAAAATTATTTGAAAAAATGACTAATTTTTTAATTGAATTAGTTAGGGTCTCCATTTTGTATTGTTTAATTAAAGAATTAGTTTATTTAGACAGATAGTAGATAGATAGATAGATAGATAGATAGATAGATAGATAGATAGATAGATAGATAGATAGATAGATAGATAGATAGATAGATAGATAGATAGATAGATAAATAGATAGATAGATAGATAGATAGATAGATAGATAGATAGATAGATAGATAGATAGATAGATAGATAGATAGATAGATAGATAGATAGATAGATAGATAGATAGATAGATAGATAGATAGATAGATAATAGTTTAAACGATTAAATAGTATTCTATTTTTATCAAATTATATTTTTGTTTAGTTATAGATAATTTATAATGAAAAAAATTTTTTTATTAAATATAATATTTAAACTAATTATTGAGCATATTATGTAATTCAGAAATATTTATTTAATAACTATTCAATAACTCATTACAAATCTAAAATGAATATATAGAGTAGGTTGATAAAAATAATAGCTTATTTATAGATTTTTATGATTTAGTGAAAAATTTATAATATCAGTGATGTGTTTAATTAAATTTGGTATCATTATTATAATTAATTAATTAATTAATTTTATTGTATTATTAATAATATTTATCATAGTGCATATTATTCTATATATTTAATTCACACTTTTAATTCAAAGTATGTATTGATGGATAGATGCATTGATTTAGATTAATTAGCAAGATATTTTTCAATAATTAGAAAAATAAGAATCTTTTTTTTACTGCTCAAAAGTTTAAAGAAATCACTTTTTTTTTGATAAAGGTTAATTTCTTTTTCAAAATTTTTTTTTAGTCATTATATTAACGTTGTCATTATTGGGGATGTGAGTTCCACTTATTGATTTTACCTATCATTTTTATGGTATATGTAAAAATAATTTGATTTTATATAATAAATTTACTATTTGGTTCAGTCTGGAGATTTCTTAGTTTTTTTATGTCAATAGAGTTTGCAAATCTTACTTTGAAAGAATATTTTTCTAATTTTCTTGAACTTCTTTTGTGATTTCCTAAAGATGACTTCTATGGGTTGAGCTGCTTCTATACTGTTATATTTACAATTTTTTATAAGTTTCCAATTTACAAATATAAAACAAACAAAATGATTCAATTTTAAGTTGAGTAAATAATGAGATTTTTATTTAGCAATAATTTCAAAATATGTGCTTACAGTGCTTCTAGAGGTTCCTTAAGCTTGATTTTCTTGTACTTTTCTTTATAATTCATCTATTTTTTTATGTGCTGCAAGTATTTACTGCTTTGTCAATATTTTTTCTTTGATGATCTCTTCATCTTTTTATATTAGCTTTGACTTGTAATTTTCTATTTCCGAAAGAAGTTCTTCATTTACACTCATCAACTTTTCTAATTCTTTAAAAGTGTTGTCTTTGCAGAAAATGCCATTACGTAATGATGAATTTTCTTTTTATATTGATTCGTACCTTTCTTACAGTTTTATGAATTCTTCTTTTAATTACTCAACCTTTAATTAAAAACAATAATTGTAACAGTTCATTATAAAAACTTGAAATATCAGCTCAAGGTTTACTATCATGAATGTAATTAAATATATTTTTTAAATGTTTAAGCAAAAAATTTATATAAAATACCTCTTTAGATGAAGATGAGTGAGTAACTATTTTTGTTTTAGTGTATTCAGTTTGAAGTTAGATGTATTTTGATTCGAGTTCCTTTTAAGCTAAAAGCAAATCAGAAAAACTTTTTCTGGATATTTCTAGTTCATTCACTAGCTCAGCTTATTTCTCCTTTAATTTTATTACCTACTTTTTGTATTTCGTCAATTTATTGAATAAATCTTCTGTGTTATGAAATGAGAATCTTGAGCTAGACTCATTCAGAGAAGTCTGTAAGTCTTAAGTCCTCAATATTCTTCTAGTATTAGATGAGTTTTAAGATTATGAATTGGCTAATTTTTCTTCCTTAATGTTTAAAGCTTCCTCGTAATGTTAAATAAGTTCTTCTTAATTAGCAATATTCTGCTTAAGCTGAGATAGCTCCTTTTCTTTGAGTTACATTTACTTTTCATTTTGTTCCTTTATCTGATCTATATTTTCCCCAAACATTCTGATCTTTTCTATGTAGGATTATTTAAATTTCTCAAATTACACATTCATTTATTGAACTATTTATAAAATTATTAAGTTACTAAGTAATACTATTCAAAAAACATTAAATAATTTCTTTTATTAAAAAAGTGTAAAATTTTAGCTAGATTCTTTCACAAATAGATATATAGATAGATTTTCTAATATCTATCAGTTTAATTTTATTTAAATGGGGTAAGATTGTATTTTAGATTAAAAGTTATCAAAATATTCATGAAGAAAAAAGTTTTTTAAAAAGGATATTTATTTATTTCAAGCTATTTTTAATATTTTTATTAAGTTGCCTACTTTGTTATTTGCATTCAGTCAATTCTTATTCTGAGAGCTTCAAAGATTATTTCAGGTTTGAGTTATCAGTTTCTAAAACTACCCATTTCTACTCTTTTAAATCAATTAGCTCATCAAATTATTTTGACATTTGGTGTTAATTTTATTAGTAAGCTTTCATTTCTTCATTTGTTGTGAATAATTCATCTTGCAAATTACTAATTATTTAATTTTTTTAAACAAGTTCTTCAACAGTTCTAGTAAACGTATCTTGAAGCTGATTATTTTCTTCAATCAAATCAGCCACTTTTTTCTCTAATTCTCTAATGCTCTCTTCATATTCTATTAAAAATAATAATGTTAATGAAATAGTATTCCACTTTTTATCTCAAATCTAAGAGCTTATTCTAAGCTTAAATATTTTATCATTTTATACTAAACAGGATAAAATAAAAATTACTATTAAAACATTTGTGTGTATTTTTTTTTAATTAATAGAATTGTTTTTTGTTTTGTGTTTAATTAAGTATAAATTACATTTTATTAGTTTAATTGCCTAATTTTGAATAATAAAACACAAAAGAAATCTATTTCAAATTAAAGAAGATAAATACTAACTTGTGGTATGATTTTAATTTTTAATTAATTGTAAGCATTTAATATTTAAAGAAGGTTTTTATTGAAAATAGATTGTAATTTATTTTTGTATTTGAAGCCAATTTAAATAATTAATAAAAAGATGTGGAAATAAATTTACAAAGAGAAGTCTTGTGCTGTTTTTAGAACTAATTAAGTGAATCTTTTAAAAGCTATATCTATTGATCTAACTAAGATTATTTTGATTGAGTTGATATTTGCTCTTATTCTTATTACTTTAGCTTATTTTAAAGTTCCTTCACTTCTGACTCAAGCTAAATTTTAACACTTTCTGCTTGCTTTTATTAATTTTAAGATTCTTCAAACGAACTTTGAATTTATACCAGCTTTTGCTCAAGCTCTATTTTTTCTTGCTCTAATTATTCTATTTGCAAAGATTATTATTTCATTTATTTAATTCCTTCTTCTATTTGTTTATTTAAATCTCTAAAAGTTAATTCTCTTTACTTTTCTTCTCTTAACTATTTCTTGTAGTCTTCAACCATCTCATTGTGCTTCTTCTCCCATTTTTTTTCTTCTTCCTCTCTTATTTACTTGTTTTCATATATCTATTCATCTTTAATAATAAAATTCAATGTAAATTGCCTAATTTGGATGTAAGCTTTTGAATAAATAAGAAAATATAAAAAATTATTCAGTATTACTTAATTTTTTTTTTAATTCTGAAATTTCTGAGCTTTGGATTTCAATCTGATTTTCTTTTTCTGAAAGTTACTCTTTAATTTTTTCTTATTCTTGAAGATTACAGAAGCTACTTTCGTTTTTGAATTTGCTTAACTCGTTTTTCTGGATATCACAAATAAAAAAATGACTTAATATAATAAATAATTTATAATTTGTAAATTTTTCTAGATAGTAAATTGGGTTATTATATTATTGGGCTGGTTGCCTATTTATTTACTCCAAATATATTTTCTAAAACACATTTTTGATCATAATTTTTTGTCTCATAAATACAGATGAAATATTTTCTAAAATTTAAATATTATATTACCAGCTCTTCTAGCTACTCCTTCAAGTAATTTTGCTTTGAAGCATCTTAAAGATTTTCATATTTATTTTTTAAGCTTTCATATTCACCATAAATTTCCTGAAGATCTTATAAATATTTATCTTTTTCTTATTATTCTAATTTTAATTATTCTTGCAATTCCATTATTAGATTAACATTTGTATTGCTTGTGTCTTTGAGGGAATAATTTGTGCTGAAGCTTCCTCTCTCTAATGATGAATTTCTAGAGTTCTTTTTAGCTGGATCATTTGTCTTTTTATTTATACTCATATCCTATGTTAATTCAGTTATTTGCTGATTTAAATATTCAATCTTGTTAGTGTATTATGTTTGTTATTAAAGCATTTAATTTTGAAGCTGGTCTAAATTCTTTGAAAGATCTCTCGCAATTGAAAAAAAGCTTCCATTCGGTTACATGAACCTCAACAAATTAGTATTCTCATTCGATAACCTTGGCAATTTTTCCTATAACCTTTCAATGTAGTTGTCTTTTTACCTATTACAAGCTCCGAGCCACTCACAAAATTGCTTAATGTTGCTAGTATTTATTTTATAATCTAAAGTCTGCAAAAGTTCAAATCCTTCTTCTTAGCTTTCCTCTTTTCTAAAAGCTTCTTCTAATGCTTATATTATATCAGACCAATTATGATCCTTTATTATTAAAATAAATAACTACTCTCAAAATTCAAAATATTAAAATAATTTCTCTAAAAATAAAAAATATTAAAAATATTTTTCCTGAAATATAATAAAATTAATATGATTTTATCATTTATTTAAAATGTTGTTTAAATTCAAGCATAATTAAATAAATCATATTACAGAGTTAGACATTATATATATTTTGTCTATGGAATTATCTGAAAAAGTATTCATATTCATTTGCACTGATTTCAGTCTTTCTAATAAAGCTTCTTTCTCCAATTCTAAGTTTTATATTTTCTTTAAAGCTTACTAGTGCTAATGATGCTACTATTAGTCATCTATTAATTATGTTCTATCAGTTTGCGCATACTAATCAAGTACGTCATACAATTCTATTATTTTGGTGCCATACATTTTTACTTGATATGTAAGTTATTCTAATAAATCCTTCTCACTCTATTAACATAAAATAAATATTTTATCTTACCCTAATCAACCATTTAAAATTGTTTAATAATAAATATATTAATAATTACTTGAATCTCATCTGGATTGATTGTAGTAATTCCCTCATTAAATTGCTATATATATTCCTAAATGCTATAAAAATCTTTATCAAAGAGGTATCCGTACTCCTCTTAAAAAGAACCCATTTAGCTATAATTATGATTATTGATAGATAAATATTAATATTGTATAAAATTCGAAATCTTCTCTTTTATTTGATTTGGTGCACACTTTCAAAAAAATTAATAATTTATGACAAATCTTATATTCAAACAAAATTAAATTGAATTATTCTTTAAAAAAAATCGGCTAACTTTAAATATTATGATTTGATTTTTAATTTTCAAATGTTATTTTTTAAGGATTGCGTAAATTTCAAAAAACTAGCCATTTTGATACGTTTGATATAATTAAAAAAATAAATATTCATAATTCATTCATAAATAGTTATAAATGTAAAAAAACAATAAAGAAAGTACAAAAATTTGAAGAGTTATTTATAAATTTACAAGTAAAAAAATAATTATCTTAATTTATCAAAATCAGTCTTTCAATCAATTTATTTTCCTTCTACTTACTTACTTGGTTATTTATTTAGTTTATTTGTGTGTTACATATTTACTTACAACCCATTCAGTTTCTTTAGTTTAATTAGCATATTATTCATCTATTTGTATATATTTTAATAAAAATTAGATAATCCCATAAAAAAAAGAATTTCTTTTAGAAATTAAAATGTAATTATCTGAATTGTCAAGAATAAATAATTAATACATTAATTAAAATTATTTAGATAAAATATTTACAAATGTTTAAGAAGATTAGAAGAATACTTAAAGAATGAATTTATATGTTTGTTTGTTTGATTGATTGATAGACTGTATGAGGTCGATTTAAGTTTATTTAAGTGTTAGAAATAATGTAAACAATTTTATTTGTGCAATTATTTTTGCAATATTAAGTAGAAACTGAGATGATACAAGGAAAGAAAATAAATTGAAAAGAATTGATTGAAATAAGAAATAAATATGATGATATCGGTTTTTATGATTAGTAATTAATTGTTATTTGACTTTTAATATTTATTTTATTGAATAATTTAAATTATTTTATTGTTTTGTGTTCAATTAGAATTTTTATTTGTTTGTTTGTTAATTATTTTATATTTAAAACATTAATCAGTACTATTTGTTTTAATTAAACCTCATCTAGTTGTTACTATTATTTAAGTTATTCAAGTTGTTATTATTTTACATGAATCTTTGATTCATCATGCTGTTATTATTATTGTTATTGTTTGGCATATTTGGTTGCATGTTTTAATTTTATTTTTGATTATAATTGTTATTCCCAATAGAACTATTTAGGTTATTCTGGTTGTTATTCATGTTATTGAATTAATTGCCTTATTGGTTAAACTGATACATATTTTTATTTTAATTTTAAGGAATGAATCCTCCTTGATTTTAATTTTAATTAGGTGGTGCATTCATGTACTGATTACTTTATCCTTATGAAGGATTATTTGGCATGAAATGGGGAGGTAATTGTTGTTACTATTGATTTGTAGGAGGAGGTGGAATCTAACCTTACCCTATGTACCCTGTTTGTTGTGGTTGCATTGGAGGTTATTGAAGATAATTGTTTTGTTACTACTGCTAGTTTTAAAGCTATTACTTCATATTCGCCTATTAATTTAAATTATTTATGTTCTTTTAAATAAGTTTTGGCTCATCATTGAGATTATAATTTTTGTTTTAAGTCATTTATGGAGGTTAAAATTAGGGGGCAGCATTCACATCAGGAATTTAAACTCTGTATTATTTTTTCATCATATTCATTAATATATCACACAAAAATGGACGATTAGCAAGAAGATTTATCAATTATTCTTCATCGCTTTGTTCAATAAACTTCTTAAATACATTTATCAAAGAGCATTAGGCTGAATCATCTAAGGTTTTAAGAGCTTCTTCCAGATTTTTAGATTATTCCAATTTCTCATAAACATCAAGCTTTTCTACTCCCTTACCGCCATCCTCATTATTATTTAGATTAAAAAAGTCATCAGTTTAATTATTAGGATTAGATAGTGATGCGTTATTCCCATTTACCAACCTCACTTTGAGTTCTCTAGAACTTCCACATATTTTAAGATTATCCAATAACTTAACTGCTATTTAAGCTGATTCATTATCTGAATAAGTGAACTATCCACTGACTCTTTGATACTAACCGCTTACTCTTTAATCCTCTTTTTTTATATTGTAATTGATGATTGTTCCTGCGCACTACATATACTCTAAAATATCTTTGTCTTCAGCTTAATTATAAATATTTCTTACTTGCACAACGTTATTCATTAAATTATTATTTGCAAAGCCTATCTGTTAACTTTAAAATAATTACTGTTACTGTTATTGCTATTGCTGTTATGTTTATTGCATTCCTAACAAGTTATGCTATCCTGAAATATTATTATTATTGCTTATCATTTAATTCTATTACAGTTATTGTTATTATTGTGATATTATCAATCCTTAGCTATTATTGATGTTATTACTGCTATTCATCATTATTTATGGCTGAATAGGTATGTTGATTTGGCTATTTTAATACATATTTGGTTACTATTGAGGTTGAGGTATGGTATGAGTGGGTGGAGGAGGTAGATTATTGATAGTATTATTCATACCTCTGTTCATCATATTGGGAGGATTATAGTTTTTTTGCATATTCATCATCAAATTAGGATTGCTATTGTTGATAGGAGGCTGTGAAGTATTTTAATTTTATCCAATATTGTTGCTATTAAACCCAAAATTAGAGTTAACATTATTCCCATTCTACATCATTTGCATTGTGGCTCCATAACCACCGCCACCACCTCCTCTATATTAATTGTGATGAGGAGGAGGTTAATTTGGATTAGGGTAATTTTGAAATTCTTGATTTATCAAATTACCCCCAAATTATGACTGCTGCTAATTTTATTGCATCATATTCATTCCTTAACCTTTGGAGTTATCCTAAATAAGTATATTAAGGCTATGCATTTTTATCTGTGTGCTTATTCTTCTTTATATTTGTAATTTAAGCTAAAATCAAAAAATAAAATGAATTCTTGATCGATTTATGTGAATTAATTAATGCAATATTGTTTGTTTTATTACTTTGTATTACTAATTTTCTCTTAATGATAAATAGATAGATCAATCAATCAATTCCATCCCGCTCACGCTTTATTAATTAAACATAGATAATAAGAAAAATAATATCTAATGTGTCTCTCTATAGTTTTTATTTTATTTCATATTTTTCTCAATTTTACTATTTTTATTTTCAAATTACAATAAATATTTCTTGAACTTTACATTAAAATCTACTTCAAAAAATAATTTCTAATCACTAAGCTTTTATTATTCTATTTATATTGAGCCACTAATTATTATAAATCATAATATAATAAACTTTTAAAAATAAATATTGTCAAATTAAAAACATTAAACTTGTAAGTTGCTTTAATGGTATTGTATTTTGAGTAATCTAGAATAATTAAAATTAATTTCTTCAATTAAAAAAATGGATATTGATACGGATTTAAATTAACAACTTACTATTATTTATACTGACCTAAATTTTCTAATAAGCTAAGGCTGAATAATTTTACAAAACACTGATAAATCAACTTTTTAAACAGTTAATTAATTAGTCTTATTAACTATATAAACAATTAAAAAATTTTTATTGTAAGCACTTCAGGACAATAATGCTATTTATAATATTAATTATGATTTCATTAAATGTATATTGTTAGTCGAAAAATCCAATTTTTTTATGTTTAATGATGCGACTATATTGATTAAACTGAAAGAATTAATGCATTCCTTTGATTAGAAAACAAATATTATAAAACTTGATTTGCTTACAATAAAAAGCTTAACAATCTTAATAAAAAATTAGTAATGAATTTTATAAAATGTTTGAAATATAAAAAATAAAGTTAATATGGAAATCAAAGCAGAAACAAATTTTAATTAAAATTAAATAACATAACAGTAAATTTTTCTAGAAATCTTAATAAATTTTCATTTAAGAAATTGATCTAATTTTTTCTTTAAAAATATAGAAATCTCAAGTGATGAAAATAGATGTAAATTTTAAATATATTCATTTAATAGTAAAAAAAATTACTGAATTATATTTATATTTTTTAAATTTTCTATTCCTAACATAAAATGATATATTCTTACACAACTAATAGCATTTTGTTAAAGATAAAAAAATTTTTAAATATTTTGGATATTAATGTTATTTGATGGCATAAAATGAAAATACAATAGTAAACATTTTTCAATTTCTATTGTAGACTTTGATTTTTATTAATTCTTTAGAGATGTTTAAGCTAAATAACTTATTAGTTAAGTTAATTTTTAAAAAAATATTCTTTGATTGCTAATCAATTTAATATACAATAAAATAAGTAGTGGTAAAAAAAAAATTTGCAAGTCATCTAGTTTTACTGGTGCTTCATAGAAATATTTGTTAATTTAAATTAGTTGGAGTTGATTATCAAATAAAATAAAAGCTTTAGAATCATTCAAATATTTGAAGAAACATATTGTAATTTAAATTAAATATCTTGAAAATATTGTTCATTGATCAATTTATAAATAGATTATAGGTTGATTTCTCATTATAATTTTACAATTTTGTAAAGAAAAATTTTCAAAATTCAAAACAAATCTCTCTCTTAAATAACCTGAGAAAAATAAGTAAAAGGGGATTACATAATTAATTTTTGAAAGCCTGTTTTTTAATAAAATGTTTTCTAAATTACAATTTTTAACAAAAATCAAAGTTCTATTTGCTATTTTTTCTTGTAAAATAAAAAAATAAAAGTTATAAATACCTTTAAATAGTTATAAAACAAACATGTAAAGTTTATTAACAACTAATTTTGAGAATATGCTTAGATATGTTAAAAATCCATGCTTTTAAGTGCAAAACTGCGATTAGTATTTAATTAATAGATTGTGGATATAAATCAATTAAAAATTGAGAAAGAGAGAATGAATGAAATAGTTGAATATTTAAGAATTGTATATCAATAAGAATACAATAAATATATAAGCCTTATTTACAAATAAATTTATATGAATTGTTTAATATTTTCATAGGTTAGTGATTTAATTTTTAAGTAAATGAATGTATGATTTTTAATTTATTGAAGATTTATTTAGAATTTTGTTTGATTGATCAAATGAGAAATTGTTTAGAATAAATTTTAGTATTAATATTGGTTGTTTGATAAATTTTGGATGAATGAACGAATGTGCCAGCTTTTTTATTTGGAGACACTGATTAGAGAAAGATGAGATTCTTGATTTAATAGTTAGTTAGTTATTTGAGAAATTATTTTTTTAAAATTTGTTCAAGTTTAATTTATAATATAAGTGATTGATTGTTCTAGTCTTCATAAAATATTTTGATTTGAGCCTATATTGGATGAGGTTCAAAGCATTAATATGTTTTTTTCAATAATTTTATTCTTGAGAAGATTCCAAACTGTGGAAAGAATTTATTTTTTCATTAGAGTTTTATCTTTTAAAGTTGAGGGTAATATTTCTAGTAGTCTTAACTCTCATACCAAGAATTTTAGTTTAGAAGTCTTCAATTTAATCTTCGATTTATTAGTCTTCTTCCATTTCAGACTCATAAAATTAAAAGACGATTTCAGGTTTCTTGAAGGTGGCTTAGTTGGAATTCATTTTATTTTTTAAAGATTGTTTTGTTTTTTGTGAGTTAATTTTTTATTATGTTTACTTTTTTTGTTTTTTAATTTAATTAAATTAATTAATTATATCCAAAAAGGGCTTGCCAGCTTTTGAATAATTGGATATATTATTTCTTTGAATGTCTTCTAATTGCAATTACGCAATCAAAAGATTTTACTTTGTTATAAATTATTGCCGAAAATTTTACTAGCTAAAAATTAATTAAAAATTGTATGAATTTTGTTTGGGGAGCATAGGGGGTAATTAATTAATTAATTAATTCATAATCAATCATCAAAAGGTCATTTGATATTTAACTAACTTGCTTGATCACAACCTTTTCTAATAATAATGAATATTGAGTAACTTTAGGCTTCTGAGTCTATTCTTTCATATCAGATAAAATCAAAAGTTAATAAATGCAAATATATCATCTTTTATTAGGTGAATTTTTCTGATACTTAAAGAATACTCATCTTTTTTATAGTAAACTATCCAAATATCTGGCTCAATCAATTCAGATATAATAACATTCAAATAAACGAAAAAATAATAATCAATATCAATTAATTTTTTTTCTCTGTCAAATATTATTTCGTTGATATAAAAGATACTTTCTAATTCATATTGAAAGGAGAATTAAAAGAGTAAACTAAAGCTAATTTATTTATTAGTATATCCAACAATTTAAATTACAGAGAATCTGACCAAGTACTCTACTAAACGATAATTGATAAATAATTATAAGCATAGAAAGGCATTCAATTAATTTGCAGAGCAATACCAATAATAAAATACCATCATCCATCAAATGAATGATATTTTCATTAAACTTTTCTTAATTAAATTTCTCAAATATATTGACACTTTATTTTCTTATTTATAATTTTCATAGCTTAATTTAGAGCCAGCCGCAGAGGTAGTTTGATCGATTCTGATAAATGTAGAATAAGCATGCAAATAAATTGACTCTATATAGGATTTAAACTCTAAAAGCACTACTCAGTTATGATAAAATCCACTAAATTTCAACAACTAAATACTTTATTTAACGCAGTCTCAATTTTAGCATTTATAGATTTGAGAGAAATTCAAAAAATATTTAGCATGTGTTAAATAAATCTTTAAAAATAAAAGAATATATGAGGATCTTTAGAAACAAATTATCTATATTGTTTTTTATTGCTTTTCAAATCAAATAAAATCTAAAATCAAATTTTACAGACTACATTTGAAATGTTTATAGTAACTTACAATAGTATTAGCTATCCTCAAATAATTTTTCAGTAGTTTACAATACATAAATAGTAACTATTTTCAAATCATTAAATTATGTTTTTATACAAATATTCATTTAAATTACAAAGGAATTTAGAAAAGCCTTAAAGTTAATTTGAGTTTTTATGCTTTCTTTCTAAATGTTTATATTTTCAAAACTGTAAACATGGATTATAAAAGCATTTGCTATTATAATAATTGAGATAGATTTGTTAATAAAAATTAAAATAGCTGCAAAAGTTGGCTTTAACCTTCTTCATTTAAATCTGCTTTTTACCTCAATTGAGATATAGCTTAAATAGCACTATCAGCGAGCTGGTTAAGTAATTTATGTTTTAACTGCACGGGTTTTATAATAAATGAATTATAAATCAAAAAATCAAATAGAATATGAGTATATTTACTAGTATTTAAATTTTCAATATAAATATATTCATTTTTATTTCCTGTAAGCTCAATGTATTAACTACTGTAAAAAATGTGGACTGTTCTAGCTTATATTGGTATAAGCATAAGTATAAATATTTCTCTATTACTATTCATTTAATCAAATATAAATACAATTATCACCTATACATTAAATTTATACTCCTGTTTTAAAAATATTCTTTTTACAGTTGAACTAGCTATTTTTCATAGAGTTCTCATTGAAATTAATAAGCTTACAATATTTTAAATTTAGAGCTCTAAGTAAATATCACTAAAGGCATAAATTAAACCTATTCAAAAATAGACTCTACCCTCTAACAAAAAAAAAAACAAAATATAAAACTAAATAATAATATTTATCACTGTAAACTATAATACTTTAGCTTCATTTAACAAATATATTTCAATTGCTCAAGTTTTAATAATCACAATACTATTTAGTGAGATTATGGAAAATAATTTCTTCTCCTCCTAATCGTTAGATAAAAGATTTTAAAAAATAATATAGTCATTATCGTTGTTTGATTGTTTAAAAATAATGAATTAATTAAAAAACTGAATTGATTGTTTTTTATCAATTGATGATTGTTTACTTATTTTATTGTTGTAAAAAAATAAAAAGAAATGATGTATTTATCTTTATTTTTACACAAATTATTTAATTACATTTAGAAATTTCTATGTTTTTTATTACTTTTCTTGCTTTTATTCATTTTGTTACCTTCATCAATTACATTATTAAATTTTAGAACACATATCAGAAAAGACTTTAATATTTAAATAAACGTATTAATTATAATAACTTGTAACATAAGTCTTTTTAGATTCTAATTTGAAATTAGATTCTCAAAAAAATTTAAATTATTTCTTTCTTTATCGAAGCTGTCTGTAATTTATTCGGTTATGTTAACTAAATAATACCTTCATGAATATTTAATGAAATTTGAATGAATTATTAATAAGAATATTTCTAATTAATACCCAGCCTCCTATCTATTTACTTATTTATTTTTATTTATGTATTTATCTATCTATATATTTATCAATTAATTAGTGTATTTTCTTTTTATGGTATTTGCCAAACGCTAAGTTAGATTTTATTAATCAGTTTGAAATAATATTTTTTATTTTATTGAAATAAGTTAATAAATATTAGAATGCGTTATTTAACTTTAATTTGATTCGAAAATACAATAAAATTCTATATTAATATAAATGCTAAAAATTGCAAGAGAATAAAAAAAATTCATTAATACTATTCTAATAAACAATATGAAGTTTAATTAAGCATAAGGGATATTGATTAGTCCTTCAAAATTGACTATTATATATTTTAGTTTTAGTAATAAGTGGAATTACTATTTTTAGAATTGGTTTATCAGTTAGAAGCACTAAATAATTATTAGATAAGGGTAAAGACACTTAATAGAAGCTTGAAAATTGAATAATAGGTAATATGCTTTGAATCTACCTTATTACTTGAATTCAATATTTAATTCTTACTTAAGTTATGGCTGTAAGTATATTTTAGCGTTGGTTTTGGACAAATATTTTGAAATATTAATGATTATCTATAAGGAAATATATATAAATACCTTGAATAATAAAAAACCTATCAAAGTGAATGGTAAAAATTGAATTAAAAGCTTTTTAATAATCGAATAGATTTAATAAATCAATAAAATGATGCTAATTTGATTATTCTAACCAATATACACGAAGATGTGAAATTCAATTTCGCTTAAGAAATATAACAAAACGCTTATGTTTTTTATTTATTTTGGTAAAAAAAATAAATGGCTTTTAAAAAAACTTAAATAATTAATTTAATAAGGTAAGTAATTGTAACATTATAGACCTAATGAAATAAAAATTAATATAATTCATAAGATTTAGATTGTATAATAGAAACATACATAAATACTATAAATATTTTGAGATTTTATATATTAACTAATCGTTAATGATGTAATTTTTTGCGTTTTTGGTTGCAAATAGATAAATACAAATATTGGTTGAATGATTAATTAATTATTTATATATTGATATTTCTCTGTTTAAATCTAATACCAATTAACTATTTATCAATTGATAAATTTTATTGGCTATTATATGTTTTACAGAGCTCTTTAGGCAAAGTAATTAGTAGCATGTTTATGCTGGATTGAATTGAATTTTTAAAAATCTTGGTAAATTTAATTTAATTTATTTTCATTTTTAGGATATTTTTTGTATAATAGAACGAAGATTTTGTATGCTTTCAATAATTTATTTTGTTTGATGACTTTCCTTTCCATGAAATCTAATGCATTCTTGTAATGCCTATTCGTACATTTAAAGAGATTGCACGAATTTCTAGGATACACTGAGCGAACTAGCAAGATTACACATTACTAAAATAAGCTAATTCTTAGTACTATCTTGTAATTTTAGTTCTGGATATATTTCTTATAGAGCTTTTTAATAGTAATAGATCGAACCATCAATTAATTTGAATTTTCTTAGCAAATTACCTACTTCGTTTGCAATAATGAAGCAACTTTCTTTATTTTTGTATTCATTTATAATTTCTTTTAATTTATTTTCATATAATTCATATTTTTCATTTATTTATGCTTCTAAGCACAGCTCCAATATGATTAAGATTATCTTCAAGTGCTTTATATCATAAATTTTTACACTCATTTTTTAATACATCTGCAAGACTGCTTCATATATTTCTACACTTGAATTTAGTCTATATTTAAAAATAAGTAAATGAATAAATGACTCTCTAATTGAAATCATTTATTGAAAAATCTATAAAAAACTATTTAGTTATTACCAACTTCTTTTAAGAATTGGAATGCTTTATTACAACTAAGAAGAATAAAATTTTCAATATAATTTCAAATGTATATTTTCATTTAATTTAAAGAATTTAATATCAAATTTTAAAATATTTTTAGATGGTTGAAGTTTTTGCTTGAATGATTATTTAATTATTATATTCATAGTATTTAATTTGCAAAATTCATGGTTAATACTTTTAAATCAATAAATATATTTAATGGATTAATTATTAGCTTTTCTTAAATTCAAGTGTAACTTGCTTAGCCTTAACTTGATTAAATCAATCAATAATTAAAGTAATGATATAAGTTTCCTATAAATAAAGAAGAAATTTGATTTTGTAAGCTTAAAAAGTGCTATAACAATCAGATTTTAAATTCATATGCATTATTCTCAGTTAGAACGAAAGATTAAAAATAATATAAAATTTGAATAATAAAGAAAATTATAAAATTGGCATAAATTTGTGTGTAAATTAAATATTTATAGGTAAGTTCAAAAAACCAGTAAAGAAAACTATTTATAAAAATTTACTTTTTTTGTTTATAGTAAATCTTTGCAATAGATAGCAAACAATCAGTGGCTTATTAGCAATACTTGCCTTTAAGCTAAATGATTATGTTATACGCATCTAAAAAATTAGAAGATGCTGCTTAATATTCTTCTATTTTAACAAGGAACTTTCCTTATTCCGCTAGAAGCAATGCAATCCTTTCTTAGTATTTGTAATCATCCAAATTTTTTAGAATTTTTATTGCATGCTGAAGCTTCTCAACTGATTCTACAAAATTGTTCTATTTGGATTTTATTTTGGCTGATTCTTCATAGATTTCAGATAGCGTAACAAAGTCTTCTTTTCTATGAATTTTAAATTGTAATTCTGAATATTTTAAAGCCTCGTCAAGTTATTTTTCAGCTTCAGACTCCTAATGGAGTAGGGTAAAGCACTATGCTTTTCTTTTGAATGCAAGAAGTATCCTGGATTTATTAAAATAGAAAAAAATTCAATTTTTAATTGATTTTGATTGAGTAAAAAATAGTAATTTATTTTCTGAAAGAATCTGATAAAACAATTTATTTATTTAATTGTATTTGGCTTTAAAGATGTAAAAGTAATGCTTATAATTAGTACTATTTTAGATTTATTATTAGTATAATTCCTTATTTTCAAAATTTAAATTTATGTTTAAGAAGGTCTTCTATTCTAATAAATCTTGAAATAGAATCTTAAAAAGTTAAATGATAGGCAAGCAAATAAACAAATTTAATTACAGTGATTTAAATATTTAAGATAATAAAATCTTTTCTAGAAAAAATCTAACCATAAAATATTTAATCCTTTTACTTTACCTTAAAATATTTAGTTGCTTAATTAATATTTTGATTACAATATGTGAAAGTCTTATCAATTTATTGCAAAATTTAATATCTTTGATAAAGATAATCTTAGTGTTAATAATTCAATTTATGTTTTTCTCTAAAAAATAATTAAAAACATAAGAAAACTAACAAGTATTTTTTGTTTTGCTTTATCTTCATTTTTAAAAATAAAATTCATGTAAATTTTTGAACCTTATTTATTTAATCTATTTGATTGCTATACGTAATTTCTCTATTTCTTATTTAAATTTCAAATTATGATTAGAATAAATAGCAAATTTTTAAAAACTCTTTAAAGACTACATATTAAAATATAATTTGGTTAGATAGTTTGGTTATTTTATAGATTTTCATATTGCTTTTTTATGTTTATTGTTAGACATTTATGTTTTATTTTAAATTTTATCAAGTAAAGTCTACATTTTTAAATATTTTAGATTTTATCAATTAAAGTCTACATTTTTAAATATTTTAAATCATATTTGAATCTTAAAAGTCTACAATTAATTCAGCAATTAAATATTGATTATTTACTATAAAGCTATCAAAACGAATGCTTCACCATATAAATTGTTAAGAATATCTTGTAAAATGATAGTGTATGTAATATTAATCATATTATATTTATTATTATAGTTAAATAAATAATAATAATATATTGATAAAATAATGCAGTAAATATAATTAACAGAAATCACGAAAGGTGCATTTTAAAAATAAAAGATATTTTTATGTTAAAAAAACAAAATAGCTAAGTATGATGCTTGTTGTATGGGTATTTTTAAATAAAAAAATGTTTAGTTATTGAATTGTAGGCTTTGGAGTCAAGTGCTTTATTTATCACTAAATTACTTTAAATAAATTAAGATTCTTTAGGGATTTAGCGAGGGTTTATTGAATTAAAAACAAAATTTATATTTAAATAAGTAATATTCTTATTTATTATTTTATGAAAATGTAAATAAAAATACTTTTGAGTAGTAAAGATTTTATTTAAAAAAAGAATTGAAGTTTTTTATTTTTTTATTGTTTTTTATTCGTTCTCATTCAGATATTAATTAATATTTTAGAATTAAAATAGCATTTATTGAAACTAATTTACTTTGTATTTTAATGATTTTTGAGGATTGGAATGATTTCATTAAGATATTTTATGGCCTATTTATAGTCTTTTATTTTCATAAAGCATTAAACTAGCTTCATGACTATTTCTATTTCTTCTTGTGACTGAATTTGCTGCTTTTTAGATTCTACATCAAGCAATCCATTTTTATGTGTTCTTGTCAGATCAAGGAGTTTTTATAAAATGACTATACATTTTTCCTATTGACTCTCCTCTTCTAAAATAGAAGAAGCGTAATAATTAAATATCTTGAAGCAGTATGTTAAAATTTTTGAGTCTTCAAATCTAATTAATCATAAAAAATATATACGTTAGTTGTAATTTTCTATAAGTTAGTGAAATAATTATTTTACTTAAAATTTGTGTATTAATTGTAGAACAGTGAGCACACTCTCTGCAAATCTATTAGCCTTTAAGAATTGTAGAGACATTCTATGAGGAGATAATACATATATCTTATTTTACAAAATTATTTATTGTTTGTTTAAAAGTGTGAGGAGTAAGTTTAAAAAATTAATTTCAGAAAATGTATAAACATTTGTAACAATGTGTAAACTTCTCATTTATGCTCAAATGAATATCAAATTGAATTCTCAAATAAATTATGATGTTTGTTTGATTGATTGATTGATAATAAACTAATTTTACAGATAAAAAATTAAGAAAATCTTTTTAAATAATAATTTCAAGGAGTAAATGAATCAACCAATCACATTTAATTAAATTAAAGTATAAAATTCTATTTATGATATTGTTACAATTTATCGAATATCTTATTGATAAATTAATAAATAAATAAATTTTGTAAGATATTAGATGTTTTTTCATCAAGTTAATAAAATATATCTTACACTTTGTGGGGATCATAGGTTGGAATATCATCACTATTTTCTTTCAAAAAGCTGTCTAGAATACGAATAGCTTCTCTTAAATTATTTTATTCTATTAGATTAAGGGCAAGCTTCTCTTTTTCGATTATCAATTTTTACAAGTTACCATTCTGGTAGTAATCTAATCTGTTTTACATTTTTTCTTTTAAGATATTTTAAATGTGCTCTTTTTGGTCTTACTTATTTTCAGTCACTATATCATTGTAGCAATAAAAATCTTAACTTAAATTACCTTCATTTTATCTTTCTTTTTAAGTGCTTATGTTGTTCCAACTTAGCCTTACTGAAGGATAGTCTCTCTTTTTTTGATAGTTGCTTTTAGTTTATGTGTAATGTGAATTTAAGTCAGATTTATTTCTAGTATGGTGGTGGAAATTGATCTAACTATTTTCTTTTTACAATTAAGCAGGTTAATTATTTTAGCTGATTAAATTTTCTTGATCTTAGTTATTTTAATCTTATAAGCTGAGTAAATTTGTGGATTTTTAATTGAAATTAAATTAGTAACATTAATTAGATCTTTAGTGACTGCATGGGTAATAAAACTAATCATTTTCAAGTTAACTTTAATAATAACAATATTTCTAGTATTCTTAATTTTAATCTTAGAAGTTATTTTAGTTTGTAACTTCATAATTGCTATTATTTAAATTATTATTTTAGTTGACACATTGGGATTAACTTTCATCATTTTACTCACCCTTAAAATTCTTTTCTATACTCAATTGCCTTGCATTTTCTTTTATTCTCTAATTAGAGTTTTTCTCTTAAAAACTATTGATGTTTTCTTTATTATCTTAACTGAAACTTTTTGTTTATCTTTAATTATACAACTAGTTTTTGCTCTCCTACTTATCATTTTAATTTTCATCATCTTCATCCTCTAGTGTCAGAAACGGCTTCTCTCTCTTCTGATTACTATTTATTTTTTTATGGGAATGACTTTTGTTACTTTGTTGTGTCTTTGGCAATTAACTTAAAGCAGAAATATCGTTGCATGACGACTCATAGTCTGTATTTTAAATCTTTTTCAACCTGGTTTCTCTGCTTGAATCCTACAAGTCACTATTATGAATTTTTCTTGAATCCTTATTGTCTACCTTAATCTATTCATAATCATATTCTTGGTCAGAGCTCTCTCCTTTTTAGTAGTAGCTTAGGCTTTTCGTTTGCTATTTTAGAGGAGTAATAACACTTTTTTTGTTGCTTGAATCTGATATCCTAAAGCTAGGCTGTATAATATTATTTTAATAAAAGCTATAATTTCCATTTTTTTATATTTGTAACGATTCTTCTTTCTCTAAATTGCCAATAGTATCTTCCTCCTCTTCCTATTTTACCTCTTAAATAGTTTGATTTATCTAAATACCATTGTTATCACTACTATCGTGATAACCATCAAAAGCTCTCTTTTTTTAAAATAAAATCAATTTATTTCTTTTTTCTATTTATTTAATTTAAGTTAATAATAATCGAAAGCAGGAAGATGAATCATTTAAGACAGTATTTTATTTTTTTTTATTGAGAATACTTTAACTTGAAAAATACAATAAAATTTCAATAGTTTATTCATATTGATTTAATTCAATCTTATAAAAAAAACAAGAGATCAAATATTTTACTTTGATATATAAATAAAAATAATTTTAATCGCTCTAATTAATTATTTATCAAATTGAATCTTAATGATATTTAATTAGTTACTATTAAATTAAATTTGAGTTAATAGCAATTCGGTTTTTTTTAATGTTTTAATATATTTGTTTGCTAAATAACTATTGTAAAAAATTGAATTAGTTATTTTATTTTAAATTCTCATAATTAATTCTATATTAATAAATTGCTAAAAAAAAAAAAATCTAAGTTTTATTTTATAAAAATGAATATTTACTTAATTAGCCTACTCAACTGAAGAGACGTCTGAAACATTATCAGTTTAGTTATAGTCCTTATTTTGTTGAGGTCTTTTATTGTCATACTAATTTATAGAAGAACCATTGATATTATTATAATTGAGATCATGCATGAGTATTTATTTGAGGCAGTTAACTTCGTTTTTTGAAATATTTGCATAGCTCATATTGCTCTCTTCTTACTAAGAAGACATTTAGGAGTTGCTATGGCTACCTTTATATTACTCTATTTAATAGTTTTCAGGAGAGAGCTAGCGAGACACCATACAGTTTGTGTTTTCCCTTGTTTAAAATTAAGAATTCTTACTTGATCTACTGTTTTTTCTTTTGCAGAGTGAGTGTTCAGGAGAACTTCTTCCTGTACATTTTTCGAGCTAAAAATTGCTTGGAATATGATTGTTAGTAAGTGTAGTAGTTTATCCAATCGAATCTTTACAATTCACGTGTGTATTTGTGTTAGATACTGATGTGGAATTTACAATACCTACCTTGTTTTAATTTGCATAGCTATTTTCCAATATTTCTGCGAAAACCTACAAATCGCTCCTTTACAAAAGTCTATTAGAATTTGGACGACTATTTCTTTTAGTTAGGAAATCTGTTTCGTTGTTCTTAGTAATTGAGAATTCTAAGTTTGTTGTGTTTTTATTTAAAAAGTTAGTGTCTTCTTATAGACTTCTGTCATGGGATTAGTTAATTTATTTGATTTTATTGACCTTATTTTATTCATATTCTGCAAAATATTAGCTGTTCCTTCCAAGGATTTCGTTAAAAATTCTATCTTCATCTTTAGATGTTTTTAACTATTAAATTTACTTTTCGTTTTCTTTTTATAATTTTTGAATGTTAATCTGTGAAGTTTCATTATCAGATTTCACTATGCTTGAATAGTATTTATTATCATCATCAACAGTTGCAGCAGCAGTTGCTGTAGAAATAGCTTCATTCTAGTAGTTTATGCTTTATCTTGTTATATTCGAATGCACTGGGTATTCATTTGATTCGAATTAACTGTAATTTGTGTTCTTTGGTGACTGCTTTGATGAATGCATTTAACTATTGTATTCCAATTAATATCTCCTGTTTGTATTTTTTTAAGATCTTGCATAGACAGAAGGACTAGCTGAAGAAGAAGTATTTATCTACTATTAAAGTAATTATTGCGATGATTTTTATATAGTTTACAAATCTTTTTCAAACTCTTTTTCTATTTTTTCTGAAATTTTAATAATTTTTTCATCTAAAGTCATGTTATTCTAAAGGTTATTCTAGTTAGTAAGTGTAGTTTAATTGCTTTCTTGTTAATCTTGCTGTGCTGAAGCAATCAGAAACTCTTTTATCCTATTCATCTCAGCATCTTTTTATTAGCTCTTAAAGACACTGTTTTATATTGATTGGCTCAAAGTTGTATCGAATCTTTCTCTTTACAAAAATCTCTTAAATAAACTCTAATACCTTGTCTAGTTTGCCTATCGATGAATGTTTTCTTCTAACTCTTAATTCCTTTCATAGTTTCTCTTTTATTCTTCATTTTTATATAAAAAGAAGCAAAATTATATCAAATATTAATTTATAAATACAATAATTAATGATATAAACAATTATTATAATTTTACCACTATTAATAAAATTGGGGACCTATCGATTATAGTCAGTTCCATCACTTATGTAATTTATTTTACTCTAAGTATCGTAGTGCAAGTTTTGTTGATCAAAACAAGTATTTTCATTTATACTATTTTAACTCTACATTATCATCGATGAAAGACTCATCTTAGGCTCGCTATTCAATTATAGCTTGGAAATTGCCATACTTTTCCCTGCACTATCTGTCAAGTTTTTAGTATCATTTTGAAATTGTTGTTGAAGATTCTTTCGCATAAATATCATAATAATGAACAAATTTGTAACAAAATATTTTTGGAATGGCTGTTTGTACCAGCTTTAATAAATATAAATAACAAGTTTAATTTAACACTATTTTGAATTTTGATAATTTAATCAAGTTAATTACAAAATTAATAATCAAATGAATGAATAATTGTTTGATTGAATTCAAAGCTATGAGATTTTCAACTGAAAAAAAATTCAAAAAGAATATCTAAATTAAAATAATGTTATTACTCCTAATCAAAAAAAAAATCTAATTTTTAACTCCAACAGCCAAATATTCAAGAATAATATTCTATTTAGAATAAATATTAATTAATTTTTGTTATAAAAATAATTTAGTAACTAAAGCAAGCAATAAATAAATATATTTATGTTTGTAGCAATTTTAAAATTATATTAAATATTTTGTTAATGATTATCCTTTAAATGATCTAGTATTTAATTTATCTAGTTGATTTTTCTTTAAAAATTAATTATTAATATTAAAATAAAATTGATAAATTAAATAAATCATTCATATTGTTTTGAATTTTAAGCTATTAAGAAAAGGATTATTAAAAAACAACTCACTATAAGTCTTCATTAATTCAAACATAATTATTTTAATGTATAAAATTTTTTCTAATGTAAAGTATAAAATGGTAAAAAAGAAAGTTTGAAAAAAAAATTATTAATATAAGAATGAATGTTCATAGTATACAATAATTAATCTGTGTTTTTAATTAAAATTTTAATCCACAAACTTTTTGTCTTAAAATATTTAATTTAATTGGGCTTGAATTGAAACTAAAATCTTATTTTTTAAAACCTAAATAGATTTTTGAAAAATGATAATATGCTCATTTATACTTATTCTTAAATAATTTTATTAAATTAAAATAATTATAAATTAAAGAGCTTTTCAATGAATAATATGTAATAGGTAAATACATATTTGAATTATTCAGTATTTATTGTCATAAAATTGATTGAATTGATAAATTTAATTATTATTTTATACAAACAATTACTCGTTTATTTACTCAATAATAGAAAAATAAATATTTATTTCTAATATTTTTAATAAATTAATGATTTTTTCACTACAGATTTACCATAATAATACTATAAATTTAATTTTATATTCAAGAAAACTTATTTTTTAACTATTTAAATTTATTAAATTATTAATTTTAGCTATGTTTAAATTTTAATTGTATTTCTCATTATTGAGGAGTGCTATTTTATTGTAGATAATTTATTTGGTTAAGTGAGTATTTTAAGTTAGGGGATTATTTTTCATTAAGATTTTGTGATCTAAATTTAAATTGAATTATATTTTAACTATTTTTATGTGAATTTGGAAATACATTGTCTTATTCATCCTAATTAAAAGATTTTGATCTTTCATATTGTTGAACTTAAACTTATTCTTTTGGTATTACAACCACTTTTGATTTATTTATTCTTAGAATATAGTAAGACGAATATTGAAAAATAGAATTCAAACTCAGGAGCCAAGTGTAGTAAGTAAAGATGACTAAGCAAACTAAATCAATTTATGGAAAATAAGCATATTATTCAAAAGAAACTAAAGCAAAATCATATTGATCTTTCAAAGTCAATCTGTTAAGGCTATTTATTTAGGAATCACTTCCTCCATAAAAATTAATATAGCAAGTTTGAGGCTAAGAATATTTATCTAAATCATAATACTATGGAATGCATATCCAGCTAGCAATTTTAACTGAAGTAAACTAGGTACAAAGTCTTTTTACTAAAAAAATAATTAAAATATGCAAATAAATTAAGTTTCATACAATTTACGGCAGTTTGAGCAACTTCATCTCCATAGATTGTTGAATTATTCATGCAACTTTTTAAATTTATTTGTAATTTATTTTTTAAGTTTTGTTTTATATAAATTACCTTCTTTATTTCTAGAAAAATACATAAGGTTAAATGGATTGTGCTATCTTCCCTTAGTTTTAATCTGAAGCACAAGCTTGTCCCAAATATTATTAACCTTCATATTCAAAGTTAACATAAAGTAGCGAGTAATTTTCATACCCAGTTTTTGCTTTGTATTAACCAATTATTTAGCAATTTTGTGCTTTTTAAAACTCTATCTTAGCAGTGTTATGAAATACACCAAAGAAGACTCCATAAAATACAGATAAACAAATTACAAATAAGAAAAAATTATAAAGGTTAAAGCAGGGAGAATAAATTTAGTTATTTCTCCACCAAATAAAATAATATAAAGCCATCAAAAGAAAGTAGATAGGGCAATAGTAAATAAGATATATTGATAAATGATTGGAGAGTTGCATCATCCCAGTCACAAACACAGCAACTAAAATAGTTTAAAATTATGTTAGGATAAAATGTGTATTTGACTCCTTATATTTATCCGCCATTGAAACCTTATTTGCATTCTTACTTGCAGTTGTCATTTTACTATTCATTATTGATCAGAAATTATTAATTTACCTCTACTTAACTCTTATTATTAAGGTTATTTAATATTTTTTGTAATTGTTTTTTATTGAATTATAAACTTTTTTATGATTTCTCCAAAGTTTTCTGTCTAAACTTTTTTATTTTTCGCATTAAATTTTTGACTAAGTTAACTTAAATCATATAGAAAAAATTTATTTTTCTATATATAACTTTTTCCAAATATAAAACAAAATGATAAATTCAATTTTTTCAATAGTTTTTAATTTCTAAAAATAAATTTTAAAGTAATTTAAATATGTTTTAAGTAATTTTTTTTAAGCTATTGAAATTTAATCTAATATTTTAAATAAATGTAGGTATTTTCAGAATAGTTTTGCTGGATAAAATTTACTTTATAGATATATCTTGCTTTGAATAGAAAGATAATTTTGAAAATTAATTATAGAAGTAAGGATTTATAAGAAGTAATTAATTTTAAAATGTAGCACTGACAATACTGTAAGTCCGCGTTATCTCGGCCTTCAGATGATAGCATTTCCGAATTCCAAGGAGTGAGTTAAAAATATTACTTAAGATGCATATGTAAATATATTTAAAATGACTAAAAATTTATATTATGGTTTATAATAAATTAAGAAAATTCAATATTTTTATGTAAAAATCTTTAAAAATTTCATTTAATTTTAATTGAAAAAAATCACTAGCTTTTATTTCCTTAAAATGTGATTTTGAAATAAATCTATACAAACATTTTTTATTGTTAAAACTGAAGTGTATTAACATCCAAATAAATAATGAAAATCATATGGAGCTGTTAATTTAGGCATATTTATAGTATTTGAAGCTATATTTATTTGTTTTAAACTTAGCATGGTTTTATACAATATTCCTTAAATTTAATCAATGAAATTCAGGTTTTGAACTCATGAAAATAAAAATCAATTACTTAAAAATCTATGAATTTGTGACAGTGCTAAAAACCTTATTTTTCTTTCTTAAGTTTAACTTTATATAATAAATAAGAATATAGAGACTTACAAGTAATTAATTGAAAACTATTAATATGAAATCTCAAATTTTATAAATAAACTGATATTATATTAAGCCTAGCAAGAATCTATGAATTATAAGTTTTACATAAAGTATAAATAGTAATAGAGTTAAATATTAATTCTTAAAATTAAAAAATAGAAAAAATCAATTTTGTTTAGAAAAAAGTCCTCATTTATTTTTATTTAGAAAAGAAAATAAAACAAAGTATAATTATTTATATATAAAAACAGTAATTAAAATTTATTTATTTATTTATTATAATAGTAAAAAAAGAATTTTTGAAAAGCTGAACATATTTATTTTATTTTTCCAAGATTTAATTAATTATAGTCAACTCATTTTAAATATTTCATTTATTAAAGATTGCTTGTTAGTAATTAAGTAAGTAAGTAAGTTATTTATTTATTTATTCTTTAAGATCAGATAAAAAGTTTTAAATTCTCAATTATTTTTTCTACTTTCTATTCTCACCTTGGCATCTTTAATGTTAGAACTATTAGATTCTTAGTTGATTTAATTATTTATATATTTATTTTTTCATTTATTCATTCACTCACTTTGAGTTTTTAATAAACTATTCTAGTAATTTTTATGTTTTTTTATTTAATTATTTAAAAATCAAAGTGTAATAGCTGATGGACGGACATTTCTTTCATAGACTCCATATATATCTGAATATGTTTTGTAGAAAGCCAGACTAAGACTACCTCCTAAGAGTAAGCTAATCAAAATACCTGTTTTTTGATTTTATCTTAAGCTTAGTAGAGAGAAGCGATAGAAAGTTTCACCAGCATAAGGATGGAGGAAAAGAATAGAGGAGTATGGGAGTATGTAGAAAATTGTTGGGATTGTTAAATATGTGAGAGTCTTGAAAGAGCTGAGAACAATTTATTGGCGCTGAAGCTTTTTTAATTGTTGACTGCAGATGCTCTCTTTTAATGTGTAGAAGTTCTCAATAGTTGAAATGGGAGTGATTTATTTTTGCAATAAAATATTCTTATTTTGAGCAGAATCAGCCATGTAGCTCTTCAAGGCATTAATGCGCTTAACAATTGATTCCTAGTCAAGAAGTGTGCTTTTGCTGTAGTTTAATTAAGCTCCTGCTTGTTACAATAAGTTGTTTTCAACAAGAAGAATTAATTTCATTACTCTTTTTTGCTTTTTAGAGTTAAGACTTTGCAAATTCTAAGTGAGAGGCTAAAGATACTAAATAAGAACATCTATGCTTTCGGCGGAGTCTATATTTCTCTTAAAAGTGATGTAATTCTTTTTGGAAAGTTTCTTATCATTCTAGGATAATTAAGAGATGTAATCTCTTAAAAATTAACTTCCTTGACAGATTTCTTCCTTGCATCTAGAATATTAATCTTAAAACTTTTAAGTTAAACTAGTGTACTTGTAGGTGCTGACGTAACCCAACTTAGTGACAGGATTAGCAGATATTAAATACTATCTAACAGCAGATTGTCTTCCAGCAGTCTTAGCTAAATTTGCACCTTATTTAATAATGTTGATCATTTCCCTTTTTTTATTAATTCTTATTTGTTTTTTTGTTTGCTTTTTATTTTTTAATAATTAATAATTCGCTAGATAATTAGTTAGAACTTTCTTTTATATTAAACGAAGAGGTAGATAGATGCTTTCTAGCAATAAAGAAAGAGCTAGAAATTTTATGTTTTCCTTTTTCTTTTCCTGATCATAAAAAGTAAATGCCTCGATCAACTGGTTGATTGATTAATTAATTAATTCATTATCTGATTTAAGAAAATAGGTTAAGTATCGCAAATTATTTCAACATACATTGAAGTGTATTTAAATATTTGAAATAGAAGAAATAAGGGATCATGATAAATTTTCTAAAAGAAAAATTATTTGAAATGCTTAAGAAGTGAATTAGTTAATTATTAATCGTGTTATCAAAATATTGCCAAGCTAGCAATCAAAAATTTCTAAATTTCTTCGAAAATTTATTTATAAAAGAAATATTCATCATGATCTGGATAAATAAATCAAAATTTTAAAATATAAATTGCACAGATAATTCTTATTCTATTTCAACTGACCTCAATTAAAGTTGAGTTTATATTTTTGGAGCATAAGTATTGAAAATAATTCATTTAAGATACATATTCAATAAAAAATAAATAATTATTTGGATAAATATTTTAATTTTAAAACAATTCAGAATAATATAAATAATCTTTTAACCAAAAATATGCTTCAATAATTATTTTTTGTTTGCAGTTTTTTAAATTAGTTAATTTTAAATAAGAAAATGAAAAGATAAATTGAATTATAATTTAAAATATTTTAATAATGTCTTTATTCTTATTTAAATTTCTTTTAATTCATTCATTTCATTAAGAGGAACACTAAATAAGTATTTATCTAGCTTATAAATTACTTAAGATTTCTTTTATTTCTAGAAATCTTTTATTATAATTAATTTATTTTTGATATTGTTGCTTACTATCTTTCTTTTTTTAATTTTTGTTGTCTAGATCAATTAATTATAAAAGTCTAATAAATATAAATATTTCACCCTTTCAATATTAAATTACTTTTTAGGAAAATCAATAATTTAATTTCTTTTTAAAATATTTTTTAAAATTTAAAGTATCTTTTTATTTTCTAAAATTTCTTATAAAAAATAAGATAAATTTTTAATTAAAAAAATTATAATTTAAGGCAATAAAAAGAATTTATGTTTGATCCTTTCATAAAATATGTTTTATTTTTTTATTTTATTTTAGAAAATTTTTATATTTTTATTTCATTTATTTTAACTTAATAAATCTAGTTTCTGGTTTTGCTTTAAAATTATATATTTTAACATATATCTAATGATTAAATAAAGATGAAGATTATTTTAATGGAAATATTTAATAAAGAATAAGATGTTTTAAAAATATGGTAATAATTTTCATAATTATAGCAAAATTAACTTAAAAATTTGTTAATTTCTTTAAGAACTGAAAGACAGGAAGGAATATTTTATGTTTATTTGAAGTATTTTAAAATTCTTTTTAAATAATTTTGCTCAGTTTATAAAATTTATCATAAATTTTTTTATAAAAAATATTTTTTAAAAGCTTTATTTTGAAAAATGTTATTCTAAGTTTTTATGATTAAAAAATATTATCTATTAAATTAAATATTTTAATGAAGTATTTATAAATAAAAAATATATATTTCTCATTGATAAGGTTGAATATTTTTAATTATTTTTGTATTATATACTTTTTACTATTTATTTATTATTTAATAATTAACAAATCAAAAATGGATTATTTAATGAAATTCATTCAAAAGTCTCTTTTAAAGGCAGAGTTTTTATGGACTAAATCAACTTAGATTCAAAAGCAAAGCAAACATCTCAAGCATTTCCATAAGAAGCCTTCAGAGTAGTTATTTTTTTAGTTGAAATATAGATAATTACATCAAGAATAAGTTGAGTAATACCAAAAGATAATTAGGACAAAACAGAAAATAGAAGCTGAAAATCCATTGAGGAATAAAATGTATCCCGAGGAGAACTTCATTGATGCATTTTATAGCTCTCAAAAAGAGGGATTTTTCGATAATAACAAATATAAATTGCACACTTATAGATTCAAGGCTTTTGAATAACCTCCTAAGGCTATATGCGTTATTTTCCATGGAATGAATTGGCATTCGAATTTATTGGCTCATATCGCAGAAGATTTAGCTAAAAACCAGATTGAAGTATGTGCCTATGATTTCAAGGGCTATGGTAAAAGTTAAGGTCTTAGAGGGTACATGCCTGATATTAAAAGACACATTGAGGATGCTCACCAATTTATTGCAGAAGTTCAAAAGATTTATCCTGATAAACCTTTATTTTTATGTGGATTTTCATTGGGAGGACTCACAGCTTTTCATTTAGGATTGGAAAATAGAGAAAAGTTTAAGGGAATTGTATTCTTTGCTCCTGCTTTGAAAGACCACCCATATTATCAGAGATACCCTAAAATATTTGGCAGATTTATTGGTAGACTGTTTCCTAAAATGAAAGTGACTCCTACTAATAAAGGTAGAAGTTCAGCTCAGAGAAATAAAGTAGTTGACGACTATTTATTTAAAGTGGATGAGTTATACTATAAAGAAGGATTAAGAGCAGGAACCATAAGATCAATAATAGAGTCTATGATGGATACTGAATTTCTCTACCATGATTTCGATGTCCCTTTTTTACTCTTCTAGGGTGGTCATGATAAGCTTGTTGACCCATCATTAGCAAGCTAGCTTATAGAATAATCCCCTTCTTAAGATAAATAAATAATATATGACCATAATCTTTGGCATGGGATACCTCTAGAGCCTGAAATCGATGAATACATGAAGATAGTTGTAGACTGGATTCATAAGAGAGTTTGAAAATACTTTCTAGTTTATTATATTTAAAAGGCATTTATTTTGCAGAGGTATCTTTGTATATACTGAAAATACTGCTTGTCAAAATCCTATGCTAAAATTAAAAATTTGAGTAATATTCTATCAAAGACAACACTTAAATGTTTAATTAAAACTTATAATGCGTAATTAGCATTGTTTTGAAATTATCTAAATAAATACACTACAATCAATATATTTGTATATTAATCAATCAATCGAATATGTATTTTTATTTATCAAAATAATAAATATGTTATTTTTTTGAAAAAAATGATAAATAGTTTACTAAAGATTTGTAAAACAATTTAATCATTTTAAAAATATTTTGTAAATTTTCATTTGTTTCAAATTAAATAAATTAACTGACATAAAATTAATTTATTTATTAATTTCTTTTACTTATTATGCTAATTTACTAACCAAAAGTAAATTGTCTTAATTATTTTCATTTATAAAGGTAAAAAAATATTTTTTTAAATGTTGTTATAACTAAAATTGTTTATTTTCTAGGTCTTCATTAGCAAAAGTAATACTTAAAGTTAGTTGAAAAAATTTAAACAAAAAATAATATACTTTATGAATTATGATATCAAATATTATTTTTTCAATAGTATTACAATTAAATATTTCAATATAAGTAATATTTTTGATGTAAGTAAAATAAAGAATATATCTTTTTATTTGTAGTTGTTTATTTTATTAATAAACAAAAAATTATTGATATTTTTAATATTTCTACTTGATTAATTAATTATACACAAATAGAAATAAAATCACTTGAAATGTTTAAAGAAGATTTAAAAAATGTCATCAGATATATTGATTTAGATAAAGAGGCTCTTAAATCTCTAATTGGAAATAAAGTGATTGATTTAAATTATAAATATAGAAAAATATCATTAAGTGAATCTTTCATAGAAGAAAAAGATATCAATTACAATCTAAATAAAATTAGATTAGGCTTCTTCAAATGTTTAAAAAGTTCTGAGGTATGTATTTTATTTAGATTTCTTAAAAGAGTGAAATAATGTAATTGCTTAATAGTTGATATTTCTTATAACGAGCTTTCATCTAACAACATATTAGAACTTGCTTCAGCTATTAGTCATATTTAAAATTTAAATGAACTTTAAATTGGACTTGGATTAAATTAAATTAATGATTATTCAGGGCTGCAAAAGTTGTTTGATTCATTATTAGGTTTTCCTAAATTGTAATCTTTATCTTTACTTTTGTATTATATGAACATTAAAAATGAGCAAGTCTAGTACTTAAGCTCAAAATTAAAGTAATTATCAAATATTACTTAATTAGATATCAGATTTAACTATAATACACTAACAGATGAGAGTCTCATAACTCTTTCCTAAGCTATTTCCTAACTAAATTAGCTTTAATAACTATTTTTAGGTTATTGGAATAATGATTTGAGTGATGCAGGATTCTCTGCTCTATTTGAGAATCTTTTTGAGAGCTCTTAAAAATTAACTGAAGTAGTTTTATAATTAAAAGTTAATTAGAATAAAATCAGAGATAATAGTTTGATTTTATAAAACAAAAATTAAGCTTTGAAAAAGTTACATGTATAAATTTAAAATAGCAATCTCAAATACTTCTTTATATTATAGGATTTACCTTAAATAGAAGATTTATTGATTGAATTTGAGCAAACTGAGTTATCTGAATTGGCTTTTTAACAAGTATCGTCTATGATAAGTTATTGCAGCAAAAGTAACTGCTTTAATAAATTAAAATTGTTCATTCCTTTGAAAAGTTAATATATCAATTAATTCTCAAAGTCATTGTCTCTTTGCAATCAATTATAAATATTAAACTTAAAATGTACTCAATAAACTGGAATGAAAGAATTTTTAGAATAATTTTCAGTTAAGGATTTTACTCAATTAAATTTAAAAGAATTAGAACTCGTTTTAGGTTGCCATTTTAATAATGAATTGATATCTTTCCTATGCTAATTATTATCTACTTAATAAAATCTAATAAACTTAAATTTATAGCTTATAAATGATAAAGCAAATGATATTATTGTTTTTGAAATGAAGTGTTTATTTGATTATTTACAAAATCTTAAATAATTGAAAATTCTTTCTCTTTAAATTGAATAATTTAATCAATTACCAAATTCTGGCTAAATTATTGGAAATAGCATTTCTTAAATTAAAACTCTAGAATAATTGGAAATAAATTTTTCAAACAATAAATTTAATGAAATAGGAGTGAAGGCTATAATAGATAGCTTATCTGCTTTGAAAGATCTACAAAAATTAAAGATAAAATTATCCAATAATCCTATTAAGATTGAAGAGTTAGGTAGAGCAACATAAGGACTTTCGTAGCTTGACAATTTAAAGAGGTTATTTTTTATCATAGATTTAAATGAATCATATGATTAACATGATATATTATTTGATTTATCTAATAACTTAAAGAAAAATATCAAACTTCAATATTTACAAATAAACTTATTTGGTTTTGAGTTTCCTAATACTTAGGCTCTCAGAGCTATTAAAAAAATAATAAATTTAGTAGAATATATCATATTATTTTGAAATTTGTTTTTTTTATGATTTAAAACCAAAAAAAGTAAAAATAAATAAATAAATTAAATTATATTTTTTATCAGTCATTTAATTAATATAATTTTTATTTTAAATCTATCTAATTATCAGGGTTTGTCTATCAATCTAATAATTTAGCATTAAGACACAATTTTGATATAATTTTTATTTACCTACCAACTAAATAAAATATTAGATAATTAATAGCAAAAAATATTATATATATACCATAATACCTTATTTTTTCATGTGAAAACAGAAAAGCAGAAACATTGTTAATAATAATCGACCCCCCCCCCCGAATTTTTTTTTTTTTTTTTCAGCAATTAGAAATAATTTTTAATATAGGAAAGAAAAATAAATATTTAAATTAAAATAACTCTCCTAAATTTGGGTTCATATCTATAAAAATTCATAAATTATTTTTATTTAAAATATTTATTGAGATTTCTTTTTCTTTAATTTTATTTTAAAAATTAATATGAGTTTTCATTTTATTATTAAAAAAAAATTATTTTACTTTTATCCTATTTTTTTTTATTGAGTTAAATAGTTATTATTTCAATATTAATTACAAAGAAAACTTTCTAATAATTTATTTTGATAAAATTTAGAAGCATCTATTTTTAGTAAATCTTATATGCATATTCATTTGTTAACTATTAATTTTTGAATTCATCAAATTAAAATTATCTATTGGTGAAAAAATATAAAGCGAATTATTAAAATTTGGAGTGCTAGCTAGCTTGTTAGCGATCTTCTTTTATTAATTATATAAATAATTAGCAAACAATTAGATACTAAGATTGATTTGAAAAATATAAATTAAGAGACACTAAATAAATAATTATAAATTAATTAATTAATTTATTATTTTAGGCATATCAAAAGCTAAAAAGGAAAGTATCTATCTATAAAAAAATATAAAATTTAGGTTAAAAATTGATTTTTAAAATGGAAAAAGAAGAAATTTAGATAAATGACGATGTAATGAAAAGTCTGAAAAAGGCAAAGGTGTTTAAAGATAATGTAAAAATAAACTTTGAATTAAAGATAGATAATTTTTTTTAATTAATTGAAATCATTTTATGATAATTATTCAATTGTTATAATTGAGTGAATAAGCTTTAACACCTTTTTATTTAAAATTAGAAAGTAGCAATTACTTCGATGGATATATCTAAATGTGGAGAGTATTTAGTAACCTGTGATGGAGAATAAATCATAGAATATAATTTATTGAGTGGAGAGCAAATTAAAAAACTTTACCACAAAGAAAGCTAATTGGATTTAGTTAGATTTACTCACAATAGTGAAGCAATTCTTTGTGTTACTCAAAAAAATTGTAAATATATTTTTAAAATCTTTATCATTAGAAAATTTAAATGTTTGATCAAAATATAGTCACAATTATTTATTGGTCCTTGCATGACAATGAAATTGTAAAGAAGTTTGTAGGTCATACAGATATCATTTTATGTTTAGATCTTAATAATGCCTCAGATGTATTTTTAAGTACTTCTTAGGATTGCACAATGCGTTTTTGGGATTTAAATTCTATGACATTAGGAGAAAATGCAATTCTCGATTTATCTGAAAGAAAATGCAATCCTGTTGCAGCATTTGATAATTTAGGATTAGTTTATGCCATTTCATACACAGAAACCGTTGGTGGCTCAGATTTTACAAAGATTGCTTTATACGATATAAACAAACATGAACATGGAGCATTTGCTTCTTGGAATTATGATTGCCCTTAAGTTAGAACTTTAAAGTTTAGTTAAAATGGTGAATAGATACTCTGTTCAACTATTGATGGACAAATTCTACTTATAGATTCTTTCGAAGGAGGAATAGTAATAAATATTGATATTTAATATAAAAAACAAATCTATTATTTATTTGGAAACAAAAGCATATAAATTTAGCTTGCAATTTTTTACAAACACAAAATTTATTTATCTTGCTTGAAAGCAATTAGAAAGTTAATAAATAGTTAAATTTTAAATTTAAATTTTCAATAAATAACCTTGTTAAAAATGCTATTTAAACTTAATATAAACGATAAAAATGAAATAAATAAATAAAGTATGTCATTTCCAATTTTGCATTTTTAACAAAGCATTAAAAATTTTTCTACAAAAAAAAATAAATAAACTGTTATTTTTTAGGATAAAATAGAATAATAAAAACATAAAACTTTAGCTTTCAATTTTAGGCTGACACAAATTTATTTTTTTTGATTTCTTTATTCAAATTTTAAATCTAAATTCCAATAAATTACCTTGCAGAATATATTCAAATATTAACTAAAGGAATGAAATAAATAAATAAATCATGTGTTTGATATCTAATTTTGCATTTAAAAGATGAATTAAAAGTTTACTAAAAAAATAATAAATAAATAAATTGTTATTTTTTATGATAGATTAATTGAGTTTTATTTTATCATCTATTTAAAAGGAATTACAATTTTTAATTATTATTTTATATAAAAGTAAAAGAAAATATTTACTGGAGGTGAAGATTTAATGGATCCTTGTATTACACCATGTTGCTAATATATAATTACAGGTAAATCTATCATTAAATTAAATCAACTTTTATCATTTAAGTTAATAATTATAAAATTTTTTTTATTCTAAATTTTAGGAGGTGAAAAAGGTATGATTTAGGTTTGGAAGACAAAAACAGGAGAGGAAGTAACTAAATTATAGGGACATTTCTTAAAACCTTAGATTTGTAAGTTCTCATCTACTCATTGTATTTTAATTAGTGCTTGTAAAAATCTAATCTTTTGGATTCCAGATTTGTAGTAAAAGAGTGACAAATGATGGATGGATGAATGAATGAAAACCAATCTTAGATAAATTTCTTTTTTTGATTAGTTAATAGATTAAAAATTAATACATAAATATCTATCAATAAATAAACAAACCAAAAATCAATTAATTAGTCATTAAAAAATTAGACAATAAATGTATTAATAGTAGAACTAATGCTAAATTTTGCTAACTAAATAAAACATAACTTTATTTTTAATAAAATCAATAATAAATAATCAATATAATTAATAACCAATTCTTTAATCCTTGGCTAAAAACCACATATTATATTTAGTATTACCTTCTTTTATACTTTTGTGTTCATATTTATTTTAGTATTACTACTTTATTCAAACTAAAATAAGAATCTCTTTTAAATGCTAATCTTTTTTCATTAAGCTTATTTTTTAAAATGGATTAAATTAAAAAATGTATGCTATTATTACAGATCGGATTTTAATATTAATTAATACAATGAAATTCCATAAATCTTTTAAAATATATATTTTATTTTAGAAATAATTTTATTATAAAGTACAAGTGAAATAAATATATATTTTTAATGTTTAAAGAGAAAAATGCACTTTTACATAGATATATAAATGCATTGTATTTTTTAAATTTTTCATTGAAAACAATAATTTCTAGATCAATATTATCTATCTATCAATCAATCAGTAATATAGGTTATTCTACTCCAAAATTTTTTATTTGAATGATTTTTTCAAAAAAATATTTTTTTAAATTATTTGATGATAGAAATTTTGTATTATTTTTGAATTAACAGATAATTTTTTTTAATAATAAATAATTTTGATGATAAATCTACAGATTTTTGTATGAAATAAATACCATGTTTTCTATCGATTTTAATTTTTAATTTTATTTTTTTCGTCAAATATTTTTAAATAAACAAAATTAAATTTCATAAAAGTTCAAAATTAAAAAATAACTGAAAACTAAAACTATTTATATTAATCATGAAATATAACATTTTAATTTAAAAAATGAAAGTTTCAGTTAAAAATATGCAAAGAATTGTAGAATAGTATCTTTAACTTTTTTATTATAAAATCATCAGAATGATTGGTTTATCAACACATGTAAAGTAAATAAACAAAGCATATTTTATCAAAATTCTTTAAATAAAAGCAGACCCTTTTTTAGCTTAACCTGATTTAACAAAGCGATGTTTATATATGAATATACATACACATTAAGTTGCTTGCTTAGAACTGTTAATTAAAAATAAGATAATCTTTATACTTATGCAAATATTTTAAATCAGTGTGTAAAAAATTAATTGTATACAATTTATCAATCATAAATTAAAAATTGTAATATTAATTTTCTATTTGTTTACTTTATTATTTATTATAGGCTTTCATATCAAACATATTTGAAAGACAGCATATTTATTTATACAAATAGTAAAACAAAAGTTATAGCTTTAGACATTATCAATTTAATGAATTATTCAGGTTAGTAAGCTCGATTGGATTAGTCTAATCAAAAATTAAATGGCAACAACAACCAGTCTAATATTCTCAATAGTAGTGTAAAACAAAAGGAATAGAATTAGCAAAGTCAGTAAGTTAATTAAGTAAATATTAGTAAGAAAAACAAAAAGAATAAAAAGAGAAGTTCTTAATAAGCAAGCAATAGTGATGAATATTCTAGGAATGCTAATATTGATCATATTTTAAGCGCTATAGAGAACAACAAGAGATGTAATGATTCAGATTTCTACAATTAAAGCAATAACAAAATATCATAAGAATATTTAAGTTTGGTAGATTCTACAGAGCCTAACAACAATACGGTAGAATATATTCGTAGGAAACTTTCTGATTAAAATTATTCATTAATTTCTCCTGAAAATAAGACCTCTGCTACTAATTTCCATAAAAAATCTAATAGCAATTAAGAAAGATTATCTTCCTCTGTGTCTTCTTACGGTACTAACAAAGATAGTTAATATGATGATGGTTTTATAACAATAGGTAAGGCAGCTAAACCAAACAATGGCTACAATAACTAGTTACACTATAACGAATAAAATAAGTAAATAAGTAGTAAATAGAATTGCAGCTATTCTATTAATGTATTAAATGACAGTAACATAAATTAGTAAAATAAACACAACAATAGCAATAACTAAACTCAAAACAAAAATCATAAAATGAAATAACATTCAAATTAAAACTAGCAGCAGCATGTCAGAAAGCATGACTAAATCTAAATTGTGCATTCTAACAGCTATAATATTGAAAATAGTGATTCAAAGCATAATTAAAGCAACCACAATAGGTTTTCTTCTTCAGGAGATATCAAAAACAAGTAAAATCAATCCTCGCCTTTAAAAGAAATAAAATAGCATAGAAGTAGCTTGGTTGTGTAATAAAATCAAAATAATAAATTCAAAAATGAAATAAACTCTTTAGATTACGTACAAGAAGAGTAAAGGATTAATAATTCGAGCAGTTAAGAATTGGATCACGAGAACGAAGAAATTAACTAATAAGAAGATAAAGAGAGTTATGAATACTTTTCGAATATTGACCATGATGAATCACAATAGACAAGTAAAGAGGATAACAATCATTTAAAAGTGATGAGAAAAAAAACAAATAGAAGCAAAAGCATTCATAATAGTACAGAATTAGGCTCAGTCAATAATAATTCATAAGAAAAATTAGGTTGTTTAACTGCTAAAAATGACAGCAAAACTACAAAAGATGATACAGATTTTACTAGCATTAACAATCTTGAAAATCAAAATTAACTGCAATTAACCAATTAATCATCTTAATAAAGCTAAAATAATTCTAATGTCATGAGTTAATCATGCTAAAATCTTCCCAATCCTCCAACTTTACAAAAAGAGAAATCAATTACAAATGAAGATAAAGATAAAGAAAAAGAAGAAGGAAGCTTAGCAATATTTCGTTGCCCGATAGCTTTAGAGAAGTACAACATAAAACTGTGGATTATGTATGTAGACAATTTAATTGAAGTTATGTTTAAGTTGCCGATTGAGTTGATTATTTTAATTGCAGAGTACATAATCAAAGGCAAACAAATTTAGAGAAAAGATTTTCATATATGGGTTCATTTTATTTTAATTCTTATCCCTGTTCTCATATTCACAGATAACCTCTATATCATAGAAATGAAAGAATACTTTGATGTTTCTTATTGGTATCATGCATTCAGAGGTTAATCTACTCTCAAACTTTACGGTGTTCTTATGACAGCAGATATAGTTGATAAGATGTTGTGTACATTCGGTGAGTACCTCATATTAGATATTATTTGGTAGAAATTACCTAAATCTCCACTCCTCCACCTTATAAAATACATAATTCCTGCAATTCTCTATGTTTTTTTGCACTCACTTGTCCTTTTTCTGTCAATAATTGCTACAAATGTTATTTTAAATAGTGATATTTCCTTCTTGTTTGTAATGATGTTTGTCCACCTTTCAATGAAGCTTAAATCAACTATCTTTAAGAAATTCACCAAAGATGGCTATGTCTAACAAACTCATTCAGACTTAAGATCTAGATTTGCTAAATTTTTGTACGTCTTCCTCATATGGGCAAGTATGAGAGGTTTCCCTGAAGATATAGTAAGAAAGCTGGTTTATTTTTTAGGTTTTGAAGTAATTGTAGAGTGGATTAAGCACATATTTTTGATGCTCTTAAATAATCTAAAGCTCTCTATTGTAGAAAGTATGAGTAAATCATGCAAAGTTTTTGTAGCTCAAGTTCGTATCATCCCCTCCTTTTAAGCATAAGAAATACTAAATAATAAAACTTTACAAACATTCATGGAAAGAGAAAATTATCTTGCACAAACTCCATATGTGTCACCCAGTTTGAAAATAGGATTTCGAGTAAACTTTTTAGCATTTCACCATGCAGTAATAATAATTAAAATTCTATACCCAATAATGCTTAACTATTTCTCCTACAACAACTTCTGGATAGCTATATTTTTCGTGCGTATTTTCTAAATTTTAAACGACTTGCTCATTTACAAGTTCTCCTTTAATAATAATGAAATAATTAAGCTCTACACTCTTAAAAATCAGTCACTCCTCAAAACTATTTTTAATAAAATTGATTATTTGATTTTCACCCATGGAATCTATTCCATACTCAAATTCTATTATAATGATTCTTTCAAAAACCCAATAGAGCTTTTAAGTCCTCTATTTTCAAAGTAATGATTCAACAAAAAACCACTAATTATCTATTTATATATCACAAAAAAATGCAATTAATTTTAAAATAAATGTTAGTATTATTATACATTCTTTCATTCATTTATCCATTTAATTATTCATTCATTAATTAATTTTTTTATGTTCAGCATTTAGTTTAGCTAAAGCATCTTATCAAAAAAATACAAATAAAATTATTAGATAGAAATGATAATTGTTCATTAAAATAAAAAAGTTACAAGTAAAAAATGAGTGAATTATTTGATTTATTTAAATTTTAATTGCTAGTATTTAATTTATAGTTTTATTAAAGAGTATTTATAATTTTTGCTACAAATCAATACAATTTTAAATAAAAAAATAAAACAGAATGTACCTTTTATTTAAAAAATAATTGTATTTCTTAATAGTATTTTGTAATTTATTTGGTTTATTCAATATAGGATTTTTTTTATTTATGTCTAATTTAAATTATTTCTAATAAAATTAATAAATTATATTTATTTATTTAGAGTAGAAATTTGTAATATTAATTTATTATGATGTAAAATACAGAAAAATTATTTTGATAGACATTTTAATGTTTAAGTTTTAATAAATTTCAAACTCTTAATTTAAAATATGTTTGTTTTTAGCAATTAATTTTATTTTCATTTATTAACATAAAAATGAGTACAATTAAAATTATTTTATAGAAAATCATAAATCATTTTTAACTTTTTTTTTCAAATATTCTTTGTCTTTGGTTCAATTCTAAATCAAAAAAATATTTTGAATAATATTTAATATTAAAAGGTAAGAGTATTTATTTATTTTTACATGAATTTTTAATTGATTTTGTTTTATTAAATTTAATAATCATAAGTTTTTTACCTGAGTTTATTCAATAATATTATTATTATTAATTAATTTATAGTATTTACTTTACATTATTTTCAATAGATTCTTTTAAGAAAGTAACTTACTCAATCAAATATTACTTAAGTTTAGATATGCTTAAGATCATATTAAAACCAATATATTTGCTAGTTAGTCTATTTTTCATTTAAGCGACTGTTTTATGGGTATTTTGGGAGGAAGCTATCCCTAACCCAACAATGAATTAAGAGAAATAAGATTAAATTAGTAATCCATATTTGAGTGAAATGAAATTTAAGGATGACCTTTAAAAAAGCTATTACGAGGAATCTTGGTTCCCTAAATAGACTGAAAAGGTAGCATTGATAGTCATTTCTGACTTCGGCTTGAATGATTTGATTTATTGTAAGAAAGATAAAGTTAAATAATGTGCAAACTTTAATTTAAGTAGGAATCCTTTCTATTTTTTCAACAATGATATGGAAGAATTCTACAAAAATGAAAAAGAAAAGACCTTAATTACTTAATTAAACTAAGACTTTCCTCTTCATGAAGAATACAAACTACAGTCTCTGTTATCAGGAAACTACATTGGCTTTAGAGACTATTTAAATAATTCATTTAGTCACTAAACAGACTTTGACTCATTGCTCTTTTAATCAAAAAAGTACTTTTTAATTTATTTTAAAAGATTCAAAGCAAGTACTGTCTAATAAAATATCTATGCAAATAAATCCAATTTTCTCTAAATTATTATTCAAACATTTACCTGAAAAAAAAATCTTATTTAAAATACTGATTTTCAAATTCTTCCATTTTTTAAATTGAATTATAAAAAATAATCATTTAAATAAATTTAAAATCTAGTAAATTTTTTGCTTAAAATATATTTAAAATAATTTCATAATTTAACATATTGTCTCATATACTTAGGCATTTTCAAAACAATTATTTTTTACTTATAAACTATTGTAAAAATTGTTTCGATTCCCATCTCTAATAACAATAATAAATAATTTTGAGATATTATGGAAAATATAATTTTTAAAAAAAATTTTATTTGTTTGGATAAGGAATATAAATTTAGTTTAAAATAATTATGATACGATTTAAAATCTTTTATTAAAATTTATTGAAAAACAAGCAGATATTTTAAGTTGAATTAAAAAATTAGGTAAAATAAAGGCTAAAGTTATTTAATCTCTGACTTTAATGACAAGATAGTTAAAAATATAAACTAAGATCATTATAATGACACATATTACAAACAAGAGGTACATTCAAAATAAGAGTTTCTTAAGCTGTAAAAAGAAGAAGGATAAAATTTTATTTTTTATTACCAAAGAATTAATGAAACTTTTCTGCACTTGTAATAGCATTTCAAATAAGAAGAATCTAACTCTGATTAAATAATCTATGACTATTTTAATTAAAGTGTTTCCTTAATCCTTGATTCTTTTAATTAATCTAAATAGTTGAATACTAATATAACTATCCTTTCAGTAGGATAATTTGGATTTATAAATTAGACAGAAAATATGGAAGTGATTTAAAATGCATCAAAGGGCTTTATTTTAGCTTATGATAATAGAAAATTTCTTGGCAATTAGATAAAGAGCGTAGTGTAAAATAATTATTAGTACTAAGTTACTTCTTATGACATATCTGCTACAATAAGTGCACTTACTGGATAGCCACTTACAAAGAATAATATTGGCATTATGATTCCTTAATACTTCTTAGATATTCCATAAATTGATAACTATGTGCTAGCAAACAATTTCTATACAAACTTTAGGCATGTTGAAGATCTTTACAATTCTATGTAAAACAAAAATAAATAGTTTAGCTATGATGAATTAGATGGGATAGAATAAATTACATAACAGGTGAGATTAAATTATAAGGATTTATTCATAAACGATAAAATTAATGATAAAGATTAGCTTTTCAAATTTTTAAAAAGTGCAGTGATTTATATTTAAGAAATCAGGTCAGTAATTAAATAAGAAATGATAACTCCTGATATCGATATCCTTTAAAATTGTTTTTACGTAGCCATCCTTAATTTAGCCATTGTAATAATTGCGATCATTTTAATAAATTACTACTAATAACAAATCACAACTCAGATTTAATTCAAAAATTTCAGCCCTTTGTAAAGTACGTTTATGATTGTTCTATTATTTTTACTAGCACTCTCTTCTGCTGTCTTTACTTATAGGAATTTTTCAAGCTTCGTCCTTTTAGCATGTGGGACATTTGGAATATTAATTCTTTCTTAGCTATTTTATATCATATATAATAAGCAAGAACCTTTCATCAGTCAACTGATCTACTTATTGGTAATTATTAAAAAATTATGTAAATAAATTAATTTTGAGAAAACAATTGACTTTTTAGTATTTCTTTCAGCTTTATTTGTTGCTTCATATTCTCAAGTATCTTAAGAAAATATGTCAAGCTATAGTCTATATATAAGGTAACTTCTCATTGCTATAAGTATAATTTATGCTCTTTATTTTGGTTTCTTATTGTTCAAGAAAAATGATTTTAGCTCCACCAACAAGAAAATAGAAAAAAATATATTTATAAGCATCGCTCTCTTTATAATTAGTATCTATTTGCAGCATGTTTTCAGTTAGAAATAATTATTACTGTAGAAATATCACATAAGTTAGAATCTATAAATGATAGGTTCATCTATTCTTCATATTGCTCTATTCTTTTATTTAGTAATAAAATAAATTAAAAGTGTTAGCTCTGAGCATTTAAAAAGAATCCCTAAAAATATTTATTTTATTTTGCAATCAATACTTATTCTGTTTTCTCTAGCTTATTATATGTGCTTCATCTCAGAAGATTTCTCAAACGAGGAATTATCTAATGGTTATACGCTGCAGAGTCTTTTTGTGTTTTTGATTTATCTTACATTTACAATATTGTGCTTATATTAATTCTTTGTGATTAAAGAAAAAATTGGAAAATTGTGGAATTGTTCTTCCTTTTTGATAAATTTCGTATTGTTCTCCATATCCAACTTAGATAAAAGCTCATTCCTCATTGTTTAGCTTTTTTTCATAGCCCTAATATCATATGGAAATATAGTTTATAGCAGATAGTAAATTTGCTTTCACTCTAAATATTCTGTTCTCTTTTTGCTCTCTGTATATTTTTATTTATAAACAGGTCATTCATATGAGTTGAATGATTTATTTTAAAAATTTCTTGTTTAAAGTAGCCCTTTCTAATAATCAACTGTGGGATTTTAAATCAGAGTACTGATAAATATAGTTGCAGGATTTATATATGCATGCTTAGTTCTTCCTTTTTTCTGCATAACTGACACGAGTCTAAACTTTTTAACTAGCCAAGATACGAGTTACTTTTAGAAATCTTTCTTTTAATTTATGTTTGATTGTTCAATAAAACAAAGTGAGTAAAACTCTTTTTAAATTATTGAAATGGAGCAAGCTAGTTTAGGATAAGATTCTACAAAAAATGAATAAATAGAATAAATCAGTGACTCTCCAAAAAACAAAGCTTAAATGACACAAAATAATATACTTCATTTAACTTTTTGTTCATCTAATCTGAAGTTTTAACTACCTATCTTACTATCTCTCTTAACATTAGTATTTTTCAGTATTGACAATCTTTAACAAACTTCAACAATTACTCACTTCTTTCCTGGAATTCTATTTTACGGGCTAGTTTTTTTTTCTGTAACTCTCATCAGCTTTCTATAATACCTCATACTAAAATACGATGAAATATTATTAAAATAATTTAAAGTCAAGTGATATTTATGTTTATTTGTCATTTTTGTTTTGTTTTTTTTTAAATTTAAAAAAAATAAACATATTAATTGGTTTATCAAATACAACAAATTTCTAAATTTACTGTAAATAAAATATATTTTTTATAATAATTTATTTTTAAAATTGGCTATACTTTTGATATTAATTTTTAAAGAATTGATAGAATCTTTATAAATTATTTACATAAATTATTTCAAATTACAGTAATTAACTTATTCATCAACTAAAAATAAGTATTTATTTTATAAAATAACAAAATTAATTAAAAAAATAAATTCTTATTAAAATTAATTTATGTAAATATTAATAAAAATATTTGTTGATTTAATTAAGAATATTTAGAACTCTAAAATTAAAATTTTTAATAATTAATTGTTTTTGCAATGAAATTCTAAAAATAGCCAAGGCATTCATCTATATATTTTGATTGAATCTTTTTTCAACAATTAATTGATTTAGAAAAAACATAATTAATTTGCTTACATTCAATAAATAGGAAGTAAAAATTACTAATTATATGATTCTGTCAAATGTATACCAAAAAATATAAAAGCAATAGGCTAGTACTTATTGCTATGGATCCATGTTAGTTATTTAGCAATTTTTTAAGTGCTCTTTTAGCTTTGAAATTAAGTTATTTTATTAAAGTGTAAATAAATACAAACAATTAAAAGTAAAAAAAAGAATAAGCAAAAAAATAAATTAATTAATGAAAGTCTGCCGATTATTTGATAAAAGTGCTGCTGATACTATTGCGAAGGTCTGCTTAGCTTATATATTTTGTTTTGTTACTTACTGCTTTTACTTATATTCTCAGAGCGGGCTTCTTTAAAAAGTATCTTAGTCTCACCCGATTCTTACTACAATATTGATATTTTATGCTTGCATAGTATTAAATTGGGCAGCTATGAAAAAAAAACACATCGGATTGGGAGTGCTTGCTATAATTTCCAATGCCTTTTGTATTTTTATAATTGGAAAAGCGAAACAGTTTGTAATTCATTACTTCGATTTATCTAAAGGGTGTGAAAGATTGGCTAATGCCAATCCTATTTTCTAATTACTAATTGACCAAAATTACGATAAATATTTTAATGAAACCTCTAAAGTGTTGTGCTCTAAAGAATGTCCCTGTAAATGGAACAATAAGACAGATGTCTATTATGATTTTAAGCACAAATTTATAATTAATAAATATGATGGTGCTAAATCTGCTTAAGAATGTCCTGATTACTTGTCTGATACAGATAAAAATTAATAAAAATTATCTTATTTATATGACATGATTAATTTAGAGCTATATGGGTGCTCAGGGTATTGTAAAAAGCAAGATATCTATTCAGTCACCGATATAAATCATGGAAAACCATAACGAAACTGCTTTGATATACACAGATAACTATAAATGGAAACCTATAAGTTGCTTTTTTTTGGTATTAAATCTATACCCATAACTCTTATAATATTAATACCAAGTATATGCTCTTTATTTTACAAATAAAAAAGCCAAGAAACTTAAAATATAAAAGAACAACAAGATATGAAAAAGGGCATTAATGCAAATAAATCTTTGATTTGTTCTTGAAAATATGTCGATGTTCTTAAAAAAATTAATCTTTTCTTTCTTTTTACTCTGAATTTAAAAACTCCTCTTTTTATAATTTTGCATTGTTGGAAAATTTAAATTAGAAAGAAAGAAAGAAATTGTATTTTTGATAACTGAATAAATAATTGAGGTAAATTAGACAAAACTCTAACAACAAGAGAGGAAGGAAGACAAAATATTAACTATTTGATTAACAAAATATTGTAATTTAATTATTTATTAATTTACCGGATCTAAATATGATTAAGGTTGAAATGGTAATTAATTAATTAATTAATTATCTATCTCTGCTTATATTAATTCAAATTTTTATTGTAAAATAAATTAATTCATTTTAAACAAATTATTATAATTTTTTATAAATTTTTGGTCTATAAAGTAGCTTAATTTAAAAAATACATATATTTTTTATATCAGTTTTATTAGCTATTTTTAATTATCACTTTATTTTTTTTTATTTTTGAAAATAAGCTTGATCTTTTACGATTTTATCTTTGATGCTAATTTTAGAAAAAAAGTTAACAAACAAACAAACAAACACTATTTAATAAATTTATTTATTTATTTGATTTTTTTATTTCCATTCTATTTGAATTATTAGTAAAAATTTAATAATAATTATTATCATTCTAGCATGCTAATTAATTACTTTCGTCTTCTTCTTTAATTTAGATTTAATAAAAACTAATTTAAAAGTTATTGGTTGAATGAATCCTTTCTATAATCAAATATTATTTAACATGTTTATCAAATTTGTTTGAGAAATTATGTATAAAAATAAACAATTTTTTGAATATGAAAAAAATTTTTAAAATCCTTATTTACCTCTTAAATACTGTATGTACATCTAGTTATTTCTTCTTCAAGAATTTTATTTAATTGTTTTGTGTTTTTTATAATGCGATCTAAATTGCTAACATTTCCTGTCTACTTTTTCTAATATTAATATTTAAAGCTTTATTATAAATTAATCAAAAAAAACTAAACTTTTAATTTTTTAAGCATATTGACTAATATATAAATAAAGAAAATCAAAAATAGATTATTGTTTATTTTTATCTAATTATTTAACTAAGCTCTTTTTTTATTTTTATATGGTCTGTTATTATAAAGATCAGTTTATTACCTAAGCTACTTAAAAATATCAGTTCAATCATTTAATTGGTTTTTCATTAAAATATTTTAAATTCAAACTATTATTTGTAAATAATTTTGCATTATATTTGTTTATTTATGCTTTAATTACAGGCTTGTAATGATTATTTTATTAGTGAGTATTAATTAGTAAATCTAATATCAATTCAAATTATAAATTAAAATAGCTTATAATTAATAAAATAAATAAATAAATTAATTATGAAAATAATTTTATTCAATTTAGTTTTTAATTTTTTAAGGAATTTCATAAAATACTTTCTTAAAATTTTTAAGTTCTTAATTAGTATTTGTTTATTTATTTATTAATTCAATGTTTTAGTTGATAGAATATTTTTATTCAAATTTTAAAGGAAATATTTTTATTTTAATGATAATTATCATATAATAAAGTGTCTATAGAAAATTGATTTAATTAAAATCTTGGTTGAGGTATTAGATTTAATCGTATTATTAAAATTTGATTAATTTAAAATAAATCATTGAAATTGTTATTGATAAACAAAATTAATTATATAAGTTAAAATGGATAGCTAGTAGGATATTTTGACTTAACTTTGTTGCATAAATTGTTAAAAAGTGAGCTAATCTCCAAATATTACAACTTGTTGCAATTCAGTTGTTTGCTTTGACTGTAAACCTATTGTTTAAACTAAATCTTGCTAAGTTTGTGGATCAAGAAATTATTCAATTTAAGTTAACTCATTTTTGAGCAAACTTTCAAGCTAAATTAAAATGTAATGCTAATACAATTGCGGATATAGCGATAATCTTAAATTACTTGCGATACATGAGCTTAGTTGCTAGCTAAAAAAGTATGAGTGCAACTTATGTAACTTTAAATCATAAGGTGATGAATTTTTATGTCATATTAACTCCGATCATCAAAAAGAAATAATATAGAGCTTTTCTAAGGGTGGTAATGCACCAAAATAAAGCAGCTTAGACATTGATCCAACGAAAGTTTAAATTAACAAAAATAATTTTGAATCCAGAGTTGGAACAAGTGGTAAATATTATTGTGGAAAAAGCATAGGATTTCATTGTGGGTGCTGTTCAGGGTGTGGTCCTCATGATGGAGACAATTGTCTACCTTGTATGATACTGGATGTTTCAATAAGAAATCTTCCAAAAGGATATTTAGTAAATAAATATGGAGCTAATTCAATTTTAAAAGATAAAGTGTTCTCATGTGGAAGATTAATAGCAAAAAAAAGATGTGGAGAAAATTATTATTGGTGCGATGGTTGCGATTCTTTAACTAGAAATGCTAAGAATTATTATGAGGCTTTTTCTAAGTGAAAAATATAAATAAAAGCCTGCTTTATTAAATTTTAATGATCTTAGTAAAATAAATTATAAAGTACAAATTAATAATCTATAATAAAACAAAAAAAAAGCATTAACTATATTATAAAAATGAAAGTTTAATTCTATATAATTTAATGTAAAATAAAGATAAAATGCACTTTATTAAGAATGTTAAATACAAACATTTTGATTTATATTAAAGATAAAATGCACTTTATTAAGAATGTTAAATACAAACATTTTGATTTATTTTTTAAATATTTATTTACTTGTTTTCTAAAAGTAAATTAATACTCACAATTAAAAAAATATTTCAACAAAATACAATTTTTTTTTCCTTTTTACAAATTAAATTAAATGACATTTTTAACTAAAATCATACTAAAATTTCTAATTCCTTTAAAAAGATTTTATCTTTTATTTTGAATATGAGTAAATAATAATAACCAGCAGTATTTTTAAATTAAAAAAAAGCAATTATGCAAAAAATAATACTTTTAAAATCTTATTGAAATTTTATTTTCCCTAATAACTTTAGTGTTTTTAAATATTTCATAAATAAAATAATAATAAATTATCTTTAATTTTATTATTAAATAAAAAAATTTCTTATTTTAAAAATAAAATATTATTGAGTGGTGAAAAATAATAATTATTGACTGAATAGGTTGATTATTTTTTATAAATAATGAGGTTTTACAGTGTTTATTTTATTTTATTTTATTTTGAGAATTGAAATTGATATTAATTAACAAAGATAACTTTAAATAGCTTAAAAATTAATAAATTTTTAGATAAAAAGAGAAATGAATTAAGATGATTAAATTAACTCTAAAAGAACAACAGCAACACTTGATTAATTAATATTACATATTTACATATATCAAATTAAAACTGAGAACTTCGAATAAATTAATAAATAAAAATTTCATCAATTTTAATTTTCTTTATCATCCTCAACTTCCATTTTTTTCTTTTTATTGTTATTTGTAATTTTTTTCTTTAATGGAATTCTGTCAACTTTAGATACACCGTCAACGAAGGAAGTTTTAAACAATACATTAGCATTCTTTAATAATTAAAATATATTTTACAATCACAAATATAATTTTGATGAAATGATTTACTTGATACATACCGTCTTTTAAGGAAATAAGAAGGAACTGAGAGTTTTGGAATCTTTGAGAAATCATATAACCTTTATTTAATTTAAGTTAAAAGTAATTTAATTTAAAGAAATAGTTTATTTATTTACCTATATTTTCAGTATGAGACAAATCCAAAGCGGAATCTACTTCATCCAAAATATAGAAAGGAGCAGGCTTATATTTAAGGAGTGCAAGTACGAAAGAAAGAGCAAGAAGTGATCTTTAACCTGTTAAATAAATAAAATTGAATAAATAAAATTAAATAATTATAATCAAATAGTTAGTTAATTACCTCCTGATAATTCAGATAGAGAAGTTTTCCATACATTGTTGAAAGCAACACCCAATTCAAGACCAGCAGAAACATCTTGACCTTCAGGAGGTTATATACGAGCTGCAGCACCTGGCAAAAGATCAGAAAAGATTTAGCCAAATGTTTTATTAACTTCCAAATAACATTTTTCTAAAGTTTCTTACTTTTTCTTATCCAATTCGTCCATGTTCTTGAAAAGGAGGATCTTATCATTTTCAAGAATTTGGCGTTTTTCATTAAGTTATTAATAATCTTTTTCTACTTTTTCACTCATGGCCTCAACCTTAAAGTTTACTTGCTTTTATCTTATTTGTTGTTCCTATACAGTGTTATGGTATCTTCTCTTAAGTTCATTTAAGTTAAATTTAGAGAAGTCGTAGTCCTCACTTCCTTATTAGCCGAAAAGATCTTTATCATTTCTAATAAACTAATTTTATTATCAAAATAGAAAATTTAATTAGCACAAATACATTCATTATTTATTATAAATTTTAACAATAATTCTAATAATTAATCACATTTTTCTTTAAATTATTTTCAAAATATTAAATTATTAAAATCTTATTTGAAACAAGCTAAGGATATTTTAAATTTTTTTTTCAAAGCATCTGCTCAAATAAATAAATAAATAAATAAATAAATAAATAAATAAATAAATAAATAAGTAAAAGAAGAAATATTTTGATAAATTAATAAAAAGAATTTGATTTCTACTAAAAAATAGATATTAAGTAAGATTGAATTAAATATAAAAAAGGAATAAAAAAATATATTTTTTAAATGATATTTATTACCTCATTTTCTTTTTCTAAATTATTGAGATAAAGACGAATGTCAGTAATTTCTGCAGTGATTTTTTTGTTGAATTCTTCGATCTTCTTAACTTCAGATTCTATTTCGTCTTTTCTTTACTTAAGAGTTTTTTCTTTTTCTTCAAGCTCAACTCTCTTACCTTAGAGCTTCTAAATTTCTAGCTCAAGCTCATCTTTTTGTCTCTATATAATTTATATAAAAGAGATAATTAATTTATGAATAATGAAATGTGCTTTCTTACCTTCAATTCTTAGTTTTCCTTTCTCTTTTGGTTCAAATCTTAGTCATTGCTTTCAAGTTTTTTCTTTTGATCTTCTATATTTTTATTTTCTTAGATAACTCTGTCTTTTGATTTGATTAAATCCTTTTTATTATGTTCAATATTGACTTCACAGTCGGCAATGTGATTGTTTAAATTTTATAGTTCCTTGTCACTTTCTTCTATTTCTTATTTGAGCTTTTGGATTTTCTTTTTCCAAACTTCCTTGGTGTCTTTAGATTTAGAGAGATTAGCTCTTTCATTATTCAATTCTTCAAGCTTTTCTTGAGTCTTTTTGTCTTGATCTTAAACACGTGCAAGCATTTCAATATCATCTTGAATTTCTCTTTCAAGCTTATCTTATTGCTCTTGGATACCACGACCAGAAAGATTTCTTAATTGTTCAGCGAATTTTTCAAATCTGAATTTTTTATTTGTTAAATCATCCTTCAAACCATTATAATAATTTTCTTCTTTTTTAAGGTAGTTGATGCTTTCTTAAAGTTGACCTTTATTGTAGATTATTTCTTCTTTCTCGTCTTAAATATTTCTATAATTAGCATAACGAGTAAGTGTGAGGTTTCTATTATCTTGATAACCACCTTATAAAGTACCTTGAGGATCAATAATATCACCTTCGAGAGTGACACACTTGATTCTCATTCTAACATTCTAATTAAAGGCTATCTACTTAGCGATATGTTGATTAGAAGTAACAATGAAGTTTCCAAATACAAAAAGCATACTTCTTTCTAAATACTTATCATATTCGATAAGTTCATAAGCAGGAAGAGCCCATCCTCCCATTTCATTTGCAATACGTTAAGCTTCTTAAACTATTTGTTCATCAATCTTTCTGCTAACAATCTTATTGTTAGGAATAAATCTAACATTAAAAGAGAAGCAATTCTTTTTAAGCATTAACTTAGAAGTTTATTCATCTTCAGTAACAATATTTAGCAATTTTCCACCTAAATTATTGCATTTATTTATTTATTTTGTAAAATAAATTTAATTAATATTCAAATATACCTGCACCAGCTTCAAGTGCTTCGAAATATTCAGGAGATTTTACTTTGAATAAAGTCAAAATTCTTCCCTTAATTTTGCTTCTATCAAAATTAGGTTCAGGGTCTCTAAACTTTATTATTTCAAAAAAATATTTTATTGATTTGAAACAAAAGTGATTAAACAAGTATTGAAAGATTTAAATGAAAAAATAATGAATGTCTCATTACTTGAAGCTTGAAAATCCAGTTACCATTTTGGTTCAAAATATTTTCAAGGTTGTGATTAAGCTTCATAATTTATTGATCATAGTTAGCTCTTTCGTTTTCTCTTGCTCTGAGCTCATTGACATTGAATGTGCATTCTATTTTTAATAGAGCATTTTGAATTTAAGAATAAAAATAATAAAAATTTACTATCGATGTCATCTTCAACTTATTTAATTTCTTTTTCTAAGATTTCAAGCTTTTTGCTAAGACTTTCTCTTTCTCTTTAGGCACTTTCAATATTTTCTTTTTAATTCTTGATGATATTTTGCTTTTGCTTGATGGAATTTTCTAATTTAGCAATGTCGTTTTTAAAGTTTCTGAGTTTATTCTTTGTGAATACAATTTATTCATCAACTTATTCCTTTGCAGCATCTATGTTACCAGAATCATTTTTAGAAAGTCTGTTAACTTCGTTGAGATTTTCTTTCTTTTAATCATATTCAGCTTGAAGGTCAGCAAGCTACTATCTAGAGTATTCCAAATCCTTTTCAAATTTAGCAATATTTTCTTCGCATAAACGAACTTTATTTTCCTACTTCTTTAATTCTTGTAAAGAAGATATTTAAAATTTTTTAATGGTTTCACGATCTTTTTCTTGTCTTTAAATAGTATCTTCCAAATTTTTCAGTGCCATTTCATAACGACTGAGTTGTTTATCCTTTTCAGCATCTTGCTTTCTACCATGGTTTTTCATTTCATCAATAACTTGCTAATAATCATTTGTAACCTTAGTTAATTCTCTCTAAGCATGTGTGAGAATGCTTTGCTTGCTTTCTATTTCTCTCATTCTTTCCTTTAAAAGATTGTTCTTATTAAAATATTCATAAGCTTTAAGCTTTCTATCCATTTTGTTGATTTCAACTTCGCTGCTCTTCCAAATCAAATATTGTTCTTTTTCCTCTTTCAACTTTCTCATTTTAGGTTGGATATCTGTATCAATCAAATCATTGATTTCCTTAACCTTTTCCTCTTTTTTCTTAATAATTTTTTCACTTTCTCTTTTCTTTTCATTGTAGAGAGCAGTTCCTATTTTTAATTATTCATGATAAATTAATTATTCAAAATATTCCAAAAAATATTCTCAAAAACCATTTTTAAAAATAACTTCTTGCTTTTAATTTAAAAAAGATATTTCTTGGCTTATTTTTATATTAAAGTGTTATTTATTATTAAATTAAATAATTCAAAATGGTTATTTAATATCAAAGCTGTTTTTATGTGATTTTCGAAAGCACATTTTGTTTTTATCAGGTAATTAATAGCAAGCATTTAATAGTTATTTGCTGTCCTTCTAAAGTAATTTTTATACCTGCAGTTTCTTCAAGCATAGAAATGAGTTCCTAAGGTTTCAAGTTGATGATCTTAGTAATTCTACCTTAAGCAACCAAGAAGTGAGGATTGTCAATATTTAATTAAACACTTCTGAACATATTTTTGACTTGATTTAAAGTAAGCTTTGTACCATTAACGAAGTATTTACTCTTTTCTTATTAGACCTAAGTTTAAAATATTTTTCAAAAAAATTATTATTGAATGTAAAAACAATATCGTTTTTAACATGCAAAATAATTACAAAGAGAATTTCAAATGATAAATTACTTGTCTAGTAACAGAAATTGTGTCATATGATTCATAACCAAGAGGTGATTATTCTTTGTTAGAATTGTCGAAAATAACTGTAACTTCTGCTTTTGTTATACCTGCATGACCTTATTTATAAACTAATTCTTGAACCTTCTTAACTCTTAGCTAGAATTATTAAAAAAATAAAATAATTTATTAATTCTCTGAAAGTAAAAATTAATAGCCTAGTTATGAATAGTCAATATAATTAATTAATTAATTACCAGTTCCCAATCTTTGTTCAAACCAAGAACGAATAAGATAGAGTCTAAGATATTAGACTTACCAGATCCATTAAAACCTGTAATTGCATTGAATTACTGATCAAAGCCCTTAATAATTGTACGAGTGGCGTAACTCTTGAAACCTTCAATAATAATTTCTTTTATATACATATCTCCTCTTCAGCTCTGCTTTTTGTTTTAGAAAAAGAATAACTTTAGCTGGATTTTTAAAAGAATTTCATTCAAAATATGTCCTACCTTGCTATTAAATCTATCTAATCACTAAATATTTGCTTAATCAGAGAATTTGTTTGTTTATTTGTTTGCTTTAATATTTTAATTAATTAATTAATTAGAGTGATTCTTTCTATTATGTTTTCCCTCCTTTTTTATTAATTTATAAGATTTGATAAATTGTAATGAAAAATAAATTTTTTGATTTTAATTTTTTGATCAATTCTTCTAAATCAAAATATTGAGCGCTATTTAAAAGATTTGAAAAAAATCAATTCTTTCTTTCAAAAGCATATTGATTGTCTGTATATTATTAAAGAGTTTTTCATTCATTCTTATTAATTTATAAAAATGCTCACTCATTCATAATTATTATTTTACATTCAATTAGAATTTAACAACATCATTCATTTATTCATACACTTCTCTTTTTATTTAGTAATTATTTAAATTGTTTTTTAAATTTAAATTTATTTTATCTCAAGTAGCAAATAAAACAATATTTTTTAAGAAGAAAATTAAAAAAAATATTTTTAACTTTTTACTTATTGAATTAAATACATATTTATTTTAATAAAAAATATAGTTGGAAAAATGAAAGAGAATAAATTATATAAATTTATTTATTTATTAATTAATTAATTATTAAAAATGACTAAATATAATAATTATATTTTTTTAAAAATTATGTATGCTAAGATTAAATATAAAAAATTAAATTTCTTAAGAGGAACTGTAGATATATCAAAAAATAGATATATTATTGAAGAAATAAATAATATTTAATATTTATATCATTTTAATAATATTTATTTAGAAAGAATGGTAATTAAATATATATAAAAATAATTATCTTTTCATTTTAATTTTATAAATTTAACTGCTTATTTATTTAACAAATATCATAGAGAAGAGTGGTTAGATATATTATAAGAATCGATTAATATTTCATGTATATAGTTTTTATTAGCAATTATTAATAAATAAAAATAATGAGAATTTCATTAATATTTATCTATTTATTTTTTTAATATTTAAAAAAGAATATGTTAAAGCATTTATTTTTATTATTGATAACTTAAAGATATTAGTCAGCAGATGAATGAAAGCCAAAGCAAACATAACCTTTAGACTAAAAAATAAAAATGTATTATTTATATTTGTTTGTAAATATCAAAGTAGAAGGAAAAATTATTTGTCTAATGTTAGGTAGATAGATAGATAGATATAAGAAAAGTAGACTTATGTGTTTGAAAATATTAAATTTTATTTATAATTTTATTATCAGATTTGCGAAATTTATTAAATTAATGCGCATAAATTAAATGTACGATAATGATTGACTGAATGAATTTATACGATAATTATTTAAGAGTTTTCTTTATTGTATTCTATCGCAAACAGTAAAATTTTTTTTCAAATAAAAATTTTTAGTTAAAAGTAAATTGCTTGTTACAAAGGCACAAAAATTAACCAAATAAAATTAGTAAACAACAAAAAAATTCTCTTAAATTATTCATTAAAAGATTAAGAGTTTACTTAGATTGAAGCACTATGATAGCTGACATTTACTATCAACAAGAATAGGCAGTTGCTATGGCATTGAGACTTGAAAAAAAATATAGGCGAGAGTCTCTTTATGATACTAAAAATAGCAAAAATGATATTAATTTAGCTGAATTAGATCATAGTTTAGGGATGGATGGCCTAAAGAAAATCAACTAATAATATTATTCAGTTAAGAATTTAAATAAGAGCCAAGAAAAATAAGTTCCAAAAATGAATTAAGTTGATATGCTTTTTGATAATGTCAAAAAGACCAACCAATAAAATGGATTCTTTTATTATAAAGAAACATAAAAACTCTAAAAAATAATTTCTAGCGGCTAGTTACCATACAGCGGAGGTAGTAGCTAGAAGAAAATTAAGTCTAAACAAGGATCTTAAAATCAACTATCTAGAAACAATATTAGCAGCAATCAGATTTAACAAGAAGCATTTTAATAAGAAGATAACTACTCTAACAGCTAAACTCATTTATATGCCTCTCTTGAAAAACAACTTAATAAAGCTGCATCTAAGTTCAGCGAAAATGGTGAAATGACATTTGCACAACTAGGAGGATTTCTGAATCATATCCATGTTCTTCAGCACATCAAGTACGACGAAACATCAAAACTTTCAAATGAAGAAGAAATCATAAACTCTTAACAATTAGATAACTCATTTAGCAGTGAAATGTAAATAAATCATTTAAATAAACTTAAATATTTAATAAGAATTTGCTCAAATATTTAAAGGAAACTCCATGAATTATTTTGGGAGATATTATGCTACAATCAAAACAATGAAAGTGATTACATCCAAAAAATAAACTCTGAACTGTTATCTAGTGTGACATATTTCCTCTTGAACAAGGAAAAATAGGAATCCTCTCCTCTTTCTCTAAAAGACAACATTCTTATTTTGCTTTAGAGTTTCAAGCCTTCCAGTTTGTAATAAATTTAAATATAATTTATTTATTTATTTATTTTATTATTAAAAATTATTGGTTTTTTCAAAAAAATAAAATATTTATTTATTTATTATTTGCACTTAATTCCAATCAAATGAATCTGTTTTAACAAGTTTAACGAATTTAATTGAAAATTCAGTTTTTTTTGTTTAATTAGATTTGAATTAATAATTAATTAATAAATTAAAATAATTTAAAGAGAGTAGAGCTAGGATGGTAAGTGTTAATAATTTCCTGAATCTATTTTGGATGATTTTATCTTATCATGGGAAAGAGTTGTCTCAGCTTAGAGGCTTGATTAAATAGTGAAAGATTTAACGAAAGGTATGAAAGTAAAAAGAAGAAAAGTTTCTTTTTCAAACAGTAAAGGGTCTAATTTGGTTATTGCTTAAGGGGATAGTTAAAGTGTAAATAGTGGTTCTAACTAAAATATAATGTTCAGCAATAATAATGCAGCAGATAATTCTTTTAGTTCGTGTAATAGACCTAGAGTAAGGTCTTAATCGTCTTCACATTCTTCTGTTTATAAAAATATGAAAAAGAAAGAAAATCCTTAAGATGTTGAGTAGGATATTTCGAACTTAATTAATAGAATAAAAAGACACTCAGAGCAGATTGGAGAAAACTATGCTAATGGCAATAACAATATGAATAATTAGACTGCAATCACTGTATTTTAAGGTAGAGAGAGAAGGTTCACTGCATCCAGCGATATAAGGGATAACCAATCTGATAACTTTTTAGGGTACTAAACAGGTAAATTTAATTGTTATGACGATGCTGCTACGATTCACTCTCTTCCTACTTACCTATCTAAAAACAATAATACTTAATCTTCTCAAAATATAAATAACCATTCATATAATTAATGCAAAAATACCAACTCGAGTTAGAAATAGCCATATTATTAACAATATGAACCATAAGGAGTGATTTAAGGAATGCATATTACTGAAGTCAGCAAAGATCAATACGAATAAATACAATCTAGCAACCCTGATTATTAGATTGAAAAAGAAGTCACTTTTGGGGAATAAAATAAATTCTCTTCTCCTCATGATATTTTAAGAAGAAAGACTAAGTAGATAAATTCATAGATGAATAATTTGGTTACTCCAAAGAAAAAATCTAACTAAAAGTCTTAAATTTATGAATCAGAAGGAAGAACTAGCATTTCTCCTTAAAAGTCTAAAGAAGAAATGAGAGTGATGAACTTAATGAAGTAGCATGAAGAATGGAAACAAGAGATTATTAAGAAGTGGATTCTAGATAAAGAGGATAAAGAGTATGAAAAATAGAAAGACGAATGCACCTTCTAGCCAAATTTAGGTAGCAGCAAAAAATTTAATGACAACTTGTTGAAAAATACCAAAAATAATGTCGATGTTGTATCAAGATTATACGATTACTCAACACCTAAGAAAAGAGAAGTTATCCAGTACTAAAGTTTAATTGAAAAGTAATGCTAAGAACTAGGAGAGTGCACATTTAAGCCACAAACAAACAGCAAATAAAAGCAATACTAGCACATTTAGTCAAAGATTTCTCATTCTCCTATTTCAGAATCATCTTCCTCTCAGCCATCTGCTCATAAAAATAAATATTCTTCTAATTAAAAGAATAAAGACGATATTATCTCAGACAAAAGCAAAGATGAAAACAATTTACCTGTTAAAGGATTTGATTAAGCAGTGAAAAGAATGAAGTAAGGATTTGAAAAAACTTAAGAAGCAAAAGCCCGTAGAGAAAAAATTAGAACAGGCACTCTATATTAGTCTAACAAAAATAAGTAATTTAAACCTCCATCTATGTTAGAAAGATAAAAGCCAAAGCATTCTCCATTTTATTACGCAACTATAACTCTAACAAATGGAAAGCATGGAAAAATCTCTTTAAGTGAAGACGACGACCCTATTCAAGTAGCTTTGAATTTTTCAAAAGCTTTCTAACTTAACAAAGACATGACCGAAAAATTAAAAACAAATCTAATTGAGCAATACAAAAACCATATGCTTAAATTAGTAGCTAGTTAAATTTGACTTAAATAAAAACCTTCTTTTGTATAAAAAATATTTTAGATTCAACTTTAAATTAACCTTTTAACTTATTAATTTTATCTAAATACATACAATTTTATTTGTAAATAAGCAAGCATCTATAGAAATGTATATCAATTTGTATTTCAAATAGCTCATTCTAACTAACTATCTATCTATCACCTATCCTAATCTCTCTAATAAATTAAAATTTTTGAAAAATTAAATAGTTATTAAACTATTTGATAGTAATTACAAAGAACATTTATAAAAATATGAATTTATTTATATTTATTTGTAAACTAATAAAAAAATAATTGTATTTTTCTTAAAAATTAGTTTCAATTAACATTTTAATTTTTTATTATTTTTGTTGAATGTTTATTTTAATTTTATTTAGTTTTTTTAAGAATTTAAAAATTGTCTTGAATAAAAATTATTATAAATGTTTTTATTTTTGTATATTTTAAGTCTATTGATTGAATTATTTAATAAACAAATTTAATGTTTATTTTGAAATAAAAATAGAGTAATTTTTTTATTATTTTAAAATAAAAATGAAAAGAAAATAAAAAAATTAATTTAAATTTATTGCTTTAAAACATTTAAATTTTATTTAATTATTATAAATCAAATCTATAAAATCAATTGTTTTTTGATAACAAAATAAATTTTTTGACATAAACTTAGAAATAAATTTATTACTTTTATTTATTTAACTTGATCAGTTTTATGAAGATTAGGTGTATTTTTGTGCATACATTTTTTGCATGTTATTGCTAAAGTTAACGAGTTTCTTTAAATCTGCCTTTCCAGAGTGACTGCTTGATGATGCAAGTTATTTAAAGAGAGATTAAGCTCCTGATGAGAAAATCCCTTGTCCCAACTTTTGATAGTTGGAGCTATTGCAGTGCTATTTGCAGTTTTAAAGCTCGTCAATACAGTTCTTAACATTCATGCTTTTAGAATACCTGCTGCTTAGTAAGGTATTTAAAACTTTCTAAATATTGTCGTTTGCCTATTCGAAATTTCCTTATTCTGCTGAGTTTTGTCCTTCTTAAATGGCTTGAGCACTTAATACTCTATAGTAGTTTTCTACGACTTCTCCATCTTCTTCCTATTCAACTCCTTCTACCATACTTCTAGTGTCAATTAATTATAATTAAAATGTCTTTTATTTATTTGCTTCTTCTTTTGAGCTGACTGATTAGGCAGTCAATTCAGCAGTAATAAAATTGAAAATAGAATTTTCATCTGTAATGGTGCTTTCTGTTTGCTCATCAAATGCATCTGCTTCCATTTCAAAAACGAAATCTTTGCTAACACCTGAAAGGATATTGATTAAGTTAATTTCATATTATGTTTCACTTACCTTAGTCCAATTGTCTCCAAAAACTTTAGAGATTCTAAAATTTTTAAACTATTCAGGAGGAGTGAATTTCACTCCAACTTTGATATTCTAAGCCACAGTAGAGATCATACCTGCGAAAATGTTAATAAAAGCTGTGTCTAAGTAATTCACATCTTGCATGAAATTGAAGGTGCCATTCCTGAGATCACTGAGAGTTCGAAGAAGTTTGGGATCGTGGTCTTCACCGAATCCTATAGTCTCGATGTTGAATGCATCTTTAATTTAATATTTGTCAATATAAGCTTTAACTCTCGTATAAGCTTTTGTGTCTTATCCATCAGACAGCAATAAAATACTAGTGACGTTATTCTTGAATTTTCTGTTTTAAATAGCTTTCAAAGCATGGTTTATACCTTCACTAATATTTGTTCCGCCTCCTGCATAAATTTATTAAATTAAATTTAATAGAGTTTACTTATTCTCATCAGTAACTCTTGTAAAGGTTAAGGGTCTATCTCCTGATTCATTAAAGCAGACAATACAAATTCTATCCATACTAGACATCAAATTGATTATCTTTACTAGAGTTTCTTTGACTAATTATATTTTTTCACCCTCCATAGATCCGGACTTGTCGATGACAACTACTAAGTCAACTGTTTATCTCCCTAATGTTTAGAGATGCTAATGGTGCTTTAGTAGTTTCTCATAATCAAGATCGCAAGTTCTAACAGTAATCATTCCTGGCATCAAAAATTTTTCATTATTCTTGACTAAAATCTTCTTGTGTCTACAGCGAACATCTAATTCGAGATTATCAGATAGCTTATATTAGAATTCTTCAATGCCCATTTTTGATTCTAAACCTGATTCTGTTAACTCATCATCATCATAGTTTTCTTAGATCTCATATAAATCAAAGTCTGAATCTCTTCTTCTCGAAAATTAAACAGGCGCAGACAAAGGTGCAGGATTGGAAGACTATTATCTCATGAAATACTGCATCAATAATTGCATTTATTGAGGACTTACTATAGACTAAGTAGCTAATTATAAGATTTCTTATTCAGTATATTAATCCAATAATGATTATGCTTATGGAGCCTACTGCTATGGTTGCTATTGTTAGCCTTAATCACTTTGAGATTAATCTTACTATACTTAGTCTTGTGGCTATTCTACCTGTTGTTAATCTAAACCTTCTTAAGGAATATGCTATTGCTTTTATTCCTCCATTTAATCTTCTTATTCCATTCTCTTATTATTTTTTGCCTAATAATTTCAAAACTTAATAATAAATATTATCTAAAAGCTGATTTTAAAAAATCCTCAAACCCTTTTTAGTGAACTATTTAGTTATTAGAATATAAATAATTTATTATAAAATATCAAAAGATCTCATCAAAATTAATTAATTAATTATTAGATAGGTTATTTATTACTCTTTTTCTCTATTTTTCTAATGATTTCAACAGATTAAGAAATAAAAAATTTTAAAAATACCAATTCATTTCATATCTAAAAATAAATCTAATAAATAAATTTTTCAAAATATTATTATTATTGTTTTTAATCCTCTATATTTTGCTCTCTTTTTCAAATAAAAAATATAAATTTTGTGAGAATACTTAAAACATAAAAAATTAACCCCAACCAATGCAAAAAATTTTATTTATTAACGAAATTCGCTTTTTTTAAATACCATAGTCTTGCAATTTGAGTATCCATCTATGGTTGTTAAAAACTATGTTTATTTTTATAACCAATTTAAGAAAATTATTTAATTAAGCCTATGTTTTTTTTTGAAATTTAATGATTTAATAACGAATATTTTAGTTTTGTTTAGGTTTTTAATTTGAAAAATACTATACAAAATCTTCCTAAATTTGCAAAATGAGTTCATTAAATAAAAGCAGAATAATTTTACAATAATATTTTTTGGAAATTATTTAATTTTGATATTATTTTGTCATAAAATATTTCTATTCAATTTTAGTAAACATACAATAAAATAACTCATAAAAATGTCTTTCAAATATTGAAAAAGCATATAAAATGATAAATAATCAAATAAACAGCTAGATAGATAGATGTATTTGTTAATTATTTTGAGCTGTCTTTCTTTATATTTTGGATAAAAATATCAAATTTCTAAGGTTTTATTATCAATCAATACTTTGATTATTTAATTAAAAAAAAAGCAATTATCAAAACTTATTTTCAAAGCTCATAAATATTTAATTTTTAAAATGATATTTTATTATCTTTTAAGTATCACTCTTTTAATTACTTATTCAAATTGTGCTTGCACTAACCCTGATAAATCATGCACTACTGATTGTGTTAGCATAGGTTTCATTGCAGGTACTTTAAAAGACAAAGGTCCTTGTTAGTCTCCTACTGCATGCTTAACAACTGCAGGAGCTTGTGATAGTACAAACAAAGCATTTTTGTAAGCATGTATAATAGTTGGATATTAAAATAATGCAGGAACATGCATTTAACCTTCTTATGCTTTATGCTCTAGCCCTGGAAATACTTTATGTTAAACTTCTACATTAAGTTTATGCACTTTACTATTTGGTTTATAATAATCTTCTTAATAATCATGTGGTTCTACTACTGATTCTTTATGTTTAGCTTCTTCTTAAGGTTGTGGTAGTTCATTATATCCTTGTGTAGTAAATAATGGCCTTATATAAAATGTCACTATTAGCTAAGCATGTGCTCCTCCAACTAATTGCACTGCTGAAGATTTAGGACTTTGTGGAGGTACTTACACCTATTGTTTATCAAAAGGATATATTGCTGATTCTAAAACTAATTTAGATTGTATTTGTGAAGGCAACGATAATTTAATACAATGTACTCCTAAAGCTAACACTAGCCCTATTATAACTGCTTTTTTTGTCCTTTTATCAATACTCACTTTCTGATATACTCATATTGACTTTATAACTTATACTCACTCACTCAATACTTTTAACCTTATTTTATAACTGTTTTAAACACAAAAAATATAAAATTTACTTTCAATATAAAAGTAATTTGTTTTGTAAAATGTAAAATATGTAAGTACCTTGCTAATTTCCCCTAAATTCAACTAACATTTGATCATATTTTATTTAATATATTTATATGATTGATTTATTATATCTATTTCAATATTTTTCTTTATTTTAGTAGTTTTTTAAACAAAAATAATTTGAAATTTTTAACTAAAATACTATCTTTATTTTTCAGTGTCTAAGAAAAAATAATATGATTTTATTTGAAGTATTTGTAAAGTTAAATTATAATCAATCATTTTGTCAAAAGCTTTTAATAATTTTATGAAAATGTTTAATTTTAAGCTTATTTACTACAAGTAATCAAACACAAATTTTAAGAAAAATTCGCTTATAAGTAGTCCATTAAAATATTTTTTGAGTAAATTAATAAAATTTGACTTTATTAATTGCTTGTGAATATATTAACAAGTAATTTTTAAAAATTTATCACAAAGAAAATTTGTTAGAATTAAAAATTATTGCTTTCTTCGCTAAGTTCAATATAAAATAGCTGAATATTAACAAAATTTATTCTTATTATTAATAAACAAATATTTTGGTATATGAATTTATAGTATTTAAGATTTTTAAATGAATATCTAAGAATTTTAAAAATTCATAGGTGGTCAGTCATTTTTATTATTTTTTATTTGTTCTGTTATTTTAATAATTAGGGTTTTAAAAAATTCTATTTAATAAAATAAAAATTTATTTACTACTAACTATGTAAAATTTTGCAAATAGAAATTTAAGTAACACAATTTTTTTTGTTACTTTTTTTATTTGTTATTTTACTTTTTTTAATAGACTGTAATGTAAAGAATATTTTTCAATATATTTTTTACCATTAAATATCAATTTTTATTTTATTTATAAGTAAAGTATTTTTTATTTACTTTAATATTTTGCAGAAAAATATAAATAAATTATGAAATTATTTTATGTGATGTAAAAATATCACTCATAGAAAAAGAAATATATTTATTTATAAGGCAAATGATAATATAGAGAGTTATTAAAAATGCAATATTGAATAAAAATATTGAAATTAATTTTTCATCAAATTCATTAAATAAAAATTAAAACAGAAATTATAGCTATGATAAAGTATTCAATCAATAAACTTTCCATTTTAAATGTAGTAAATTAAGAGATGATTTGTTTAATTTAAATTAGCTAAAATATAAAATTTCTTTTAAATTTAGTTTTTTTAGTTAAAATAATCTATCTGCTTATTTGATTAAGAAAATTTTTGCCTGATAAGAGAGGTTAAATTTCTTTTATTTTAAGAGAGCTTTTATCATAAAAGAAGTATAAAATTTTGATTGTTCCAATATTTTTAATTCTAGCAATAGGCTTCTTTCTTTCGATTTCTTTTCGACTTGTTAAAAGTTAGGGTTAAATTTGAACTTCATTTTTTTTATTAATTTTATAAAAATAGTAAGCATAAATAAATTAATTTTGTTTGATCAAAACAATTCTTATCACTTCTTAGTAATAAAAAATTGTAACAAAATAAAGCAATTATTTTAGAATTGCCAATGTTACAGAAAAATGCATAAAATTAATGATAGAAAATAGTTGAATTGGCAGTTGTATTCTATCTACTGTTAAGCTCATAAAAATGATAAATAATTTTGGTCATATTTAGAAAAAAATTTAGAATAAATTTGATTAGGTTTTTATTTGTTTGATCAGATAGTATATTTAATAAAAAAGATATCTTATCAAGTTACTCACTTTAGAATTAATCAAATTTATTATTTCATAAATATTAAAAATTAATTATCTATCCTCTCTAAGAAATGTTAGAAATTACATTTATACAAGAAAAAATTTGATTGAATGCTTTGTTATTTATTTGTTTTTTGATCGCTTTATTATTTATTACGAAAGAACTCAATAATTTTATCTTATTTTTAGTAAAATTTTATTTTATTGAGTTATAAAGTAGAAAAAATGTGAAACAAATGCAAAATGAATAATTCGATTTAACAAAATAATTGCTGAATATTTTTTAAATTAGTAAAATTATTTATTTATAAAACAAACATTTTATTTTAGCTTTTTTAGGATTGTTTGAAATAAATTTAGCTTGAGATATAAAAGAATTATAACTTGAGGCCAGGGCAACAAAAGGTAGGTAGGTAAGTAATAATTAGGATATTCAATCAATATTTAATCAGAGATTATTTGGATTAACTATTTTAGGTTTAATATATATCCAATAATATGTCATTTATAAAACCCAATTAATTTTGTTTAAAATTAAATTTGGAAATTTTCTATACAAAATTAATATTTTAGCTTATGTCAGCTTCTTTAAATAATAAAAATCAACAATTAAATTAATTTATAATTTTTAATTGCAAATCTTATTTTAAAAACAGTAAAAAAAATTAATTTTAAATGAAATTATCAGTCCTTCTCCTTGTTTCTCTTTTAGTCTCAGCAGTTGTTTGTGACGATTGCAACCCTACTCTTCAGCCATGCTCTGCACAATGTATTACTAATGGTTTTGTCAAGGATGCTAATAATAATTGTGCTGCTCCTACTGATTGCACTACTGGTAAATAATGCGATGGTGACCAAAAAAAATTAGCTTGTCTTGCTGTTGGTTACTAAAATAATGATGGCGTTTGTGTTGCTCCCACTAATACCTAATGTTTATCTGCTTCATTTATGCTTTGCGGTATTCCTTAAAGTATCTGCATTACTGTTAATGGATTCACACCTGTTAAAGATGCTTCAAACTGTGCTGAACCTTAGGACTGCTAAGCTCAAAACGCTGGACTCTGTGGAACAGGTAGAACTTACTGCACTGGCTTAGGTTTCACTAAGAAGTCTGATTCCAATGACTGTACCTGCGACACAAGTAAGAATACTCTCGCAAATAACACATGCAAAGCTAAATCTTCTGGCTCTTTATTATTTGCTGCCAGCACTATCTTCATGATTCTTGCTGCTTTACTTTTCTGAAAAATTTAAATAATTATACTGTTTGCATTAAAATTATGTTTATAGTTTTTTGTTTTGTATTTTTTAGGAAAACAATTTAAATTTTATTAACAAACTTTTTTCATCTTTTTACCATTGAAAAATTAATTTAAGTAAGTAAGCCAGCCAGCCAGGCAGACAGTCAGTCAGTGAGATTGTCAATTTAATGTTGAAATATCTATCAAAAAGTGCTTGAATTTCTAAAAATATGAAAATATTTATATCTATTTGTCAACTTTTCAAAGTCATATTATTAATAATCTAAAATTCTAAAGCTTTTAAATTATTTAACTTTAAGACCATTTAATTCATTTTTCAAAAAAATTAGAACAAAATTCATGTAATTAATTTATCACTAACAACTGCAATTGCGATTTAAAAAAGGTAAATTTTTTTATTATTATTAATTTTTTTAATGAATTAAGAAATAGATTTTAACATATTGATTTATTTATTACAATTTTTTTGATAAATAAATAAATTAATTATTTTAACTTTAATAATATTTAATGTAATTAACAATTTGCAAGATAAATAAATATATTTATTTTTGATAAAATCAAAAAATTTTTAATTTCAATTAAAAAGTTTTCTTATCAATTTCTTATGCATAAAAAATAGATAGAATGAATATAATAAAATTCTTTTGCGCTAAAAAACTTAAACAGAGAAAACAAACTCAACTAATAATATATGAAATACTTATTATTCATGAAGTTTATATATTGAATAATAAAGTTTTGATTTTTAATTTATTATTTTTGAAGGATAAATATAAAAAATAGATTTTTTTTTTCTTCTCTGAATTATTTTAAATAAATGCTTTTATAAGTTTGTTTTTTGAATATTTATAAAGAATAAATAAGTAAAATTCAAAAATTTTAATTTTTTTAGAGTACCTTTTAGAGTGTATACTATAAAACTAACACACATCAAAGTCATATAAAAGAAATTAATAGTAATGTAATTTTAGATTTTTATTTTTCAAAATTAATCGAATTTCTTTTACATAAGATAAAGAGCTGTTTTAAAATGTCTATTTAAGCTTCTTATTTTACCTTCATCATTAAACTCTTATTATTTTAGTTTTACAAAATGATATTTTTGTAAATGATACTTATTTATTAGTGTGTAAAGGTTATGTATCAAAATTATTTTTTTAAAAAAAGCTTATCGATCTATCAATCAATAAAAACTCAAAAAATTATTGGTTTATATATTTACTAATTCATAAATGCTAATAATATATATTTATTTTTCAAAAATAAACTAATATATTTTAAATAAAAAATATAATATTTAATTTATAATCAAAAATTATTATTTAATTTTTAAAATTCACAAAATTCTTTTGCTAAATTTGAAAAATTAATAGAGAAAATTATTTTTTTTTTGAAAGTTTTCTATCATTCATTAAATTATTAAAATTAAAAAAAAAAATGTAGCCAAAAATTAATAATCAGATGTTTTTGAAGATTATTATAGAGTCATTTTAAACTAAAAAATAAAATGATTGATTATTTACTTAATTAATAAGAGAAATACATTTTATAATTTAATTATTGAAAATACTATTCAATCTAAATTTATCCTTTTTTTTGATAAAAAATAGATAGATATTAAAATCACAGATTAGGTATTGATAAGAGATAATCTACCAACTAATATCAAACAAACAACCTTATAAGAAATTTAATAGATCTATTTCAATACAATATGCAGTAAAAGAAAATTTTTATTTAAATAAAACTAAGTCCTTTTATAAATTAAATTAATTACTTACTACATTTGTATTAAAAATAAAATTATACCATCAAATAATTTATAATAAATTTTATATTAATTAATTATTTGTTTATTACTAAACATATTAAATTAGCTAGCGATCTTATAAACTTTTTTGAGACTTAAATGAATTATTCTACTTTTATAATCATTTCTCTTTTGGCTATTTCAGCATAATGCCAATGCAATCTAAAAGATATACCATGTTCTTCTGATTGTATTAAAATTGGTTTTATTAAAAGTGATGTAAATTAATCATGCGCAGCTCCTACCGACTGTATATAAGGTAGCAAATGTGGTAATGACTAATTATCAGCTTGTACTCTCATCGGTTATTAAAGTGTTTAAAGCGTATGTGTAGCTCCTACTGATCAATAATGTTTAAATCCTGCTAATTAGCTATGTTCAAACAGTTTAAGTGTTTGTATTACCAAAAATGGATTCTCTGCTCCTCTCAATGCTAATACTTGTGTTACTCCAGATAATTGCTAAACTGCAAACACCGGCCTTTGTGGAGCAGGAAAAACTTACTGTTTAAACTAAGGTTTTTCTAAAAGTACTACCTCTAATGATTGTATATGTGATACTTCTAAAAATACAGTTTAAAATACTTAATGCATACCTATCTCAAAAAGCACAAAGCCTATCCTAACTATTTCTATTATTTTGGGTTTAATAACTCTATTTATTTGAAAAATAAACCATTAATTAATTAATAACTAATGTATACATTTCTATTTGATGTATATATACTTATTCAATTCAATTAATTTTATTCTGTAAACCAATTTTTTTGAAGGTATCATTATATATAAATAATAATCGGATTTTAAGATATTTAAAATAAAGGAGTTGTTATTTTAAGGTACTTTTTTGGAAATGCCATTGAAGTCAAAAATTTATTATTACTGTTATTAGTAATTAAATACAAAAAAAATTTCAGTTTTTACAACAAAATAGATTAATGGTTTTACATTAAAATTTTGTAAATTTTTTTTTAATTAATAATTTGAACACACACAGAAAGAAAGAAAGAAAGAAAGAAAGAAAGAAAGAAAGGAAGAAAGGAAGAAAGGAAGGAATGAAGGAAGGAAGGAAGGAAAATTTTATATTTATATGTTAAGTTCCATGTTTGTTTTTTTAAATTGAATTCGATATTGCTCTTATGAAATATTTAAAAAAGTATTAGAAGAATAATATGAACTTTTATGAAATATGTATTGTTTTATAAAAATTAATACCAAAATAGAATTTTTATTGATTGTATTTTGTTTTGTCCTCCGAAAAGCTTCAAGAAAAATGGTAAAAAAATATATAAATTCCAGTATTAATGAATGAAATTTTTTAAGGGTCTGTTGATACCACATTGATTAAATACATGAAAAAGTAGAATGGCTAAGTGTAATTTATTTTTTATAGTTTCATTGATTTTTTGAAAAGCTAACTTATTAGAATTAACAATATTTTGCTAATTTTTTATGTATTTTTGTAATTAGATTTTTTTTACATTTATTATTAATTAATTTTATGTGTTTGTATTAGCTTATATTTTTTAAAGTGGCTATTTTTTTTAAATTGTGTAAATTGTGCTGATTCAAAAATGTACGATTTTTTTAAAATTTGATATACAGATAGATAATTACAGAAATGCAAAATGGTGTAAATTTTACAAAGTGAGTTACTTACTATTCTACTGAGTTTGCATTATTATTATCCTTTTTATGTTCTTAGACTAAATTATCGCTTAGGCAATATATTTTAATTCTGTTATTTAAAAAATAGAGGTTCATACTTTGATTTTATCAATGTTTTGGTCTTAATCTAATATTTTTCTCACTAAAAAAGAATAAGTTTTTTATGGAAAATTTAAGTTTAGATAGTACTACACTCGCTATCAAAAATAGCTAAACAACTATATTTTATTTATGTTTTCAGCAAAAAGTATTCTGTTTTTCTTTTACTGATCTGTTAATGCAAATAATTATTAATATTTTATAAATTAAGAGATTTCCTTTTTTAAATAAAATTGTTAATTTTTCTTGCCAATAATTAGACTTTAAATTATTTTTAATGAGAAATAAATTTATGTAATTATCTTATTTGATAAACTATTTGAATAAATTTAAAGACAAGATTATTCTTTTTCACTCCTTCCTTATTTTTCTTTGAATTGGTTTATCATTTTTTATTTTCTATAAAACTTACTAAACTTAAAGAGCATTTAACTGTATTCTTAATTGTCTTCCAAATAATCCTACCGTTAGTAATACCTGCTAAGAATTATTTATCTTTTAGTCAATATTTTTTTTGTTTTTATTATTTCATTATTTACAATATTTATTATTTTTTATTAAATTGATTTAAATTTTGATTTTTTTAATAAGGTTAGTTAAAATTTAATTCATATAAATATCGAATATTGATGAAATGAAGTATTACAAATTAAATTACTACTTTTAAGAGGAGATAGATGGTGATAAAATTTATTTAAAATTTCAAGATATATTCCAAAAAAAAAACAAAATTATTTATTTTTATAAAAATTATTTTCAAAGACATCCATCAGCCATTCAAAAAAATAGTGATCTAAAATCACTAAATTTTTGAATGGCATTTGGCATTTTCATTTATGAAAATTTTTAATCAGGAGAAAATATTATAAATATTTAATCTCATTTATATTTCATTCTATCAAAATTTTAAATATTTTTGCAATTTATTTATTTTAAAAGCAATCATTTTATGCGTACTGTTTTCATGCATGCGTAATTATATATTTTTTATAAAATCAATTATAAAACAAACAAATTTTGTGTAAACTTATATAAAAATTTAAAACTTATTTTTTCAATTATTATTAAAATATTTTAATTAATTAAAAATGTTTGCTAAATTAAATTTTAAATCTATTTTTGTCAATTTATAAAATTTAAAAATTAAAATTGAAAAAATATTTCAGAGTTATTTTTTTTGTATTCAAATTTCTGATTTAGATTTTTATGAAAATAGATTTATCAAAAACTTAAATTGGCTATTATAGTAACTGAATAACTAAATGCTAAATTTTATTTAAAATTTGAAATCAAGCATATTTAATTTTTAAAAATGAATTCAGTATTTTTTTATTTAAAAATAAATATAAATGCGTTTGTTTTTGGTTAATTTCTTTTTCTATTTTAATTTATTTTGAATGTAAAGATATTTTTCAATATTTAATAATTTTTTTTCTAAATAATTTAAAAAAATGAAGCATAAATTTGATTGATTCAATTACGATTGAGTAGAAATGGCTTAAGAATTGAATTTTTACTGTATTTTAAAGTAAAATTAATTTATTATTTTCTAAAATGCTTTGCTCGAAAAAGAATTAATTAAAACTAAAAAATAACTTGAAAATTTGACTATATTTAAGTTTTTTCTATTCTATCAAAAAGTAATTCTGTTAAATAAAATAGAAATAATCATTTAAAAGAAATAAATAAATTTACATATAAAAGTAAATTGATTAACTACAAATACTTGTAAATAATTTAAAATAACAAAAATTATAAAATTAACTTTTAAATTACTTAAAAACAAAAAAATCTAAAAAATATTAACAAAAATGAAGACTTTATAAAGCTTTTAAGCAGCATTATTAACTTTAATAATAACAATTATTTTCATTCTATTCGATATTTAATATGATGATAAATAGCTCGGAATATATGGGATATTATTTCAATATTGACTGACTGACCATTGAATAATTAATTAATTGAAAAATCTTTTACTCAATAAAAAGTGTAGAAATAATATTTAGCTGTTTCACGGATGAATTAAATACTACCAATTTATATTATAAGTGTTTACATTATTAATAAAATTCAATTTATATATTTCAATGTTTTTACTATCAATAATTATTAATCTTTTCATTTTATTAACTTAATTTTTAATTAAAAAGTAAATTTGATAAATCATAAATTATTTCTTAATTAAACATATAAAATTCTCTCGAAAAATAACAATTATTTTATCTATTTATTTAATATTATTAATTACATAACTATTAAAAATTAAAATATTTTTTAAGAGTATTTTTTTATATTTAGGAGAAACTCTAAAATTCAATTTATAATTTTATTATCATGAAAGATAAGCAAAAATGCATTATAAATTCATAGTAATGTTCCAATAAAAAAACCAAATTTTAACTTTATCAGAAAATGAGAAACAATAAAAATAATTTTTTTAAGAAATTAAAAAATTTCAAATAAAAAATACATTAAAATAAAAATTAGCTTCAGTAATATATTGCATTGTAATTTTGATAATGCAATAATTAATAATAAATTCATTCAAAAATACAAAAAACCTTAATACAATAAATGATTTATTTATTTATTTGATATTTAAAATAATAAGTATTCTACAATTTGTAACAATTTAAGTGAGAGAAAATAGTAAAATAAATACAAAAGTACATTCAGAAGTGATTTAACTAAATAATTAAATATTATTTATTAAGCATAATTAATTAAAGATAACCAACTCATTAATTATCTCTTTAATTTTTATATATTTCTTTTTAAGAGATATATATATATATATTAATAATTATTAAATTAAAGTAGGTAGAGTTTACTGATGAAATAAGGCTAAGACAATAATTTATAAACAATTTAAAATAAAAAATAATTAATGCTACAAAATGGCAATGAGGAGGAGTTTTAAGGAAATAAAAATATCTAAGGCAGTTAGTAATTAATGAAAGAATTCAATTTAGATTAAAATTCCATTTTAATTTTAGTAATTATTGATATTTTGGACAACTTAATAGATGGTCTTCAATTGTTAATGGCATATTCAAATGTCGGGTTATTTAAAGACATGAATTAGTATATTGCTCTTCCTTGTAATTAGAATGATTAAGAATTTTAGTATTATTATAAAATTTTTCCCTTATTAATTGCAACTTTATCTCTCAATCTCATTATTCTAGTTAAAACTCTTCAAACTAAAAGATAAGCTTATAATCTTGTGAAGGATGACTTAAATAATTTAATAATATCGGCTTAGAAACAAATTAAATTTAGTTAAATATTATACAAAGACCATTGTTTTTAGTGCTCAATGGTGTAGCTTCGGCTACTGCTACGTATAGAGCTAATTGTTCAAACTGTGAAGCAACAAATAGGAATAGGAGATGTTATTATTATAATCCTAACAATTATTTGGCTGGCAGAAAGATAAAAATCATGGAATTATAAAATTATTATCTTAGATTTCAATATAATTTATTTAGTGATTAGATTACAAATGAATTTAAATATTTTTAATATTCTAAAGAGTGTTTTTTTAATTTTAGTTATTTTTTTCTAGTATTTTAACAGAGCCACTCTGTAGAAGTAATATGAATTGTTTATTTCTACTTTCTCTAAATACCTTTAAAGTTTTTCTTAGTATGATTCTACCTTCTAAAATATCAACTTTAGGTTTATAGATGCGAGTAATAAATAAATGACTTAATTATATAAGTAATCAGGATAGTTAAGTAATCAAGTTCAAAGCTAAATTGCAACAGAAAAGAAGATAGAACGCATATCTTTTTTTACTTAAAAGGACTACCATAAAGCTCAGAGCAATCACTCAACTCCAAACTAAGGATCTCCTATTATTTTCACACCATAAAAATATGATAAGCAATTGCAATTTATGAAATAGCAAAGCAGTTTAAAGAGAACTCAATCAATCAGCTCTATTTTTGAGCAGATACCTTCGTCGATTCAAAATTATAAGAAATAAACAGCTGGTCGTTGCTTAATTAATGCAGATTTTATTTAAGATAAAAATTATTTTGTTAGCAATTTGTCAACTTAAGTTCTCAATTAAATAAATTAAGGAGTTGTTTTAATGGATTTGAATCAATGCATAGTATTTCACAACAAATAAATGCTTAAAATTTTATCAATTTAGAAAAGCTCTAAGATAATTAGAAAACTTTTCTAACTAAAAAAAGAGGTCAAAGTGAAAGATGGAGATCTTCTTGATAAAAATTTAACAGGCGACGATAGTAAAGCGTTGAATTCAATAATAAAAATGACATCAAAAATAACAAATAATTAATAAGAATCATCCAACTTAAACTAATTTAGCCTTGAAGTTAATGGTAAGGTGAAGACTTAGAATGTAAATAATAATGGACTGCAAGCTATCTTAAGTGATAGTTAAGGATAATAAGCGTGTGGAAGAAGTTTTAGAACAAGTGATTAAAAGAAAAGTGATTATTTAAATAACAAATCAGCAAGTTAGAGTGATATTTAAATGGCACCTCCAAAAGTAATCTTCAAAAATAAAATAAGATAAGGAGATGACGAAGAATAACATGATAATGGTAACTAAATTAGCATTAAAGAAGTGGAGGAGGATCAATACAGTGATAATGAATACAGTAATACATACTCACCAGTTAAATTCGATACAAAGACATCCTATAAGAAGAGGAATAAAAATATTTAAAACTTAAAATAGACTTTTCAATTCAAAAAGAAACAGACAGGTGATAGCAAAAAAGAATTGAAAGATAAATACTTTTACAGTACAGATGAAAAGTCGTTTGAGATTATAATATAAGAGATTATTTCGCTAGTTTAAATCTACAGATAGAATATTGGGCACAGGCCTTGCAAGTCAGAAAATAATTTAGATTTTAACACTTTGATTTAAGAAGAGTGGCTTAAGAATTGTGAAAAAACAGTTTAAATTCTCTAGAATTAAGGCTATACCTTTAATGCTATTTTAGAAGAAGAGCAAAAAGTAGCCACATTAAGTTATCTCAGAGAGCATTCAAACCATGAAATAGCTAGTGAAGATCCAAAAATAGCTACCACCAGTAAGAATAATCTCTAAGTACCTTAGCCTCAATCTTTTACGAAGGGAGTAAATAGTCTAGCTGATTTAAAATAGCAATAATAAGCATAAAATTAAAATGATGTCAAAAAGCAAAAAGTAAACAAAATAATACGTGTCTAAATTAAACTGTGGAATTCTCCAATTTCAACTGAAGAAAAAAGAGATGAAGTGAAGGAAAGCTCAATCGATAACATAGGCAACAACTAAATTTTGAGTTAGTCTAATTCAGATCAGCCAAAATAAGCTAAAAAAAAAAATTTTTTAATCCATGAAAAATTTCATAATCCGATGCTATTCATAATATTTTAAGATATCACTAAATAAATAGAATAGGAGGAACAAGATTAAATGAATAGATTTAAGTTAAAAATACTATCTAGTATTTCCCATGAGTTAAGAACACCTTTAAACTGCTCAATGAGTATGCTCTAAATGCTTCTACAATCTGACCATATCAGCGAAGCTCTTAAATAGGATTATCTCTAGCCTGCTTTCTTTAATAACTAACTTCTTTATTTTATAATCAATGACATTCTAGACTACGCTTAGATATCTTAAAATAGTTTTTAATTAAAATTTTCTAGCTTCGAATTGTATCCAACCTTGTAAGAATGCTTGAATATATTCAGCTACTCAGCAGAGTTCAAAGGAATAGAAATTTTTCTAAGTGTAGATAACTCAATACCAAGAGTAATTAATAGTGATCAAGAGAGAATAAAGCAAGTTCTTATTAATCTTGTAAGCAATGCAATCAAATATACCAACAGTGGCTACATAAATGTTAATGCAAGTCTTTCACCTGATTAGAAAGACCTGATTGAAATTTCCGTTGAAGATACTGGCTGTGGAATTCCTCCTCATCTCCACAACATCATTTTTGATTACATGGATAATGTAAAGAAAAACAAACATTTTACATTTTAATTTAAAAATAAAAATTCACTTTTTAAAAAAAACTTCTCACAATTTATTCTATCTCAAATACAAATTCAAATAAAAAAAATAATAAAAATTTAGAATTAGTTTAAAAGATAAAAATTTTTAAATAATTTACAAAAATTATTTTTTACGAAATAAATTTTTTTTTCTAATTAATTTTTATATAATTTTTTTTTCTAATCGTTTTTTTATAAATTTAAAAATAGCCTGGTAAAAAAAAGAAAGAATTAAATAGCACTGGTGCAGGTCTTGGTTTGACTATTTCATAGAAGATAGTGAAGGGATTAAGTGAAAATAAAGGAATATCTCTTTAAAGTGAAGTTGGAGTTGGCTCGAAATTTACTTTTTATGTCAAAAACAGAGATTTTACAAATTAAAAATCACAAGTTGGGATTAAATCAAATTAGTTTAATAACATTATGTTAAATTGGAAAAGTGTGAGTTATACTACGCTTTAGAGCTAAGAATTTAAGAGCGATTTAAGCAGCCTGAAGGGACTCACTAATAAATCTCAGTAAACTCCTAAGCATTATAGTCAGTCTCCTATTTCAAAAGGATCTTTCAACTCTAACTCTGTGGTTGGTAAGGAAGAAACAGAAAAAAAATAATTCTTAACAACATTTATTCGAAACTCGTTCATGAGAAAAGGAAGCAAATTCTTAGAAGAAAATATGCATCAAAAAGAATTAAGCAATTAAGATTATGGCAATAACGAGTTTTTAAATTAAAATTTAAATAGTGATAGAGCATTAAATAAAAGGAAAAGCAATAACTCAATTTCTATTTCTTATATGCTGGATAAGTCAAATATATTACAAGAAGGTAGCGAAAATAAGAAGAATCAAACTGATTCAAAAAAAAATCGCTAACCTATGAAAAGCTGTGATATTTTAGAAAGCATTTCTGACATAGATAATTAAACACCTTAAATTTAAAATCTTAATCCATTTTAAGGAAAGTCTTCAATATTTTAATAAGACTTAATTGAAAACCAAATACTTTAAAAGCAATCATCAAGTGTCTCATCAACAATTTATACTTAGAGTACTCCTAAACCTGGATCTCATTTAGAACAATAAACACCAATATAAAATTTTAATAACTAAGCTAAATTCTAATTAAATTAAAATTATCAAGGTTAGAAACAATATCAAGATAAAAATAATAATAGCTAACCTGATTATTTTAAAAGTAATTAAAAACCAGAAAGCTTTAGCGATTTTAATTAGATCTAAAAGAAAAGAAATAGCTTCAATGCTAACCTCACTACATCAAATTATTAATATTAGTAGCTTAAAGATATTTCTCAAATAGATCTAGAAACGGGAAGGAATGCTTCTTTTCATAATAACTCATAAATTTTTTAAGATACTTCAAGACTTATATAAGGGAATTATAAAGAAGAATTGGATTTAAACAAAACTTAACAAGATTAAAATAACATTACATTTAATCTAGAACTTCAAAACGAGTCTGAAAGAGCAAACAACTTCAGTTTAAAACAACTTAATTTATAAAATTAATCCTAATAAATTGATGAAGAAATTAATCCAGCAATAAAAAAGGAATTTTAAATTAATTTAAAGAAAAACTAAAACACAGAACTAAAAATAACAAAAGAAAGCTCAAAAAAGAAATTATTCATTCAAATTAATGATAATTAAAATGAATTAGATGGATAAGATATGGATGCATTAATTTAATAAAATTCATAGGACCATCTTTAGTAAAAATAAAATAAAATTAAAAAGAAGCTCTAGTTATACTTTTCAAAGAAGAAATGTCAATGCAACGAAGTCCTCGTTGTTGATGATAATTAATTTAATTTACTCGTCATGATTAAATTACTATAATCCTATTCAATTATAGCTGACTAAGCATTCGATGGCTAAAAGGCATTAGACCTTGTTATATAAAAATCAAAAAATGCATGCTGCTCTCACTACAGACTGATCCTTATGGATATAGATATGCCTATAATGAATGGCTACTAATCAACCTAAGCAATCTTAGACTTTTACAAGTAAAAACACCCAAATGTAAATCCACCTATTATCTCTGCTTGTACTGCATTCGTAAGCAACGAAGACAAAGCTTAAGCAAAAAAAAGAGGAATGAAGTTTTTCATTGGCAAACCAATCTAAATATTTCACCTTGATTTTGTATTAGAGCAAAGTCTTTTGAAGAAGAAAAAATGAATTTTATTTTATGGACAATTTAAATTAAAATGCAGTTTGTTTTTGCATTAAATTTATTTCAACAAATAATAAAAATAATAATTTAATTTTAAATTAATAAAATAGTTAAAATATTTTGTATATTAAGTTAATACTAAGAAAATATTAATTCTTCAATAATTAATTAATTAATTAATTAATATTATCAATGATATTTGTTAATATTCATGTAAATTTTTAGAAAATAATGTGCATTCTATTTATTTAAATATTATAAAATCATAAATAAATAAATAAATACCCCTACATAATTATCCGATAATAGCTATACAAATTTTTAATGTATGTATTGATATTTTGCAACTTACAATATATTTTAATTAACTAATTATTAAAATAATTGATAATATTTTAAGTAGAACTATTGATTAGTAATATTTTAAATACATTTTAACCAATACAATTAATATTTTTTGAGTCTTGAATAAAATGTAAAGTAATATATTTTTTTGTGGTAAAAAGGACAAGCAAGTCAGAATTCAGTTTAGCTTTGATAAAGTAAAGAATATTAATCAATATTCAATGAAATTAATAATTTTGCTTATAAAAAATATACTTGAAAATAAATTACTTTTATTGAGAGAGGTATGCAAAGAGAACAATAGCTAAAAGAATTATTGATAAAAATTGAATAAAATAGCAAATTCGATTTATGTAAACAAAAAGAGTTGGGAGTTTCTTTTTCTAATTTAAAAGAGCTGCAAACTCTGAAAATAGAAATAGGAGATCATTGTGGTTTTGGGGTAGATGGGTGCAAAATTATTTGCAATAATATTATGAAAGTTAATCATATTAAAAATTTATAATTGATTATTGGAAATTCAAATAAAATGTATTCAGAAGGCTGCTTTATAATTGGCGAAGCTCTTAAAACAATGTCGCATCTACAAGAGTTAGTTATTATTATTCATAGCTTTAATAATATAACTGATTATGGATGTATTGGATTGAAAAATGGAATTCAATATTTGAAAAATTTGAAAGCACTCACTTTAAAAATATACAGTGAAAATAATATTTAAACAGCTGGGTGTATTTATATTAGTGAAAGCATAAAATCTTTAAGTAATTTATCCAATCTTGTTCTTAAAATAGGAGGACACAATTAGCTTGAATCGCTTGGTGTAAAGAATATTTGTGAATGTGTTAGCTCATTGTTTAAATTAGAAAATATAACTATGAATATCGGAGATGGCAGCATGTTAAGCATGCAAACTAAAATTTAATTTAATTTTTAGGAATTAAGTAAATTACTTCATCTTCGAATTCATATTGGAAATTTTAATTCTTTTGGAAAGCACGCATGTAAATCTTTAGGCAAAGGATTTGTATTTACAAATTAGCTTGAAACTTTCGATTTAAAAGTAGGATGCTTTAATGATATAGGCTAGAAAGGCTGCGACTATTTAGCTTAAGGGTTAAAATAATTAAAAAGTTTGATCCATCTTTCAATTGAATTTTCACCATAAAATAACATAACATATAATAATATATCTTAGTTAGGAGAGGCTATTTCTAAATTAACTAAATTAAAATAACTTTTAGTTCATTTTGGAGACTGCTTGGATTTGGATTCATTTCGGGATTTAGTGCAGGGTATTAGCTGCTTGGCAGATCTTAACTCTTTAGTTGTTAGAATTACTTAATTATTTGATGAAAATGAGCATGATAAAGATTAAGGCCAAGTAAATAATCGTTTCGATAATCAGATTGTCAATATTGCTAGGTCAGGTTTCTGCTAATTAAAGAATCTGGAAAATTTTAATTTATTTATTCCTATAGTTTCTAGTGTAAGTTTGATAAATTTAATAAATGATCTTTAGTAGCTCAAAGAAAATAAGTTTGGAATGTACTAATTAGATAAATTCAGGTTTTAAAGACAAGAAAAACATGTAAGAAAGCTGAGTATAGGTACAGCTAATTATGTGGAAATAAGGGATCATGGACTAGAGTTACTGCTAAATAGTATTGGAGAATTTTAGAAGCTAAATATTTTAAGTATATCTATAGGAAGTCAGAGTTACATTACAACAAATGGAATTAAAAGTTTGTGTGATAAAGTTAAAAATTTGTAAAATTTAATTTGTTTTAAAGTAGAAATAAAACCTTCAAACCACATAGGCGTGGATGCTATTCTAGATATTTCAGAAAGTATCTCTAATCTAAAACAGTTAATTCAGCTAAAACTTTAAGTAGAACTTCAAGAAATTTTAGTAAACGACCCATAAATGGAAAAGTATGATTTAGATTGTACTATATCTCAAATAAATAAAAAAATAACATAATTACCTAAACTAACACAATTATATATTCACCTTGGAAATCATCTTATCAATAAATCTAAATTATTTTCTTTTAGAAAAAGTAAAAGATTGGTATTGTATTCTTGATTCATTCATTGATTACTCTATATAAATATATTAATTAATTATTCTCTTAGTTTAAAATTAAAATTCTAAATATTTTTATATTAAACAAACCAATCAATCTTTAACCCTAAAGAAAGAAATTAATTTTTATGTGAGTATTTTAAATAATTAAAAATATTTTTCATATTTAAAAGAATGGTATTTATTTACTTATCATTTTAGTTAGTCATCATTCATTTTATTTATGTTTTCCTAAATGTGCTAATTTATTTATTTTTCAAATAAGTCTTATTATTGTTCTTGCTATTATCATTAATTCTTAGTTATGATTGTAAATTATTTTATTCAACTAATTGAGAGAACAATTATTAATGAAAAAAGAATCAAAATAAATAAATAATAAATAAGCTTAAATAAAAGGTGTATGTATGCATTATTTTTATATTAAACAAACCAATAAATCTTTAAACTTAAAGAAATTAATTTTTATGTGAGTATTTTAAATAATTAAAAATATTTTTCATATTTAAAATATATTTAAAAGAATGGTATTTATTTATTTATTTATCATTTTAATTAGTAATCATTCATTTTATTTATGATATCCTAAATGTGCTAATTTATTTATTTTTCAAATAAGTCTTATTGTTGTTCTTGCTATTATCATTAATTCTTAGTTATGATTGTAAATTATTTTATTCAACTAATTGAGAACAATTATTGATGAAAAAAGAATAAAAATAAATAAACAATAAATAAGCTTAAAAAAAAGGTGTATGTATGCATGTATTTAAATAAAAAGGAATTAAAAATATTTCGTTAAATAAGCAATTAAACGCATTTTTAATTTGAGTTACTTATTAATATATAGACATTCAATTTTTATATTATATAATTATGTTTTATGTATGTATGTTTTATTTAACTTAGTTAGCTCTATTTCATTGTTTATTGATTGATTCATTTTTACAATGATTGTTTAATCTCTCACTTTCTCCAGCTGGTGGTATTGCTGCTCTCCTTTTTATCGTTGTTCTTGTTATCCTTATTGTTATTGTTCATGTTGTTGGAGTTCATATTACGTTAGAAGCCACCAGATTGGTTACTAGCATTGGGGTTTCCTGTTTAAGCAGGCTTAGAGTAAGCAGGCTTGTTATTAGGGTAGGTGTTAGATTAGGTACTGCCACCAATATTTCTCTTCATGAAGCCGCCATCATTAGGATTGCCAGATTATTAATTGTTTTGAGATGAGGAAGGAGCATTACTTTTGTTGCCTGTGAATCTGAAGGGAGCTGATGTTTATTCTGCAGGCTTGGTAGTGGCCTAGACTTTAGTTGTTCTCCAAGCATTGTCTTCCTTTTCTGTTGTTTAGATAGGAGCAGTGTTTCTGCTAATACCCTTGTCTTCAATTTTAGTAGTAGTAAGGGTGGTAGTACCAGGACCACGAGAGATGGTGTTAGAAGTTTCCTTCTTTTCAGGACGAGTAATTTCAACCATTCTCCATTGATCATCTTTGGGCTTATCAGAGAGTTTAGGAGCTTTAATTAACAAAAAATATAAGAAATTCATTAACAATTAATTAATAAATAAAAAAGTAAAAGGCTTAAAAAATGTATTTTTCATTAAAAAATATAGCTTACCATCATCGAAAGAAGGAGGAACAAGGTCTTTTTCCTTTTCAACGATTCTCCAACCTGCATTACTGCTTGTTTTTTCTGTTTTTTCTTATTGTTCTTTCTACATCTTTTCCTTTTCTTCTTGTAACTTTCTTTCTTCTTCTTCCTGTTTTGTAAAATGAATAGATAGATAGATTAATTTATTGTTGATTGCTAATTTGTGATTTACTTTCTTTTGCTTTTCTTCAATGTAAGCGACCTTAGCATTTTCTAAAATTTTTTTCTTAAATTCTTTTTCAACTTGGGTCTTGAATTGTTAAATCTTGGTTTCGTATTCAACCTTTCTTTGTTGCATGATAGATTAGAAGAATTTTTCCTTTTTATTAAAAAAATAATTATTTTAAGTGTTATTTAGAAAATATTTCAATTTATTGAAGATTTAAAATTAAGGTTGAATTAATTACCTTGAATTATCTTGCAGCTTCCAAAGTTTTCTTTTGAGCTAAATCTTGTTCGAACTTAACACGAGCATTATCGATGTGTTGTTGGAGATTTTCTTCCTTTTCAGCTTTTTCGATAATCTTTTTAATTCTATCAGATTCGATCTTACGGGTTTCTCTTTCAATGTAGTCAGTCTTGGTGAAACCCTTTTTATATTTATTTTCTTGGTTATCCTTTATTTTATCTTGGACATCCTTTTAGAGTTCTTATAAAGTTTGGAGACTTATGGGTCTGAGATCTTCTTCAGTCATGTTTTCTATTTTAATACCTTCGATCTTGGCAATTTGAGGACCCTTGATCTTGATGATATCAGCACGGAGTTGCATCTTGATCTTTAATTCATTCAATTCGTGTTGTTCACGGAGCTTCTTTTGTTCAATCTTTAGATTGTATTCGTTGATTTTACGTTATCTCTCGTTTTCTTCGTAAAGTTGGTCTTCGTATTCTCTCTTGACCTTTTCTTAGTTGAGAGACTTTTCAGTCTTAATCTTGTAATCACGGATTTCCTTATTACGGACACTGAGGACTTAAGTAGAGCTTTCCATATACTTTTTGGCATTTGAGTTGAGTTCAGCTTGTCTTTTGGTATCGTGGGCTTGCTATTCGAGGACAATGTTAGAAGAAATCAACTTGGCAGCTTGAGCAAGATTGATGATATTAGATGAAGCATTAACGTAATCATTTTTAGCTTTAGTAGGATTGAAGATGATGACTTTCTTTGATTAATCGATTCTGCAGTTAATTTAGCTGGAAGAGCTGGCATTGATTAAACAAGTATCGCAGGTAGCAGTAGCAGAGAAGCTAAGGAATTTGTAGAGATTTTCAATATTCAAAGTTTTGTAAACCTTAGAAATGCTATTTAAAACTCTATTGATGAGATTTTCTTCAATAGGCTTGACATAATCGGAATAAGCACTTTCACGGAGGTAAGCGAAGATGGGTTCAACCTTCTTAGAAATGTTGAAAATGTTGATTTCGTTGATGGTAACATTGAAAAGAGCATTGATTTATTCATTGGCAAATTCGTTGAGGTTCATTCTCAAAACCATGTTGATGATTTCTTCTCTTCTAGGAATAAGCTTGCTGGTACCCTTTTGTAATTGAGCAATCTTCATACGAGAGTCTTCATTTTGAGAATTTTCAAGAGAGCTGGAGGGAATAGATAAAACACTGAGTAAGATCTAGTTGGTGAGCTTTTGCTTTTCTTCATCAGTAATGTTGGGGAGATTCTTGTGGATGAAGTAGTGGTTGTAGAGGAAGTAGGTGTGATAGCAATAGTACTTAGAATTCCAGAAAATTTTGCTCAAATAGAGGTAATATTGAGAGAGCATATGTGACTTGATAGGAGCAATAACCTTACGTAAGTTCAAGAGAATACTGATATCTTCGAGTTGAGTGAAAGCATGAGAGTAGTAACCCATTTGAAGAGAGTAATTAGCACAATCTAATCTGACTTTAATCATGTAATCACGAGTGTCGCTGGTGAAAATATTAATATGGTTGGGGTTTTTGTTGAAATCAACATCTCTCTTTAAGATTTGTTCCAAGAAGTTGTGTTAGTTTTCAAGGAATCTCTTGAATTCACGAGTACGGTTGTACTTCTAACAGAATTCCAAAACCTTTTCAACGGTACTGGTGTAAACTTCTTCGAGTCTCTTGTGGAACTTAGAGTTTTCAATGATATATTTGTAGGTTTCCATGATTTATCTCAAGACCTTCTTGATTTGGATTTCCTTCTTCTTTTGGCTGATTGTTAAATAGCTGATTAACAAATCGTGTTCGATTTCTTCAGATTCGATATCGCCACAAGCTTTGACCTTTTTTGTAATTAAAACTAAATTAATCTCTGCAGCTTGAATAAACTTTTCTTAGGATAATAATCACGATTTTAAACTTTCATTTATTATGATATTGTTGGTAAATTCGCAGTTAATCATTTAAAATATTGCTTTTTGAGTAGAATTTTTGCATTAATTTTTATCATCTAAGAAATTAAATTTTTTTATTTTGCAAATTTAAATTATTTTTATCTTTGAGATAGCTATTGCAGCACAGCATAATAACTAATTTGATTATCAGCATTTTTTAAAGCTAACTTGCTTTGTTTATTTCGCTTTAATTCTAATGACATTTCACTTTCTTCTTAATGGAAAAATGTAAAATTTGAATATCTTATTTGTATTAATTAAAGATAAATATACTCTTTGCCAAAAGTATATCTATTTTTTATTTATTTATTTTTGATTAAACAACCAAACAATTCATCCTAAGAAAATCTCTCAAAAAACAAGTAGGGAGGTAGAAAGAAAGAAATTAATCAAATGCAAATTTTTACATCATCGATATGGAATTATTAAATCTTAGAGTTGAATAAGACTTCTAAGCTGCTACGAATTTGAACTAAAACACTTTCCAAAGAAGAGGAATAAGTAGCTTGAGTAAAGAACTTATATTGTTTTAAAGCTTCTTCAATGCAATCAGTCTCATCAACAGAAACGCAGACCTTGACGTAGAGGATCTATTTTCATTTAAATTTATTTTATTATTTTGTTCAAAGAATTCGCTTAAATTTGCTAACTAAAGCTAATGCTTAATTTTTAATGAATAAATAAATAAATCCTTACGAAAATCTTTTCTAAGTTGATTGTCCAAGTTATTTTACGCTTTTGGCATAAGTAATCATGCATAATTCTTTGAATGTTAGTGTCCATACCTTCATTTTGGATTCTTTCTATAATTCATTATTAAATAGAATAATAGCATCAAATAGTCTTTTTTTATATTTAAATTACCTTCCATAATTTTCAAGAATTACTCATGCTTGATGTATAATATGTTGTTAGTAGCCATGATTGAATTATGATCTATCTATCTTTTTTATTAACTTTTTAGCTTTTTCTTTTTCTTTTATTTTAATTAATAATAATCAAAAGATTTTATCTATATAAATTGACTTATAAAAAAAGTGTCTTAAATCTTTAAAATTTCTTTTAAAAATTAATTAAGTTTTCAATACAATTAATTGTTTGCAAGGAATCTCTTTCTCTCTCTTTATTATATATTAATAATATAAGTTTTAATAGTTAAAGTGAAATTACTAAATTAATTATCCCAAAGATTAATAAATAACCTAACTCAAACATACAATAGAAAGTTTCTTGATTTTATATGTATTAGTCTATATTAATGAATATACTTCTATTCATATTTTTAAACATAAAACATTTTTTTCAAAATAATTTTAAGACTTAGATAGCAAATTTAAGTATTGATATTTCATTATTAAAACTAAGAAATTATTAAATACTTTAATTTCATTTTAAAATGAATTATTTATCAATCAATCAAACATAATATTAATATTTCTATTAATTTAAAAAAAAAAAAAATTATTGTACAAGAATCAATGAATACATTTTTATAATTTTTACAATATATAATGCAAAAAGAATAGTTTTATATGCAATTTAAATTAAAAAGAAAGGGTTTGTATAATAAATTAAATTTTCTTAATTAAAGTTTTTGAGCAAATTTATTAAATTTAAAATTTATAATTATCAAAGGTATATTTTATATAAAAAATGAAATATATTAGAATTAATAAAATATTTTTAAATTTAAAAATAAATACAAAAAAATATTTGAATTATATAAAACAAACAATTTAAAGAAATTTGCATGATTTGTAATCAAAAACTAAAATTTTTCATTATAATTGAATTTCAAAGGATTTGATAAGAAACTAACTTAGGAGCTTTAAAAAAATGTAAAGATTTAGTTATTCTTTATTTGAAGAGAACTGTTTGTAAATGGTTAAAAAAACTTCTGAAATCCTTGTATCTATACACTTTATATTGATTTCCTGGATCTGTTAGTCGGATTTTAATTTTTTATTTGTTTATAGCATCACCACCTTTTAAATTTAGCTCTAAATTCTATAGATTTAAGCATTTGCTTATGGATTTTGTAAAGCTTAAAGGTAGGGTCTTCTAAACGTCAGCAGGGAATAGCAATTTCAAATTTTATAAGTTTGCTAAATTAGGTAAAATATCAAAAAGCTGTTTCTATGAGTTTTCATCGAAGTTAAAAGAAACAACTTAAAGCTACAAATCAAAAATTTAGACACAGTTTTATAAAATTTTTGGTAAGTAGAAATGTGTAAAATCCTATACTAAATCAACTGAAAGATTCAATTTTTTGAGTAATTTTAAATGAGATAAACTATTTTAAAATTCTTAAGCTAGTTTTTCATTTTATTAATTATTCTTAAAAGATATTTGCAGATCTTCCAATTAATTCTACTTACTAATTGATTAATAATACTGCATATAATCTGATTCTGTCAAATTATGTAAATTAAGATTCAACTTTCTAAGATTTGGATAGGAATTTAATAAATTAAAACCAAATTATAAGCTTTGTGTTTGACATTCCTATAAATCTTCATCAAAATTTTCATGTAAGACTAGTTTCTTTAGGTTAGAGTTTTAAATTTGCTCTTCTTCCAATTCCATATCACCTTTAGTTAGTGTATTTTATATAGTGCTACGGTCTACCATTATACTCAATTCTTCTAAATTTAACAGTTTAGAAGGAATTATTTTAAGAATATGAGAATCAGATATGTTCAATTAATCTCCGTTGATTTTGAGTTTTAATGACTTCAATTGTTCTATTTCAGATACCTATTTTATAAGTTTCTCTAAATCTGCTGATCCGATAGGAGTTTTTTCTAGTGAAATAGTTAACTTATGAAGTTTACTGCATTTTCTTAAATTTTTAAGAGAGTCTAAATAAAATGATGAACAAGTATGCCAAGAAATGATCAATTATAACTCTTAAAGATTAACTAAGCTAGATATTTCTTGGTTTAAGGTTTCTGCTTCTTCCTAATTCAAGTCATTCTTCTTAAAGTCTAATAAAAGCTTCTATATGCGCTCCTTATCTGTTTGCTGAAGGATACTCAAAACATTCTATTAAGATCCATTAGAATACCTATTTTTTATATGAAGTGATTCAAATTAAGTATTCTTTAATATGATATCAGTGAAAAGGTTGATTTAATTCTTTGCAATAGAAACTGAAGATTTTTTGAAAGATATTGTAATCTATTTGTTAGACTAGAATTTTTAAGCTTCATTTTCAAGACTCTTCAGTTGAAGTTCACTTAAAGATTCAATTTTGAGGTGTATCAGTTTATCCTCAACTGTATCTACTTCATCAATATTAGAACTAAAATATTATTCTGTCATTTTTCTTTTTTTTTTTAGATTTATTTTAATTATTTTTTAGAAAGTTTAAAAAATATCTTTTTATAAGTCTGTTTATATGTTTATCTGACTTTCTGAAGATTGGCAACATAAGATATTTCTGATATAATTTCTTTTATTATCAAAAAATTAGATTGAGAATCTAATTTCTTTTACTTAAAAATATAAACAAATTAGAAAACAAACAAATTTTCTTTTACTCAATATTTCTTTTAATTTTTTAAAGCATATCTCAAATAATTAAATTGAATAAAGGATAGATAGATAATTTTTACTAAAATGATATTTAACTATCTATCATAACTTCTCAAGTATTTAGTTGCCTCTATTTACTAAAAATTTAGATAAAAATGTAGTTAAAAATAAATAAAATCTAAAATTAAGCCAATTTTCAATTTCCCTTTTACCAAAAAAAAATACGGTATTTAAAATATTAATTAAATTAATTTAATTTTAAATAAATAAATATTAAAAATTAACGATGAATAAATAAAAAAATGAAGAATATGCTTTTATTTTAAATTACTCAAAAAAATTTTACTTAATTTATTTTTGTTCTTGTTTTAAAATTAGATTCAACCAAAATAAAGATTTTATATAAATGTCAATAGTTAATTTTTTAACATTCTATAGAAATAACTAATTATCAAACAATTTATATTCTATTATTTACAAGATATTTGTTATACTGAGTGCTTATATAGAATATTAATCATCTTATACAAACTAAAATATTTCTATTAGACTGATTATGATTTGTAGAATGCTAATTTATCTTTCTATTTTTATAAATAAATTCTAAAATTTATTTTTCTGAAAAATAAATTGAAATTTATTGATTTTTGTTTGTAATTATTAATTAAAGTTATAAGATAAAAAATAAAGCTTTCAACAATTTTATATGTATTATTGATGGATGGATAGTATAAAATAAAAAGTGGAAAGTAAAGATTTAACTAAATTTTTAAAAATTAATTTTTGGTCTTTAAGTAGATTTTGAAGAATAATTAATTTTATTTACTCCTGATTAAATAATTAGTAAATCTAAAATTTTGAATACTTCCTTATATTTTTATGCTTTTTAGTTGATCATTAAAGCGATTAGCATAAACATAAAGTAATAAATATAAAACTAAATAAATAAATAAATCATATAAGAATTAAATTGACTAATCTCTTCAATTTTATAAGTTTGTACTTTATTTAAAAATTAAAACCAAATATGGATTTTGGTCCAACGATTAGAGTGTTAATATTTTAATCTGAATATTTAAGCTGAGAGTAAACTAAATACTAGTCTTAGGTATTTAATTATAAAAAAACAGGTATTTCCAAGCAGCATAAGTTTGGCTTGCTTTTTAAGTCAAAATAGTCCTAGTCATTATTAAGCATTTTTCTTACTTATTTACATAAATATATATCAAACTTAAGATGTGTTAACTATTTTTGGCTGTTAGCTATTAAATTAGTTAATTTATTAAGTTCACTGCAAAAACAATATAAATGATCATTAAAGCCAATGATTTCTTATAGAATAATATGCATATAACTTTCATAAATTAATTCTATAAAATCTGTTGTTTTTCTTAAATCAAAACCATCTTTATTTTAATAGCATGAGCAATATACTATTGAAGTTTAATTTATAATAACAGGTTTAGCTGTTAAAGAATATTATCCTTTAAAAAGATATAAACGATATATGTATTCAAGGGTTAGATTTTTAGCTTTTGATATTATTTATTCGCTCAAATCTTTAAACCTATCTAATAATATTTTATCAATAAAATTATTTAACATATTTTCATAATAATCTTTATTGCTTAAAGATGAAATATTAAAATTAACTTAGTTTTAGTTTTAATATGCATTAGAAGAATAGCCAGATAAATAATTAGCAAAATCAATTTTTATCGATTTTTAAAAAGTTAAGGGTAAATTACTTAGATCAACAAAACTAAAGCAAGAAAATTTTTATAATTAGCTGCACATTTATCTAAAATTAAAGTTTTGGTAGTCAGAGGTCAGCTAAAATTTAAAATAAGGTAAAGTATTATTATTACTTAAAAGTATTTTGTAATATGATTCATTTTTCATTTTACTTATTTAAAGCAAATTAGTATAAAAAGAAATTAGTTAATTTTAAATAATTTCAATTTTTGATTTCTAACCCTATTTAAAAGAAGAAATGAATTCACAAATGATCTTTTAATGAGCTTAAAATTTGTTTTAAATACTTAGCCTTGATTGTTAATCATTTAGATTAATTAACAAATCCTGAAATTATCTTTCAAAAAAATTTTAAAATATTGATGAGCTTTGCTTTTACGGGTTGCTAGAATAAGGAATAATTACTATTTAAAAATCTTAGTTTATGAAAATATCTTCAACTAATATCTTTAAATTAAAAAAGCAAGGAGCTAATTTTATCAATTTTTAAATTAAATTAATTAACTTATTAAAGAAAGTGTCTTAAATGCTGCTAAAAATAACTTATTATAATTAATCATTTATTTATACACCTAAACTTGAGTATTATTTATTGACTTCTTCAAAAAATTAATTTTTAGATTGAATTAAAGGAAATAATCCATTTCGCTGACTCAAATCTACATATTCTACAAAGAAATCCCCTTCACAAGTAGAAAATTCTTAGAAATGATCAAGAACTTTAATGTTAAGCTGCTTCAATTACTATATCAAAGCATTTTTTTCTTACAATTTTTCTTAAAACAATTCTTTTTAGTTTATTTTTTGAATGTTAAACTAAATCGATTTCGTCAAATTAGTTCCTTCCAGATGAAGGACCGCTGAGTCCTTACCTGGCTGAAAACTAAAAATAGCAAATTCATCTAATTGAGTTCTATCTAAAATATTTTTAGTAATTTCTTCAAAGTTTCCTTGCTCTTCTTATATTATGTTTTTGATAACTTAAGATAGACTTTCTTTTTTAATTATAGCTTTAAACGTATTGTCTAGGTTACCAACATATTAAATGACAAACTTTTTCTTTGGTAACTGTTCTTATAATTATAAAAATATTGATGGATTTTAATACATAAAAGGCTCAACTGTATTAAGTTTAATTTTTTTTGTACCGTCTTATTGATACTACAAAACGAAGTACAGCAACTTAATCTTATCTATCGAAATAGAATTATAATTTTTATTATTCATTTACAAAGCTTATTTACAATATTAGGACGCCTTACATAAATAGTGATCTAACAATTACTCTGATTAGTTTTAAAACTCAAAATAAACTTCATGGATGCTAAAATCAAAGTACTCATATTCAATAGCATAAAAAAAATTATCTTCATCTAAATAATAAGAATCATGCACTTATAAAAGCCAATCAGTTTTAATTAGGTATTTAGATTACTTTGAGTAAAATATAATAGTATCCATATATTATTTCAATAAATCTGTAGAAAAAATCTCAATTACTTTTTAGCAATTATCCTTTTTGTCAAAAACTTTAAGCTGCAAACAAGCTAAATTTTTATTATTTGTGAAAGGATCATAAAGAAGGGACCTTTAATTGATTTAATTGCTAATAATTTCAATATTAGGTCTATTTTTTTCCAAAGAATCTAGTATTACCTTAGCATCTAATTTACTATACAACCAGTTAGAATCATAAACTTTTTACAAAATTTGCTATCTCATAATTAGGAAGTTAAATAAATAATTCTTATTTTTAGTTAAATATTTAAATAATTCTTGTTTTTGTTTTATATTTTATTTCTTACTTGAGAAATCCAATTAGAATTTAAATCAATTTATGTAGTTATTGTAGACTCATAATATTTGAAAACAAATAAAAAAACAAGTTTTAATTTTGTGAAAGCAAATCATTGTAGACATACAATATTCTTAGTAATAGATTTGATAGAGACATTAATTATTTTAAACACAAATTAATTAATATAGACACTTTTTATTTTTATTGCTTAATAAATATAATTAAATTATATTTTTAAAGAAGATAAGCATCTTTTTTTTATTAAATATAACAAATTAAATTGAAAATGAAATAAATGAGCTTATTTTAGAACAATCAATTAATTAAATTTCAAATACATTTTTATTTTAATCAAATATTTATTTTTTGTATTCTGTAAGAAATCTTTTATTTAAATTCAATTACTCATTAAAAATCAAACCTTTAAAAAATATAAAAATTAGCTTATTCTATTTTATTGTAATATTTTAAAAATCAATTTCTCATTTCTTACTAGAAATATCAGATTGAAGAATAAATAAATAATCAGTTTTAATTTACATCATTTGTGTGTAATTAAATTTATACAATATATAGACTATAACTCATAATACTTTTGATAGAGACATTAGCTATTTTACTAACAAATTAATTCATGCTTAAATTATAAGTGTCAAATTAATATAATTTAATTATTTATTTATTAAAGGAGACAAGCAGATTTTAATTAAATATTACAAATAAAAATCAAATAAATAAAAAGTAAAATTTAATTAAGACATTTTTTAATTAAGTAAAATACAAATTTATTGTTATTCTAATTAAAATATTTTAATTTTTTTTGTATTTTTTAATATTTTTATTATTCAAATAAATAAATTAATTAATAAATTGTAGTTATTTATTTTTTATAATAAATGTCAGATAAAATATATTTTAATAAAATAAAAGGAACATCATTATCAAATATTAATAATAAAAATTTAATAAATATATTATCTAAGCATACAGTATATCTAGCTAGGTTATTTATTTTGGAACTCAAGAAACATTTTTATAAAAATTAAAGAAACTTTTTTCAAAATAATAAAAAATAAGTATAAATGTAATTAAATACAATTAATATGTAAAATATTTAATAATTTAATAATCAATTAATATTTTTTTGTTATTTAGCAAAACCTGCTAGGAGTACTTACTAAGTGTTGAAATTATACGAAAATAAATTCTTGCTATTCACCTTTTGTATTGTAATCTTTTTAAATTAATTTAATTTTTAAAAAATAAATAAAAGTTTATATTTATAAAAAATAAATTTATTTACTTTTTGAAGATTGTTTTCTGCTTAATTGAGTTATTTTTTTTAGTTTTTTTATTTTTTCTTGGTTTTTTAAAGATTTATTTAAGCTTTTTTAATTCTGTAATAGACCATTTTCCATTTCATGTATGCTGTTAAAGAGACTTTATCAAAATTTATCAATTTCTTCAGCTTTGAAGGAATAACTTTTGATAGACATTTTTTTACTATCATTATATTTTTTGACCTAGAATTGCTCAACATAATTCCTATTACAATTATCAAATAGCAAAAAAAGAAGAAATAATCTACAATAATTTAAGCAATCTCTACAAAAACTTGAGTTTATGGATTTTAAGATTGAATCAACTATAGATATATCTTCAAGAAAATAAGAGAATAAGCTGCTACTTCACATTTTTATATGCTAATTGAAATAAAAGGACTATTTAACTTTACTATTTTAATATAGTAGATTAATAGTGCACTTATTGTTAGTACGCAAACATAATGGTTATTCTTATTTAATAGTGTATATACATAAATGATAGAAATTTTTAGATAAATTCTAACAAACTCCCAATAGTAATATTTAGGTTTTAGTTCTCCATAGTAATATCCGTATTTATACTTAATTATGCATTAATCTAGTTTTTTTTTGTTTTAATTAATCAATCTAAGAAATACCAAAGGAAATAAAGTCCAAAAAACTAACACCATTACAGAAAAAGGATATAAATATTTAACTATACTAGAGTCGTAGCAATCAAATGAAAGGTCAATCGGGTTGTAAAGTTAATTTCCTACTTATTTACAGGTTAGAGTCTTAGTAAAATATGATATCTAGTTCACTTAGAAAAAGATAAATATAATGTGAAAAATTAAAAAAATATGATATCCTCTTAATTTCTGTTTTGAAATGTCTTAATAAAACATAAGTGTAATAGGAATCAAAATAAAAACTGCCATAGGAACCAAAAATTGAATTTAAGTATAAAATAATATTTTTCCCATATCTCTAATTATGTTTTCACTGATCAGACAGTCTGTTCCTAAAGAAATTTGAACACCACCTGACCCAATTATGTCATTAAACAAGTTAAAGTTGATAGAAATAATTTTTGGTTAAGGAATTAAAAGAGCAGATAATTAATAATAGGTCAAAATAATTTTAATATAGAACCCAGAATAATCCTGTATGCTATTGCTGCTAATAGGCATAATCTTCAAGATTCTCAAATAATAACATGTTTGTGTATATTTAAACTTTTAAATGAAAACTCCTAAAACATACAAGAAGTAAGCCTCTAAAATTATTATTTTTAAAATGATAAAACCCCATTATTTTATCTACGATCCACATTTCTAGCAAAAGCCCTTAGAAAGAGATTCTGAATATCGGGATCCTTTCCAAGCTTCACCTAAAATATCGCATTACTAGCAAGCAGGACCTAAATAACCAGTTATGCAATAGTTAATACTAGAAGGATTTTCTGCTTAGCATGAATTTATAATAGGATCACACTCTATTATTTCATCTGTATAATTATTTTGCCTCCAAAATCCATTTTTCAATTTTATTATATTTCCCTTGCACGTAACAGCAGATTCAGGGCAGTTAATGCATCTATTTGTATCTTTCTTTTCTTCTATATATTGTTGATAAAGTATCTGTGGATCATTTAGCTGATAAGTACCTTCCAAGCACTAATTGCATTAATAAACATTTAGATTAATTTATTAAATAACCTCCCCTTTTATACAGTTTCTGAATTATACTGATAAGAGAATTGGATTTATTGTAAGAGAGTTTGTTTGAATTGTTGAGTTTATATAAAAGTATTAAACTTTATTGAGATTACCAAGAATTTTCAAATCATTCATCATAAAAGATTAACTTTTAGAGTCATATTGATAATAATTGATAATATTCTATCCAAACATTTAGGTTTCACTAGAATTTAGCTAATAAAATGATATTTAAATATTATTTATCTCCTAACTAATATCTTTTGGATATAAACCTTGTTCTAGCTTATCTTTTGAGAAGCTCAGATATCTATTTTATTCATCTACAATATACATTTTAAAGTTAATTAAGCCTCCACTTCTGAATTATCTCATTTCAGCATATCTTGAGAAGTCATTTTAAAACTTTTTAGGTACATTACTTTAATCTTTGTAAAATGTGAATAATTCCTCATTGGTATAATCATTGTTTTGAATAATTATGTTTTAAAGATAAGATGTACTATCATCACCATATATCTCTGCTACATTATCGAATATATTTTTAGAAAATGGAAAGTTTTAAGGTAATAAAATCCTATTTTAATCAGTCTAAATTATTCTTAATCCTCCTCCAATCAATGCTCTATTATTTTTAATTATTGTCTGAGAGTCAAATAAAACTAAGCAATTAGCAATATTTTCAAGATACAAAGCACCTCCGCTGCTTTTTGCAGTATTTTATTAGAATTGAGATTTTTTAAATTCTATCTTTTACCTAATTGATTAAAAATGAATAGCACCTCCATTTTATGCTGTGTTAAATTTAAAATAACTTTTTTCGATAATAACTTATCTGGATTTAATTAATAAAAGTGAACCTTCATTTTCAATATGAGTAAAATTATTAATTTAAATTTTAGAATTTTAAATAAACATGATTTATTATTATAAAAATTTATTTTGCTCAACTTAAAAATTCTTTAGTACTAAAATATCATCATTTAATTCTATATTTTGGTTTTAAGATGAATATTAGTTTGTGGAAAAAATTAGAACTAATTAATTATTAAGTTAAAATGTGCATTTATTCAGAGTTATTATATTGCAACCTAAGAATGTAAACACTCCTGAAGTTTAATCAATTTATAGTGATTGAATATTGTTTTTTACTATTAAATTTTCGAGGGTTAGATTTTATATTTGTGAAAGACTCATCAAACTGTTCAAGTTATTGTTTTATATCATAGTAACCCCATTTATTACAACTGTTTTTATTAATTCAAATTAAAATAATGGTATCTGAGACTTCTGATAAAAATTATTGTATGATATTTCCAGGTTATAAATAAATATTTCTGATATATTTTAAAAAAAGAACAAAGAATTTTGCTGATTGTAGTTTGAGCATTTTTTAAGGTTGAGCTAAGATATTTTAATGTTTTAAAAAACTACCTTTTGAATATCAGATATAAATATTTGATTAGTACCAAAACACTCAAAGTCTATAGCCATATTTTAAAAAATAACTTACTAAGTTTTTTTGTTTTAGGTAATGTTGATAAATAAATTTGTACTATTTTAGAATGTTAAACTAAAATTAGTAAATTGTAAAGTAGATTAGCTTAGATTTTAAAAGGTAGTATTTTAAAGAGCTATAAAATTATTTTAGATATCATAAGGTGCCATGACTTGTTGACTATTTGATATTGAGGATGTTTATAAAAATAAATTCTATATATTATCACTTGGTATTTGCAAGTAGAAGTAGATAAACTAATTTTCTTAATTAACTAAAGAAACTCCATTTTTTGTCTAAATTTCCTTTTATTTAGGAGCAACATATGTTTATTCTTCTATAATATTTTAATATTCTTTATTTGAACTAAAAAAAAAGCATTCTGATACAGTTTCTGATTTGTAAATATCTAAATTGTATTTATTTTCAAAAACTCCATCTTTATGTAATCCTAATATGCTAAGTACATTTTTCTGAGAATCGATTGAATAATTTAATAATCGAGAGTGTTAATAACTAATCTAAGCTATCATATTGAACTTATCTCCATTAATGACAAAGAGTTCGAATCTATCTATTAAAAATATTGCAAAGGTGTTATTATTAAACAGCTTGAAATTCAAAATACTATCTTAAATGAAATCTTTTTTAATTGATGCAACAAATTCAATTTTTGTATTTAGTTAATACAAATTAATTTAAAAAATGCACTAAATAATTAGGAAATTTTATTCTATTCTCAAGTTAGATTGCATTTTAGGTAAAGATAAATTTCGCTCTTATTCATTTTTTGAGTAATTCCAAATATATGCTTTTTTCTACCCATTAAAGCAAAATATATATCTTTGATAATTTTGATCAATCAAGAATTTTGATAAGGTAATGCTAGGATCTTCATCAACCAGACTTCTTAAGTCTATTTATTAAATAACTTATTATTTCAACACATCGATTTAAAGAAGAAGAGCACCATTTGAAACAACATAAGCTAACAATTTACTATCAGAGATTTCAATCAATTAAATGACAATAATTGAAATATTAAGAGAAACCTCTTTTGTTGTGTCATATAAAAAATAATTTTAGCTTGTTAAATTATATTAAAGCACCTAACCATCACTAAATCCTACCATGATCAAATCTTGTTTCTTATTTATATTAAATTAAGTTACTGTTTGAGTCAAGTTAAATTAAATCGTTTTCATGATAACACCTGCTTTTAAATCTAAATGCAATATTTTTTAATCACTAGTAATTACAATATTATCTATTATGAACTGTTAGAATTGGATATTGTCTAGCTAATAAATATCAGGGTCTGAATTACTATTTTTGCAAGATTGATACTATTAATAAAATAAAATTGAATTTTCTAAACCTAATATTAAAACATCATCACTTTAATTGTATTTTATATCTAAGATTCTTGAACTCATTAATATGGATAACTCAAATTTTATTTTCTACTAAGAATATCTAAATATAAGGCTGTCTTAACTTAAAATCAAATAATCTGTCTGTTAGTTATCTCTTTATATTTAAGTATACAAAGTATACGGCTCATTTAATTATGGGTCACGTTCTATTCCTAATTAATTAAGATCTTATTTGTATATAAAACCATCATAATTAAAATAAATATCATTTGATAAACTATCATAGTGAATGATACTAAAAACCAAACCGCTCTAAAAATCTTAGATAACATTAATGTAAGTTTGAAAAGGAAGTTTTTTGCTTAAAGAAGAAAGATATAATGTACCCATTTAGTCTAATAATATCACATAATTGCTTAAATTTTCATAAAACTTAAAAGAAGAAATATAATTTTAATAATTTTCATTTTAGTTAACTTATATATCAAAAATTTACCTTTAAGTAGAAATTTCATATACTAAAATTGACTTGTCATATGGTTAATAAGTAAACAAATAATTTAAGTAATCAATATAATAAAATTATTATCTCAAAACAAAAGAATCCGTTTTTTCAAACTAATACTCATTTAAAGCTAATGTATTCTTGTCAATTATAATTAAACCTAATTTTTTTTAAATACATAATGAATATTAATAATTTTTAACTAAAATAAAAAAAATTATCTTAGAAGTGAAAATTTGAAATATCATTAAATCCTCATTTATGAAATAGAGGATAAAGATTTTTGATTTCTTGAAAGTTCTCTTTAATTTATTTAATTTTATAAAAAGCAATTTTTAAAGCTATTTATTAAAATATAAGAAATCTTTTTTGAAGTTTATTAAAAAATTATGTTTGCTTGAATCTCAGTTCGCAAATTAGTAGATTTTATTTAGATTTTAAAATCATAAATTTTTAATATAAATATCTCGAAAATAATTTTTGACTAATATCCTATATTTTAAAATACAATTATTTTTTTATTCTTAGAAAATTTTATGTTTTCTGGTAAAACTGTTTTAAGATTTTAGATTTATTTTATCGACAATAATTTTTAGATTTTATATTCATTAAGATAAAAAGCTTTAAAGAAAAATTTACTTTTTTCAGAAATACATACTGCTTTAGATGTAAAAAAAGAGCATTTTTGTTTAATATTATTGACTGTCTCTTTTAAAATTCCATCAGTGGTGTAGATTTTTAAATTCTAATGATCTAAACTATAGATATAAATATGATTATACTGTTCATCAAAAAGAGAAACAGTAAATTAAGAATCTTCAAATTTAACTTTTTTAGAGACTTTAAGCACTTTATCATATACTAAAAGAAATGAGTTATTACCAATAAATAGGCATGAAATTTGATATTTAAATGCAAAGCAATCCTAATAATCACTTTATAATTAATAGTCGTTGAATATACTTTAAACAAAATTGAGTTTAGTATCTAGGATATGAAATAAAATTTAATTGTACATGAATATCAGATTGTCATCTTTACTGTAAAAAATATTCTCTATTCCATACTCCAATTTTTTAATAAATTTTTCATTTGTGGACAGATTAATCAGAGTTATAAAATTATTTTCACTTTCACTTTTACTAAAGCAAATAAGGGATTCATCAAATAAATTCATTTAAACCTAGAAAAGATTTGCATCTGAAGTAAATAAAATTTCTTGTGAACCAGTGTAAATGTCAAAAGATACTAATTTATTATCAGATATAACAAATAATTTTCCAAATTTATCGCTATAAAGCGATTATTCATATACCCGAGATGTAATTTTATAGCGTTTATATTTTTAAACATAAGAGGATAAGACTTTATCAAAATCATCATTGTGATAAGTACTCATTTAAGTAGTGCTTTTTAAGTTCTAAACATATATTGATAAATAACTTTCAGTTTTAAAGAAGTAAAAGCCTGTTTCAATCACTTTTTTATTTTTTAGGTCAAATGCATATTCATACATATTATTAACTTAAATTGAGTAAGCCCAGTAATATGTTTTCTCATATTCGTTTACTATTTTTTAAAATTCTGCAAAACCAAGTTTACTTCTAAATTCTATTAAACTATAGGAACTATCTGAAATGTTAATAAAAAGTACCCCTTATTCCCCTTATAAAGCATACATTTAATTATCATTCACCACTAAATATATATCTGTAACACCTGTAATAATAAGGGATTTCATTTCATATATCAAAGATAAGCTGAAGTCGTAAATTCTAAAATTATTATTATCATCTATGGTTAGTATTTATTCGAAAGTAAAATTGTTGTTTATTTTATCAGTCAAAGAATAAAATTTTTTTATTAATTAGAAATATTATATGTTATTTATTGTATTTAGTTGCTAAATGGTTTAATCTTTTAAATTTATTTGGTATACAGAAACTTTTTCTTCATATTCATTTTATGCCATAATTTTTAAATCTTTGTTCAAGTAGATGTTAATATCGCTACTTATAAAATCAATTTAGCAATTCTCAAACAAATTTTATAAGTTTGAGGATTAAATTATTAAACAGTCCTAAAAAATCATTGCAAACATATCATTATTAGTGGCACATTATTTGTTTTAAACATTAAAAACTTTCAAAATATTTTTTTTATAAATGTCAATTATATATCCTTAATCATCACCAAAAGAAGAAGTATAAACAATTACTTTATCATTGTAAAATTTTTGAATGGATAATCCATAAATAGGACCTATATTTAATTACTTTTATAAAACACACTTGGTCTCTTATGAATAATCATAAAAATTAATACCAAGTTTATTTAATTAAATGGCAATAGGCGGCTAGTAGCTTAAAGCTATGAAACTAATAATTTAATAATCAACAGAAGGAAAGGCAAGATTGAAATTGATAATTAAATTGATTTGAATTAATTATTTTTCATGCTTTATCAAACTATCACTTTTTTTGACTATTTAAATGTAATCATTGTTTCTACCAACCAACTCATAAATAAAATGTTTTTAAGGTGAAATTTAATTTTGGTATTTCACTAAATATAAATAATTAGTTCTATACTTCAAAGCAAATTTTTAGGTTGATTCAATAAATTATTTTTGATTTTAATCCAAGTAAAAAAATGACAAATTTATATTTTAGTCAAGAACAATTATTTGTTTTTCATTACCCCAAAAATCACACACCTCAAAGTCTGTAAAAGAATCTATCTCTTTAATTACATTTGAAGAATTTGTTTTTAGATTAGTGTATATCAATTTATTTTCACTTTAAATTATTAGATATGTGTTCAAATCAGTATCTGAAGTTTAAAAAACTCTACCTTTTTGAATTTCTTATTAGTCATCCATTTATATATAAATAGATTGAAATGAATTATTATTTAAGTTAACTAAATTAACATATTTGTCTTAAACTATAACATAGATTCCAAACTAAAGTATAGACAGTATGTCAAAATAGATATTATTTTACTAAGATTTAAAAGTAAAATGATTTTCAATTTGTAAATTTAAGCTATCGTTGTTATTAGTTACAATTATCTTATACACAATAATACTATTTGAATTCTGTATAAACAACCATTAATCAATAAATTTGATTTTTTGTGCATTAACATTTAATTTGACAGGATTAGATTAAGAAAAAACTTAATTAATATAATCATAGAATATTTAAAATTCATAATCTTATTATGAGTAAATATTATAAATCAGAGCGTAATGATTATTAATTGAAGCAATTCCAGTGAATTAATTAAAAGAAATATTTTTTAGGTATGTTTTTGAATTTTTTGATTCATTTTTAATATCCCAATTTGATATAGAATTATCGCTACCTATGAAAAATATAACACCATTTAGATTGAATGCTTATAATTCTTTTGATTTAAAGGTCTTACTTTTTACTAGATTGAGGTCATTTCTATCATAAACAGAGAGATAATTTTCTTTTTAAACCACATAATAATTATCTTGGTATATAAAGAAGTCTTTTGTTACACTATTATTTTTCATGAATAGCTATGAGGGTTTTTAGATAGAACACTGTAATTTATTTTAGCATAAATTATTTTAATAGTTTTTATAGCTAAAAGGACTGCAGATAGCTACACACTTATTATCTATATTACCATTATCATGTATATTCCTATCATAAAATAAATTGCTTCTACATTTATTATAAACGCATAGATTATTATTTGAATCAAGCTCATAACCCTCTAAACATTTAATGCAGATATTTTAGTTATTGATATTACTACAAATTGAGCATCCTTCTACACATGTATTTTATGCTTTAGTGATCTATTAGATAACTAAAAGCACAATATAACTCTTTATAATTGCTAATTTAATTAACATTTATTTGTTAATATTCCTTTTTTTACTAGAAGTTTTTGATTTTTTACTAATTTGTTTTTTTTTAATTATTTATAGCTCTTCCTGGTTTTAAAACTCCGCTGATTGGATATATGTAATTAGCAGTGTTTGTAAAAATATTAATATATAAAAGACTAAATGGCAGTTTATGTATTTTTTTTCTTTTTTAAATCAGAATTTTCAGATATACATTTAAAAAAATTTGTTCTAGGCGCCCTTATTGAAAACATTATATTTGAAGGCTTTTTATACTATATATTTATATATTAAATACAATTTATGAATTTTATTGAATCTTGCCTTTAGATACTTTTTCATAAATACTTTTATTTATTTTTTTTATTAATTTTTAAATTAAGCATAATCCAGGTATTAAATATAATGCTATCGAGTTCATCATATTTTAATACCTGGATTAGTAAATTTTTAACTGATTTTGTTGAATAATTATAAATAGAACACATATCTACTTTTCTATTTTGCCTTAGCAATTGATAGTATCATCAATATAGTGTGAATTTTTATCCTTTTTATTTTATCTTAATTTCTGTTTTCAAAGAAGAAAAAGTTGATTAAATTTGGTACTAGTACTTTTTTTTAAATGTAATTATTTTAACCTGCTTGGTACCTTTTGCTATTCTCATGTAATAAATTTGTGTGGTAAAAAATTAATAAAATCGAAATTAAAAAATAAGTTAAGCAACTAAAATAAAGATTAAGATTCTTTCAATTAATATTATTTAAAATTAGTTTTAAGGATAAATAAGAAAATTAAGATCAAATGAAAAAGTAAAAAATCTAAGACTTTAAATTAAAGTTAGTTGACAAAGACTAAATAAAGTATACAAAAATCATAATTTTTCAAAACTAATCAATCTTCATTTTAGAAATATTTTTAATTTAATACTTCTTATGCTTGCTTGCTTGAAAGAAATACAAATCCATCTCTAAAAAGTAAATAGATCGTGTTATTTATATAAATTTCTCTCATTTTTTAATCTATTTACTTAAAATTTTAGAAATTATTAATTAATAAAGTTTGATTTTGTTTACTTTCAATCAATATTATTTGCTATTTTTAGTAATAAATACATTCATTTATATTATATTCATAAGTTTGATAATTATTATTCATTTTTAAATATTTGAAAATAATTTTATTGTTGGTTGATAGAAATTTATTTAAAAATTTATTTTTTAAAACAAATAAAATTCTTTTTCAATTATTTTCACTTGATTTTTCAATAAACTAGCCTTTAAGCTTTTTATAACTAATTTTCTAAATTCCACAATAAAACAAATAACTACTTCTAATAATATTTTTTTATCCTTTTATTATATTTTAAATGTTATTGTACTTACTTATTTTAAATATAGTCACTTTAAATAATTTTCAACTGTTTTTATATTTTTTGTATTCTATTTTTAAAAGTTAATAAAAATAAAAAAATGAGTATAATTGTGATTAAATACAATCAATATGTAAAATATTTAATAATCAATTAATATTATTTGTTTATTTAGCAAAACCTGTTATGAGTACTTACTAAGTGTTGAAATTATACGAAAATAAATCCTTGCTATTCACCTTTTGTATTGTAATCTTTTTAATTTAATTTTAAAAAAATAAATAAAAAATTATATTTATAAAAAATAAATTTATTTACTTTTTGAAGATTGTTTTCTGCTTAATTAAGTTGTTTTTTTTATTTTTTTTATTTTTCCTTGGTTTTTTAAAGATTTATTTAACCTTTTTTAATTTTGTAATAGACCATTTTCCATTTCATATATGCAGTTAAAGAGACTTTATCAAAATTTATCAATTTCTTCAGCTTTGAAGGAATAACTTTTGATAGACATTTTTTTACTATCATTATATTTTTTGACCTAGAATTGCTCAGCATAATTCCTATTACAATTATTAAATAGCAAAAAAAGAAGAAATAATCTACAATAATTTAAGCAATCTCTACAAAAATTTGAGTTTATGGATTTTAAGATTGAATCAACTATAGATATATCTTCAAGAAAATAAGAGAATAAGCTGCTACTTCACATTTTTATATGCTAATTGAAATAAAAGGATTATTTTAAGATACTATTTTAATATAGTAGAATAATAGTGCACTAATTGTTAGGACGCTAACGTAGTGGTTATTCTTATTTAATAGTGTATATACATAAATGATAGAAATCTTTAGATAAATTCTAACAAACTCCCAATAGTAATATTTAGGTTTTAGTTCTCCATAGTAATATCCGTATTTATACTTAATTATGCATTAATCTAGTTTTTTTTTGTTTTAACTAATCTATCT